GTGCTGCACAATGCGGCTGCAGGTGAGTTGCGGGAAGTTGCTGATTAACTAGCGCCGCCCGTGTGACTGCCGCCGGTCAGTATCCCAGGGAGAGGTATAGCAGGAGACAGGACACGGCCATGCTGCACTTGAGCCGTCACCGAGAGGTCTCGACGTTACAGCCAGACAGGGCCACCAGAGCGGGCTTCCCAGCATGCGAACTCGTCTCAGCCGCGTCCGCATTGGCTCCGACGTTCTCCTGAGACGTGCGCACGTCCGTGTAGTGGCGCCATCTGCCAGCCCATCAACTCCTCCTGACTAACTTCTTGTCCTGTGGCGCAGCAGGCACGACACCCAGAGTCCCGACACGTCTGGCGCAGTGCGTCTCAACACCACCACTTGCTACCCACACTGCCTGTGCTTCCCGTCCTGCCCCTAGCCCCAGCCTCGAATCAGCCCTAGGCGATCAACACCACGCGCTCCGCCAGTTCACGCACCCTCACTAGCACATGCATCCACAGCCATGGCCGGCTTGACCCATTTCCTCAAGGTGAGTGATTGACAGCTGTCACGTACATGAAGCTTGCGGGCGGTGAGCGTAACAGTGGGTCTTGATGCGACCCCCAGAGCACACACCCCCAATACCCCATGTGGAGGCTGACGATGCCCCGACAGACCATCCTCGTACCGCTGTTCCTCGCTGCCATTCTCTATGTCCTTCTAGCCTTCATCATCCTGCCCTTTGTACGCCGCCATCGAAGCCGTTATAGCCAGTACCTGCCCATGCCCGCCAGTGTGGCCGACTTCCCTACATCTTGGCGGACCAACCTCTCCGATGCTCTCTACAACCTCTTCGCGCCCTCCACCTGGGTCCGACAGAGACGTCTTGTAGATGGGAGCGGGCAGCATGACGACGATTTGTTTGACGACGAGGAGGGAGAGGGCATGGTAGGCTTTGACCCCATCGACGAGCGGAGGAGGGAAGCACTAGAGCAACGCAGGAGCATAATGGAGGAAGAGAGGCGCTTGGGCCGTGAACTAGAGGAAGGCTTCAAGGATGACAGCGAGGATGAGCACGAAGACGAGAGGCGGCGGTCCCTATCGCGACATCCATCATCTGCATAATCCCCTTCACATCGTTTACCTTCAATTTGATCACTTGCGTATGCATCACATCACCGGCGTAATTTAGACTTCAGGACATTGGAAATAAGAGTTCAAGTGGGATATATTCATATACATAGGTAGGCGGGAATACCCATCCAGCGCCCAACAAGTACCAAGGAAATTCGTGCGAAATCGCTCAAAAAGGACACCAAGTTGAGAAAGAAGGCTGCTTCTTCTACTTGCGCTGACCGTACGCCTTGGTGGCGTAGTCTCCCTTGTGGACCTAAGTGCAAAGTCAGTGCATGTCCCACATGCAGTTTGTACAGGGAGAGCTCTTACAATCAAGTCCTCGGGCCTGTAGTTCTCGCGGCCGGAGAAGTACTCGTCGAGGATAGCCTTGGTGCCGTCGGCGTAGCGCTGTAGTTCATGTTAGTACTGCTGCTCAAAACATACGTGTTCTTGGCTGTAAAACTCACCTTCTGGGCATCGATTGAGGTACCAGACATGTGGGGAACCATGGCGTTGCCGCCGCCCCATGGGTTCTGGGCGTAGCGGAGCGGGTGGTCCTTGGGTGCGGGCTGGGGGAACCAGACATCACCACCGTATCCACGGAGGTGGCCGTCCTTGAGAGCCTGAGCAACGTCCTCCTTGACGACAATGGCACCACGGGCGGTGTTAACCAACCATGAGCCCTTCTTCATCTTGGAGATGAGGTCCTTGTTGAAGAGACCGCGGGTCTTCTCGTGCAGAGGGCAGTTGATGGTGACAACATCGCACTGAGCCAACATCTCCTCGAGGTTCTCAACGCGACGGCAGCCAATCTCCTTCTCCTTCTCGGGGGACAGAGGCTGGTAGTCGAAGTAGAGGAGCTCCTTGCAGTCGAAGGGCTTGAGACGGCGGAGCACACGCTCACCGATACGGCCAACAGCGACGGTACCGACAACCTTGTTCTCGAGATCGTACTCGTTCTTGGCGACCTCAGCGACGTTCCACTCACCCTTGGCGATCTGCTCGTGGGCGGGGACGAAGTTGCGGACGAGGGTCAGGATGGTCATGACGACGTGCTCGGCGACGGAGACGACGTTGGAGCCAGTAACCTCAGCGACGGTGATACCGCCGTTAGTCTTGTTCGCGGCATTGAGGTCGACGTGGTCAGATCCAATACCAGCAGTAACAGCAAGCTTCAGGTTCTTAGCCTTGGCCAGACGCTCGGCGGTAAGGTAACCTGGGTGGAAACTGTAGATCGCGATCTGTTAGCTGATGTTCGCTCGGATGGTGTTGGCAGCGTTAGCGCTTCCGCTTGAGGCTAGACGCGTGCTTGTGGGGCCCTTAGCGGCATTGCGGGGTAGGCTTGACGTACGGTGTCGTGATGATGACCTCTGCGTCGACAAGGTGCTTGTCGAACTCGGAGTTCTCACCCTCCTTGTTGGAGGTGGTGACGAGCTCGTGGCCTTGCTCCTCAATCCACTTCCTGATACCTAGCTCGTTCTCGGTGGTTCCGAGAAGCTGAGGCTCCTGCTCGGCGTGGATGCCACCCTAATGCGTATGTTAGATGTGTCGGATGCGCCATCGGAACTCAACGGTCACTTACATCGTAGAGGACGAGAAGAACTTTTCCCTGTTGTGAAGCCGTCGCGGTCAGCGTTCTGAATGCATTTGGTTGTCGGAGCGACGAAGTCAATCGTGGTCCGGCGCGTGCGCTGAGGAGGGAGGAGGCAGGGCGCGCAAGGCGAGAAGCTGAGCGGAGAAATACCATTTTGACTTATTGAACTGACAAGAGAACAATTGAGGCTCCGAAGGAGAGATATATAGTAGAAACCGGCAAAGGTACAACGAATGGTACGTATTCCTGACGCAAGGATGTCAGCCTATCGTCCCAGCAGGGGGGAAGTGAGGGGTGCGTGGGTCGGTATACCTTTTGCGGGCCGAAGTGACGTCGATGTATAGTAGAGAAGTCGGTAGTAAGACCGGATGCACAAGAGGATGTTGATGTGAGAGCAATTGAGGGGTTCGTGAGGGGCTTTTATAAACCGCCGAGTACCCGCAGATTTCTCTCATACTCTATTGAGACTCTGGTCCCTGGGTCATCAGGCTGACAATGTCGGCCGTCCCCACTTGGTGATGCCACATTCCCACACAGACAAGTGGTTCGTGGCCGTCTGCGGGTGTGACGGTCATGTTTGGAATTACTTCGCATCGCTGATAGTGCGGGGTCGCGTCCAATGGCGCGAACCAGCTTCAATACGCGCCAGGGGAGCTCTGCCAGCTGCTTACCCGTTTGATGCTCACGAAGCTTCGCCGAGAAGCCCGTAGCGTAGTCTTTGGGCGTGGGTCTCTACTAGCGTCTGATTGTTTGACCCAAACCAGCAAGAATGTACGTAAATCGAGGCCTGGGGCTGGGGGTCCAACAGCGCGTACGCTAAAGCCCTATCTGGAGAGCCTCCGAATAGTTTCAATTCGGGATTGCGGAAGGATCGATATGAACTACACGGCTGACAATGTGACTGTTTGAGACATGTTCACGATGGTGGAGGATTGCTTCTACCCACGGACAACTATCCATAGGGCTGTTGCTAGATCTCAGCTTCCGATCTACACATAGGAAAAAGCATATTGAGGCAGAAGTGTGGGCTCGCACGACACACCTACAACACATCTCAGGAGCGGTGCTAGCGATGGCAAATTCAAGGTCAAGTGGGCTTGCATCCGAGCAATCTAGATGCCGCTTTGTACTTTGTCCGCGGCATCGCAAGAGATGCGGAGCAGTAGCGGTTCAACCTCGCAGTCTGCGGATGCGAGATGTCGCCGTTGCTACTGACGAAACTCGCTGGAAAGCAGGGCTACGGTCGGCGCAGCGGGATATGTCTCGGTATATACGGTGATGGGCTGGAGATCGTTCTTATCTCTCGGCCGAAACTCGCCGACTGAGCGCGCGTGAAGTTCGCGTTTCGGTATCTATGCAGTCCCACCTTTCAAGGTTCCAACGACCCCACCATTTCGACAGAGACCAGATACACAGGACTACGCATCCCTTCTCCCGATGTAGCTGAGAGTTCCGATGGCGTCAGTGTGCTCTCTGGCTGACATTTCAAGGAGATATATCCCGGCTGTCAAGTCGATCTCTCATTACTGTGTCTATCGCACAGCTTTCCCTTTTGTCTCTGCTCGGTCCCCTTCATAACAATTAAAGCCCGAAGTACCTTTTGCCATCTGTCATACGGCCATCTTTGCAGTCGCCTAAGCCCATCGTAGCTTAAGAGACGGTACGATACCTAGGTACACACCACGGTCCTACCGCGTCGACACTCCTGGTGGGACTCTTGACGGCGGCAAGGTGGGGGCCGAACAACTTGCGATTTTGCGACACCACCTGAAAGTCGCGCAATCCCTCGAGCAACGTACGGTAACGTCGAGTGCGCGATGGATCTTACACTCGTCTTAGAGTTGTATTTCGCACGACGGCAGGTAGGCGGAAGAAGTACCTAGGTACTGATCTAGCGTTACCCAAAGTTTTCCAATAGATGTACGGTACAAGTTGATGACCGAAGAGATTTCCGAACAAATCCGATGATACCACTTGACGCACAGCAATTAAAACTATACTTCCATACAGAATTTCACTGGATGAAGGTGAAGGTGAAAGTGAGTCGGGATGAGCGGGGGTAAGTATAAGCTTCGGTTTATACCTCAGATTGCAACCTTCTTCTACCAGTCATGATCTTTATAGTGAACTCTTCATCACGACTCTTATTCTCGCAATTGAGCCTTCAACTTTAGTAATCTCCTCGACCACAGTCTCCAGAGAGAGAAAAGTTAGCACGCTGGCTACTTCAAGGAAGCGCAGTTACGAAGGTGAGTAACCGCCGGTCAAAACAACTGTGCCGTGACCTAACATCAAGTCAGATTATATTGCAATGTCGTCAGCCGGAGGCAATGCAGAAATTATCGCCACGAAGGGCGATGTCATACTTCAACTAGGCAAAGTCGGAGTTGGAGATGGAGTACGCAATGTTCTTGTCTCATCCGTGGTTCTCAGCCTTGCTTCGCCAGTCTTTGCCACCATGTTCCACGGTCGCTTCCCCGAGGGTCAGAGTCTTTCTCCAGCTTCGCCACGTACAGTCCCGCTTTCGGACGACGATCCTGAGTGTATCACCATGATCTGCAAGATCGGACACATGCAGACGTCGCAACTTCCGACCACGCTCACCGCCATGGACTTGTTTAAACTTGCGCTCGTGTGTAACAAGTACGATTGTGTCGGTGTAGTCCGTGCGTGGGCTATGATATGGATTGCTGCATTACTCGAGACGCCTGCAGCTCAAGATTTCGAGAAATTGTTTCTTGCTACACATCTGCTTGATCTGTCGGGAGAGTTCTCCAGAGTTTCTCAAAGCTTAATACGCGATCAATCAACAACGTTCAGTATCGTTAAAGCTATGGCCGGCCAAGAGTTTCTGCCCTGGACTGTGTACCAGTGTATACTGCTTGGTCAAATGGCATATCGGCAGGAAATCAACAAGGCATTTGGTTCGATTGTCACCGGAAAAGAGAGATGCAGTGCATCCCAGCAGTCCACCTGCATGTTTCTCCACAGCCTCAAGAAATGCGGCATATGGCCTACACACGATTACTCGGTGCCGGCTATTAAGTCCAAGCTTGAAAACGTTGGCGAAGCTGCCTTTCCTGCCGACAGCAAGCGATGCGCAAGCTATCAAAATCTCTGTATTTGCGGGGCTGTTAGTTGTACGAAGAGAAACCTTGTATATGAGCTCGACAAGATCTATAACGCAGTACAGGGTCTTTGTCTAAAGTGTGTTCGACACAAAGCCTTTGGAGAAAGCCGAGCCCAGTGCGGCGCCCACCTGATATCCGGAGCTATGGTCTATCTTTGACCGTCCTACGTGCGATGGCTGCATGGTGGCGGGCTGAAGTAGAACGATCTCTTCGTGGGCAACAATCTAGGCGCGAAAAGGGTTATATGCGCTACTTCTAAGATTCTCAAGTTGGGGTGGTGGAAGTGTAGACCAGCTCGGTCGACTGCAAGTCCGTTTACTAGAAATAGCTCTGAGCCTTCCGGGATATGGCGCTATTCCGGACTTCATGGGTGATGTGTAATGCTGCCGAAAGCGCTAAGCTGGGGTCAGCGGAGATGGCGCGTGAACTTGCACGTATGTCGCGGGAGATCGACAGGAGCGGCCAGCGTTCGTTCATCATGTCGGACTTTGGTGTCGTGGTGTAAGGGGAAATATGTACCGAACTTCGAAAACTTCTAAGAAATGGTCAAGGAGAGACATACGGCTTAATGGCGCCAAATATGTCATCTTGTCGTCCTGCTTGCCTACCTAGGTACCAACTTCACCGCTCACGTAAGTGTTTACATTTTGACCGTTCTTACACTCAGATCACGCAGATACTGTGCTCTGCAAATTCGTAAATAAATCAGACCGAAAAGCTGCGTCTTCTGTTTTCATGTAGTAGTACAACGGGTCGATGTTGTGAGCGACAACCAGGTCCAACTCTCGACTAGCGCCTCGGCTAAATGGGTGCTCAACCCTCCTTCCGCTTTGATCTTCGAGTACTTCTCTCCCCACCACCCTTCGCTTACATGTGTGACATATCTACAGCGGCACTTCTGGCTAAACGAAACAAGCCCCGAGGCCGGTCAATGCCTGATCTCTTAGTTCTTAATATCTCTGCTGGGTGATGATTCGCCATGTTTCAAGGGATTTGGCACATGGCGCATCCGCCCTAGTAGACCTGTGCACACTTGCACCACGCCTCGGCTCTTAGCACAATGCTGCATACGCACAAACTCCCGTGCTTTTAAGGCCCAACGTTTGATATTAAGTACAAGGTCACGCTGTGTGCTGATCGAGTAGCGCCTTCCTGTTCATTTGACACCACCGAGGTATTTGGGCTTCGTGTTCCTCAACTTGGAAAGCGAGACTGTATCCGTCATCACAAGGAGGGGATCCGAAATTGGTTTTCTGAGGAGATTAATCTATCGTGCAGCATACTTGGGATAACCTTCGCAAGGGCGTGCCTCCTCTCCACCTACGATATCAGTTTCTGATCGTAGTGAGGCGGCGTGGTGATTTTGCAGGGTTAATTCATTGTTGGAAAGCGCGGCCTGCTGCGTATGAGCTGTGCGACGGCCGATCAATATAAAAAGACTGGGTACATCCTCCCTCTAGGGTAGATTTCATTTCGCTACGATACTACCGACAGAAAGCTTACATCTCGTCTCTCTTCTCTCGGAACCTGAGTCAACCCCTTCGTATCATGTTTGCCAACATACCGACTACACTTCTTCTTTTTGTTGCCTCCTTCGTTCTCCCTGCGTACGCTGGCATTCAGCAAACAGATTTCACTGGTATTGGCCACATTTACGTCCTAGCCTCTGACAACTGGCAGACGGCAACCCCAGAGTCTAGTGTGGGGTGTCTAGATGCACACGGGAAATTTGTCTATGACAGCGGCAGCGCTAAGGAATGCGGTGTGTTCAAGCGTCTAGATGACTATCCTTATACACTCAGCACTCAAAATGGAAACTGCACGTTCCAAGACGATAGCCAGGAAGAGAATGTCGATAGTCACTATGGGAAAGGTGATTTCGCGTGGAACTGTGGAGAGCGCAACGTTGACATCTATGATGAGCTATATACAATAGTACGTGTTAATTCCAGTTCGCCGCATTGGAAAACTTCGCTGATACGTATATAGACAGGATTTCCATACGTTTTCCTCTGCTTCGGCGATATAGCATGCTTCTACGACGCCAAGCGCATTCCTACCGCCAATGAATCCCTTTCACTATGGCAGTTTCGCTGGGGGTCACAGCAATTGGGCATCACGCCAGGGCACATTCAACTACAGCTCATGTGGAAGAAACTTGATGGTCTGCCTAAAAGGGAAAGGTCGAGCGATATACCGGGTCCAAGGGTACACATTAGTGAGGGCTCGCAGATAACATTGTTGGGCAAGAAGTCGAAGGCATAGCGGAGTCGAGACTATGCCATCAACGGCGGACTTTATCAGCGGAAGTGTTAAGCTTTCAAGTCCAATTCCTAGGTATCCTCATCTGCTACATGGATATGTTGCATCAACTAGCTCCATGTCTCGTGATGCGTCACTTTTGATTGGCGGCAGGTACTGATTGTACCCTGTAGTCGATCAACTTGAAACGCGGCAGTAGCACGGATGTCTGTATTGTAATATCACATTGCAGCTGTTTCAGATCAGTACGTTGCAACGCTGAAACCGGAGCTTGTGAGGTGACTGCAAGTTCTGGGTTCCAAGTGTCTAGCATAGGAGTGGTTAAGATATGTTCTTATATCAGACATCAATTCAAAGATCCGATCGTACACGCTCTCAAGCCTACACCGATACTGCGCCTAGCTCCAGTCTTACACATGGTTATCACATAGGCCTTCAGAGATGTTTCCAGAGAGAAGCCCATCGCATGTTGTCAGATCAGTCTTGCAACCCCGACGGAACTGAACAAGTCAGGCTCATAGTTCCGTGGCATCGATGTTGAACTCTTAGTCAAGATAAAGATACTTTGTTCAGAAAATCAATAGAGCATACATGTACTTAGGAAGAACGTGCGTTCATACCTGATCTGGAAGGTCGTTGTTGGGGTCGTGAGGGGTAGTCTCGAGTTTAATAGCGCCACGAAATCCGGGAGCGTTCGAATCGACAGAATGGCAGGTGTAGGAACCGTATTTGCTAGCTAGAACAGGAGGGACATCATGGACATCGCCGCAGCCAACCGTGAAGACGGCTTGCTCACCTGATGTCGATCCGCAGTCAGCACCCTGTCACTTGTCAGTCTACTTACTGGAGTATACTAGGTACTCCCATGGATATGACGCACTTTCCAGAAGTCGCAATCGATGGCTTCGACGCATATCATGATAGACCAGATATTGTTGTCGTCACTATTACACGTCAGTGACTATCATGTGAGAATTGGCAGCGTTGCGTACAGCGGATTGCACTTAGGGATCTTTTTGTCCATAAGGAGAAACTCGGGCTTCGAAGCGTACCCCGGCTGAGAATAAACCGCGCCGACATCAATGACATCGTCGTTGTTTAGCATGCCGATGTGCGGACTAGGAGCCGCCATCGCCATGGCAAGGGAGAGGACAGTGACGAAGAGGAATGTCAGGAAGCTCATAGTTGCAGTGAGTGGTGATATTTATGCGTAGTAAGAATGTGAGAGATCGTAGAACCAATGGGTTCTGCGAGTGACGGTTGCAACTGTATGGAAGTATATGGATACATGTTTGGGCGCGCGTATGCATACCTATCGTTATATACTACGATTACGACTCAGACCAAGCTCAAAGTACGTGATCGATAGCGAAGCAACTGCCAAGATGCAGCAGTGAATCTTCGGGGTTCGACTTTCCCTGCATGTGACTGCCACGTAAGGGGAGCACAGTGGCCTAGAGCGCACTTTACCCTCCGATATAGGAAAACCAGCAAAATATCGGTTCACGTACAGATTTGGCGCCACAATTTGACCGTGCAAGACATTGGCGAAGGTGATAACGTGGAACAGAAAGAACTACTACGAAAGCGAGTTCAAGTATGAGGGTAATGGTGTAAATAAGCGTTGTCAGCATCGCAGTCTTGCATAGTAGTAGTAGCGGCATCTTGGTCGGGTGTAAATAGTGGGATATTGATGGACGGACAAGACATGTGTGCATTCTCGCTTCAATTCGTATAGCATCTCTCTTGCTCGGTAACAGGTATCTCGAAACCTCCTCTGAAATTGACCTGTGCAGGATTTGGATTGACTTCTTCAGTGTTACACCAGCAATATAAAGTCACAGTGTACCTAATGTCGTTCTAGTTGCCGGCAGCCAGCCTCCAGCAAATGTTAATCAGTGCCGCCGTTGCAGTGACATGCGCAGCAGTCCTTGGCAAAGCTATATTGCTCAGATAAGACGGGTAATGCACAAGCAATTTGGCAATAACGTGGTATCCCAGCAGGTTCACTACCTGCGCATCTTGAGGCGCGAGAACTTGCGCAAGGGCAGCAGCGAGTGCAAAAGCTACAATCAGATCTTCGTTAGTGACTCTCTTCACTGGCGAATTTGACGGCCTCCTTCAACCATCAGCTTACCTGGGAAATTTTCCATGAGTGCATAATGCGCACTTCTCAACCTCAACGGCAACCCATCCAGCTTGTGAACATGTTTTCTCGAGTGCTCAATGTCCAAGCCCTCTTCTCGTCCCATGGCTTGTCCTGCCGCAGAGAGAGCACCCGAGGCGCCGAAAGTCCAGAACAGGTAAATGGCTGAGAGTGCAGGAATAGCGCGACCGGATGTTATTGCTGTTGTCTAAGGAGAATTATCAGCACAAGATGAAGGGAGAAGTTGAAGTGGGAAAAGGGGGAGGCGTACAGTAACTCCAGGAATTAACTTGATGAGAGCGTGCACCAAGGACTGCATCACGCTGTTTGGTTTTGTGAGGTATGAACTTCGCAACCACGATTAGTTTCTAGCTCGACTTGAGTGGTTGCGCTCTTGAGATGAGGCTCAGGAATTCAGACGCACGTGACAGGTATGGCAGCGAGATACATTGGTGCAAAAGCAGCGATCATCGCACCTGAAGGGTTGACACTACAACTCATTAGCAATTGTTCCATCATTGGAAGTCATAACGAGAATACTCACACGCCGTTTTCAGCCGCAACGCGCTTAGCCTGCTCTTTCTTTTCGTCCGCCATATTGTCAGACTTGTGTTCGTACATAAGAATCCTACTGCGAGGAAGTTGCAGGGCTATAAGCGCATGCGAGAGATATGATCTGACCAACTATATATACTGCGCAAACAATACCCATTGTCGTATCTAGGCTGGCCTATCGATGACGTGGGGCGATCCGCGGCGCAGGGGTGGAGTTGTAGCGGAACTATATCCTTGTCTGTCAATTGGCCGATGGACCTGCCACACCCGGTTAACCCGCACGACCGTGACAGAATGGGAACAGCTGCCGTACGTGCGGGGGTGATCATCCGTCAATGCAGGGTTATTTGGAAGCATTCGAATGTATGAGTTCGAAGAACAGATAGTTTGAATGTTTAAATTTCGTCATCCGAGGTGTTCTTTTGCGGACGGGTCTGTCCGCTTCTACATGAGTACGGCAGTGGCTCTGAATAGCTTGCTTGATATGGACGGAATCTCCACATCTAGTTCAACATACCAGTGCAGTCTCCATAGTATCATGAAGAAGAAAGGAAGATGGTCTGGGCCTACGTTCTATGCACCTCGTCGTTCTAGCCAGCAAAAGAAAACAGTTTGAAAGCCCCTCATACACTATACCCGACTGCTAACCTCACATCTTGCCGTTCATTTTTCAACTCTGCCCGATCATCATACGGCGCATTCCGCCGATGTTTCCTCACTACCTTCCTCGCGCGGATAACAAGATGGTCGACCATCGCATTCTCAAACTCATCTTCAAAGGGATTCGCATCATGTATCAGCACGATGAGTTGTGCACGAGTGATATTACCCGAACGTGGCGCATCAACTGGCATTAGTGACATGCTCTCAGCCACGAGATTCCAGGTTCTAGTCCAGAGGTAGAATACGAAAGTATCGATGGCGGGGCTTCTAGTAGAGGAGGCTGAGAGGGTATATGACGACGAGGGAGATGAGGAGGGTGAGCGGTGGCGGTGGCGGCGGGACCATAAATCGTGGGAGCGAGGTGGTGGTGTGTTAGACGAGTCTGAGGAAGACAACGAAGGAGAGCCAGAGAGAGATGGAGAGGCTCCTCTGCTACAATATGCACAACCTCCATCCTCCGGTCTAGTTCCCTGCCGCTCCCGCATGCCTTCGTCTTCAACACCGCTTCTCTCGCTACCTAGGTATCATCACATTCGTACCTTCCACTATCACGCTCATTCAAATGAGCAACCATCGAGTTGAAGAGAACAGCCTTACAACTTGGGCATGTCTGACCGTATCTCGGATGGTAACAATGGAGCATAGCAGCTTGATCATACGAAGCATTGAGACATTTCGACCAACGACTCTCCTAGAACAGTATTGCAAGCTATCGGTTCTAGTTTCAAAAGTGAGTGCTCTTAAACCTGTACAATACCCAACTATGTTCCTGCCTCGCGACTAGGAGTATGTACAAAAACAAGTATTATTTGTATTCGCTATGATGGTCGTGATATCGTCGCTTTCGTGAATAGAATGACTATACGAATGCCCAGACATGTAAAGAAGCTCCAAGTTTTGTAGCGAACAGAGATAGAAGAAAGATAGTACCCGGGCCCACACACAGTGTGGGGAAGAAGGAGATGCAAACGGAGTTGACAAAAGGGAAAGAGAAGAGAAACTAGTTGAGAAAGGGGAAACAAGAGCTCCGGCAACGCCCTCCAGTGCACGCCAGGTGCTATGCAAGATATTCCAAGTTGGAGTAGCCGACGTCCACTGTCGCCTTTAGACAAGCTTTGGCCAATATCCTCTTGGTATACACAACCAGAAACGGGGACTCGAATCATCGGTGTCCGAGTCAGAAGATCTCGTGGCCCAACCCTCCAAATCCATCATCACTGACCTTGACCTTGACTTTCTTTCCCTTGCTCTCCATATCGTGAGGTATGATAGGCACATCAGGTACATGCATACCGTCGGGCACAACCCTGACAGGCTCCTCACTCCTCAAGTTGTTTCTCGAGAACCTCTTCACCAACCTCGAACTGGTTCTCCTGGGACTCTTGCCTGCAGGGCTCTTGACGCTCTTGGGGCGTTTTGTGCTGCGCTCAGACATCTCGGCTTCGGAGGCGGAGTGGGTGGAGAGAAGATCGAGGTCGCCCTCGGAATCGGTGTATATGGGTTTGTATTCGCCGTCCGAGTCGTTGACGATGGCCTTGCGCTTCTTTACGATCTTGCCGATGCTCTGAGGAGGTTCAGTGAGCGGGGTGGCACTTGGCGATCTGCCGTCGTTTTCGCTTTGCGTGACGTCGGGTGTGGGTGGTGCGAAGTCGGGGATGCGTGGGACAGGCGGTACGTCGTTGTAGAGGACCGTCTGGAGCTCCTTGCGGGCGGAGGCGAGCTTGTATTCGAGGTCCGAGACGCGCTTGGTGAGCTTCTTCTGCTTGTACAGATCCTTCTTGCTGGGGGTGTGACGGAGAGTTGGTGTTCGTGGAGCTCGGATAGGCGTGGCTGCCTCGGCCATGGCTGCGGTCAAGCCCAGCTGCATCTTCTCGGCCGCGACAGGCTGAGATGGGGTGCCGACCTGTCGCGACTTGATGGCGGGTCGCACGTAGACCTTTGGCGTAGGGAGAAGACCGAGGTCTTTGGCCTCGTGGTACGCGATTTCGGCCGCCTTCTTGCGCTCCTCTAGTATTTGTTGGTACTGGTCCCTCTCGCGCTCTGCATCTGTGGCTCCGGCCTTGCGCTTGCCCAGGACGCTGCCGAACATGGACGCGAATGCGCGCTGGAGGCGGGCATATGTCCCCTCGGACGGCGTCGATGCCGATCCATGGATGGTCGTTACGACGCCCGAATCTGAAGGCGTCGCGCTCCCGGAAGCTGCCCGTGAAGACGACTTGACCAGGCGAGGGACACGATTCGCAGAGCTCTTTCGCGAAGTCGGCGGCTTCGAGTTCTCCTCATTGAACTGCTCAATCAGCTCCTCAATGCCAATGTCCTTCCATAGCTCGTCGGGCGGCGGTCGTATGCTGCCATTCGTGTTGGTGTGCTCCTTGAAGCGCGATGCGCGTGGCTGTGTCGACTCGTCGACGTCGTCGCTCATGGCCTGAGCTGCTGCGCGCGTGACGGGCATCCGTTTATCGTGCTCGCGGCGCCAAGATGCAGTCTTGTGATGGGGACAAGACGAGGTGGAGCAGGTTCGAGGGTGGAATGTGGGAGGGGTTGCGATATTTTGTTCCGACTTGTTGGTCGAGAAGTTGCGCTGCGTGGTTGCAGCTTTGGTCGGACATAAACAATTACAAGGTATCGTATCCGAGGTGAGGAGGACCCTGTCATGCACGACTTGGCGCCCACTGATTGCTCGCTGTAGTCCGCCACGGCCCGTGACACGTTGTCCGCTATCCTTCACCGCTTGCAGATTGCAAAATCTTCTTGCCAGCAGTCGAGCCGGCCAGGTATCGCAATCTTCTTGATCAACATGTTCTGTTTGTATTATCAACGCTACTGTACACTCGGTCCAGTCGTCTATATGCAGTTCCGTGGTACAACACTTGCACGGCTTGCCTGAGCATCCACGCGTTGGGAAAGCAACCATGCAATCTATCTAGGTATCCTCTTACGGCCACCACACGCCAAACTTGCAAAGGCTTCCTCTACAACTTCGCCTTGGGCTTCGACTCTTCGGCCAGCGCCTCCTCGTAACAGTCATCTAGATGCTGCCTGAAGGCCTTGACCGTCTGCGGGCGCTTCAGCTTCAATCTGTTGTTTTTTTGTTAGTCCGTCATCCATCTTGCACCGTGAAGTGGACAACTTACGTTGGGGTCAAAAGTTGGTTGTCAATGGTCCATGGGTCGACAAACAACCTTACAGCCTTGACACGCTCATAGCTGTTGAACTTGTTCTTTCGTCCCACCTTGTCTAGCTCCTTAAGCACTGCCTGCTCGACCTTCTTGTTCTTGCACGCCTCCTTCAGCTTCTCAATGTCACCTTCCGGAATCTTCTCGCCCAGCACCTTGGACGCGAATTGCGGGAAGATGTCTGGCGCAACACCAAAGAGAGCCACAAGGAACGACTGGTGCGAATCGCCGTGCACATAGCCAGACGCGAGGTAGCTGCAATTGGCAAGGTACACGTTCTCAATCCGCTCGGGTGAGATGTACTCTCCCTGTGCGAGCTTAAGGACGTTCTTCCTGCGGTCGATGATCTTGAAGCGGCCGAGTTCGTCAACAGAGCAGATATCGCCAGTATGGAACCAACCGTCGGCGTCAATAGCCTTGGCCGTCTCCTCCTCATTACGGAAGTACTCTTTGAACTGCGACGCAGAGCGGATCAGGAGTTCACCACGGGGGTGCGGCTTGTCAGTAGACATGTACTCCATGTCAGGCACGTCGAGCAGAGCACACTCTGTGTTGGGCCCAACGCCACCACAATTACCAGCCGAGAAGTCACCCTCATGCTGGACAAGGGCAACGGCATACGTCTCAGTCAGTCCATATCCCTGTGTAAAGTTGCTTCCAAACACAACACGGAGGAATTGATGCAGACTAGGATCAATGGGTGCAGAGCCACTGACCAAGACCTTGCATCGATCCAGTCCGAGACCGGCAGAAACCTTCTTAGCCCAAATGCGGTCGTAGAGCATGTGCTTGTTGGTTGGGTTTTGCTTGTCGTTGACGGCCGCCAGCTTGGTCGATACCACGTGTCGGGATAGTGCTCCCTTGATGCCAGTTGCCTGGACAGTCGCTTCCTTGATCTTGGCTCCGAAGCGGTTGTACAGCCTTGGTACACCCGAAAAGATGGTTGGTCGTAGCATCTGCAAGTCGTCTACAAGCTCTGCAATGTTTCCGTGGAAGTAACCAATAGCAGCGCCAGTTGCCAGCCCACTGTGTTCTCCCAACCGCTGATAGATGTGCGCCAAGGGCAAGAAAGAGCAGATAATCTCGCTAGGTCCGCTACCCATAATGACCATGGAAGTGCATGTTCCGGCATGCGCGTTTCGGTGGGACAAGACGACGCCCTTGGGGTTGCCTGTTGTGCCAGATGTGTAGTTGATGGTAACAATGTCTTCGGGTGTAGGCGGGTTCATCGGAATCGGTTGCCTCTCACCCAGAGCCTCGACATCGCGGATGTAGTGGATGGCAACACCTTGCTCACTAGCAAGCGAGTTCAGGAGGTCGCCCTTGGACTCGCCGGGGAGCTCGCCAGCTGAAAGTGGGTCGAGAACCACGATAATCTTGAGCGAGGGTAGTCGAGGCTTCAGCTTCAACAGTGCCGTAACATGGTTCATTCCAGCAACCACACAGTTCAATTCCGAGTGGTTGATAATGTATTCGGTCGTGTCCGGGCCTAGAGTGTCGTAGATAGAGACTGTGTAGAGGCCCTGGGACATGCACGCCAGATCAGTGATTTGCCATTCCGGCCTGTTCTGACACCACAGTCCGATACCATACTTGTGTGCGGTAACGCCAGCTTGTTTGTGTAGATGTACAAGACCAGCGCCGAAATTGGTTCTCCGCTTGGCGATTGTCTCGTAGTCTTCCCAAACGTAAGGGCCGAAGGTCTTGGTAGCGGTATCATACGGGCGGTGTCCCAGGCATCTGTTCTTGGGCCATTTCGCAACCGAGTTCTCAAACGCTTCATGTGGTGTTCTGATCTCGGGAACCAGGTGGTCCAGCAGAGGCTTGTCTGTGAATCTCCAGTGCCTGTAGATAGCACTCCTTCCCTCTGCCTCCGAGCCCGGCAACGCTACACTGTAAGGCTGTCCCTTGGCCGGAGGCTCGTGGAGCTCGGTCGCGCGATCGATCTGAGCATCTGTAGATCCGAACATGTTTGCTCGCTTTTGTGTATATACAGGTTCGATTTGATAGGCTTCGAGTGGTCGCTTCGTCTGGAACGGTCGAAAGATACGAGTTCGTGTCGCGTGTGGAGAAAATGCCGACGAGATAGTGAGAGTTCTCTACTTTATAGTACACATCAGCGAAGCTCTTGGTAAACGACAGTCGATGATGGAAGTTGGCGCATGGCACGCCGGAGCTTCCAGCTTCTAGCTTCCATTACGCAGGTGACCTCACATACCTACCTATAGCCCTAGCCACCAGTATCTCTCCTCTTCTCTTCAACTGACAATTATGAACGGAAAAAGATGCAACAAGTCCAGACAACTGTAGTCGGTCAAACAGAATAGAGGAGATGAGACAGGACAGCGATTCGAAAGCAAGGGTTGATGCTACGAACTAAGCCAGAGCCCACAATTTCCCATGGCGCAAAACGTGCCTCGGCAAAGTCGTCATGACGCGCCTGTCCAATTGAAACGAAGATGAAAACTGGACCAAGGCTCATGCTGCGCTCTCAGCACCCAAAGCCAACGTGTTACCGGTCATGTGCGCCAAATGTAGCTGAGCCCCCGTGTCTCGGCGCCCGCTTTTCTCCAGACTTGCGCATCAGCGCCTCCCTTGCATGTGTTCGCGGGGAACGCTACGGGGCACTCACCCTTGGTCAGCACTGAGCAAGTTGCGCTGGCGTTGTGTGAATATATTCATTCGACGAGAGGGTAGTGACGTGCAAATGCGCATGTGCAAGATCGCGCTTTCACATGCCGCCCCAGTGTGAGATCTTCCCCAGGAAACCACGCGGACACAACCCTTGTTCCGCAATGGAGCGGCCCTATTCTGATTGGCGGGGAAGATGCCTCGGCTTGCATTGTTGCGTTTTCGGCGGCTTTGGCCGTCACGCACTAAACTAAAGAACGAGCATGCGACCTCGTACGAGATATGGGAGAGACGATTCAAGGAACAGATTACAATTAGTATATGAAAAAAAAAGTCCGCAAGTCCGAATGCTCTCCCAGGCATTCACAACATAGCCTTCACCTCTGCCGTATCCAACGCCTCACAGTCTGGAAATCACTAGACACTTCTAGGTGGAACCAGACAATGAAGCAGAGGGCTCACCATTGCCAGTTTTATCCGCATTCTCCGGCTGACCCTTCTCCTGAGGCTTCGTTGCCGACTTCGAGAACGATTGTTCAAAGTCTGCGATGATGTCGTCGATGTGTTCTGTGCCGACTGAAATACGGATGAGATCCTGTACCCTGTCAGCAAGTCATAATTGTGAAGTCAAGTGACGATTTGCCTACCTCGGTTACACCAGAGTTGATCTTCTCTTCGTCGCTCAGTTGCTCATGTGTTGTTGTCCAGGGATGGATAGCCAGCGTCTTTGAATCGCCAACATTCGCTACGTTGGAGATGAGCTTGAAGTTGTCTACAACCTGGCTACCTGCTGCACCACCTCCTGTAACACCAAAGGATAGTACGCCTCCGAAACCACGCGGTAAGTACTTCTTCGCTAGCTCGTGTGACGGATGACTCTCGAGACCAGGATAAGATACCCAGCTTACGTTTTTGTTGCTCTCAAGCCACTTCGCCAACTTCAGTGCATTGTATGCGTGTCTCTCTGCTCGTAAGGAGAGCGTCTCCACACCAAGGAGCAGCTGTTGGGCGGCGAATGGATTGAGCGCTGCGCCCAGGTCTCGCTGGATTTCGACACGTGCTCGAATGATGAATGTAATGGCTCCAAATGTCTCCCAGAACTTCAGTCCATGGTAACCGTCTGATGGCTCGATCATTTGCGGGAAGCGCTTGCCGTGCTTACCCCAGTCGAACTTCCCGCTATCGACTATCACACCACCAATCGTAGTTCCGTGACCTGTGTATTTTAGCCTGTGCCTACCAGAGAGTCGCAAACACATACCTCCAATCCATTTCGTTGCAGAGTGCACAACAATGTCAGCACCATGGTCAATAGGCCTGCAGAAGTATCCTCCGGCACCAAATGTGTTGTCGACAATGACAGGAACACCAGCCTCGTGCGCAATTGCTACAATCTTCTCAAAATCGGGAACATTGTACCTTGGGTTGCCAATGCTTTCAAGCTTGCATGAGTTAGCCATTGTTCAGAGAGTTCTTCGCGTAAACTTGCATATATCGCCTTCGTCTTCTCATCGATAGCAGCCTTGAAGTCATCTGGTTTGTCACCATTGATGAACTTAGTCTGCACCCCCAAACGTGGGAAGAAGACCTTGAGCTGGTTGTACGTGCCTCCATACAAGTTCGAAGTCGCTATGATGTTGTCTCCGGCATGCGCCAGAGCGGCTATGGCAATGAACTGAGCAGCTTGACCGGATGCTGTTGCCAGTGCTGCCACACCGCCCTCAAGCGCAGCGATACGCGCCTCGAGTACACCGACGGTGGGGTTCCCTATACGACTGTATATGTTTCCAAATTCCTTGAGACCAAAGAGATTCGCGGCATGCGCGCTATCATTGAAGGTGTATGACTGCTGATGTTAGTCCGAGACCTATTCAAGGGGAGTCTTTGTCGGTTCGCAACGTACTGTGGTCGCGTAAATAGGTACAGCGCGAGACTTCGTCGCTGGGTCTGGCTCATGGCCTGTTTCATCTATGTTAGCAGCTATGGAGAGAGAGAGAGAGACTGCAAAATGCTTACCAGCGTGCAATTGAAGCGTCTCGAAATTCTTAGACAATTTCTCGGACATTTTGATTCCTGGTCTTCAGATTGTAGATTGTCGTAATGTGTTGAGCGAAGGAGCTCCAGGCGTTCACGGTGCTGTTAGAGGTGATCGAGAGACGGAATTTGGAAAGAGGGGAGGACTAGACGATCAATTGTGCAAAAAGTCGCGTCCGTCACGTCATCCACTCCCACGCGGGTGTGGATTACATTGGTATCCAGAGCATCGTAGTAGCTTCCTACTTCGGAACTGTGCTGACTGCCACAGTCACACTCGTACCATGTTATCATTGGCTAGTGACAGGTATTCCGATGCCCTTTTGGGTATAACTTGAAAACCCTCTGTGTATCCGTTAACCCATTATGTGTAAGAGACGGCCATACTGTATTTCTCGATTGCATAGCGCACGCCCTGGTAGGACGCCCATAAATTGCGTGATCGTGTTTATCTGTTTTGGGACGCGGGGTAGGTTGGAGGGGTACTCTGGAGATGGGCCGGTTCCGGACGGACGCAAGGCTGATGAGATCCACACATGGCTAACACAAAGGCATCATAACTAGGGGTTGACAACGCACAGCGTGCCATAGATTTAGCCTACGGAATGTATACAAACTACAAACTACAAGCAACCTCCCGTGTCGCATAGCCACGTATGTACTTTCTTATCCCATTATCCAGGTTCGCAACTTGGAGCCTGTGGGAAAATAGAATCACAAGTTCACCAACACATGCAAGGAAAGGACAAGGTTCTCATTTTGTTGAGCTGTATGTTCTGTTCAGGACTTCCAAGCGAAATACACGGTAGGAATAATAGAGAGAAGGAAATAGAGCAGATGACGGCTCGCTAGGGGTATGGGTAGTAAAGTGATGTTTTTGTGTAACAGAAGAATAAAAGGAAAGGTAGTGTGCAGCTCACCAGCTGACGTATGGGCAATAAAGCATTGAAAGACAAAATACAGGTGTACGATGGAAAGCTTGCCGTGACCAGATCGCGCATTCGTCGTACTCAAGGGGTATAGATGATCAGAGCACATTAGATCCGTAACAGCACACATAACGCCGTACTCCACCAACAGATCCCTATGCAACGTACAGGCTGGAGGCCATTCCTACTACAGCAACATGGCCGTCAGCAGTGAACAACTTCAGTGACCGACTGCAGGTACATGACGTTGACGTTGCGTTCCGTCCGCACGCCGATAGCTCATGGCCGCTCGGTCCATTGGCTCCTCCATGTCCGGAGAGTCGGCAGTATCGTAGGTGTAGCCGGCACCGGTCGGTTGAGGCCTGCTTCCTGCAACCATGCGTTCATTCAGGTGACGAGAATCGAAGGTGCTTGAGAAAGAACGTTTGTTGCTGGACCCGGCCGACATGGGCGGAAGACCCTGTGCCTGTGGGTTGAACTTGGGCAGAGCATAGTTCTGGGCCGAACCGTCAGAGTTGACAGACATGGTGGCTGAGAGAGTACCGGGAGGCGATTGGTAAGAAGGCGACACAGGCTCCAATTTGTCGGCGACAATGGGTCGCAATGATGGTAGCGCCTGGTGACTAGGTGTATGCACGGCACTAGGTGTAGACGAAGCGTACGCCTGTGGAGAAGTGTGCAGGGGTTGCAGAGGCTGCAAAGGCTGGCTCATTTGCTGCGGCCGACTGTACTGATCCATAGAGCCGTACGATTGCATCGAGTGGCTAGGTGCCGAGTATTGTTGGGTGGACGGCTGGGTCACAGACGGACGGCGGTACTCGACTGGGTGAGCATAATCGGGAGCCACCTGTTCCTGACGGGCGGGAGGCACCTGCTCATAGTGTGCCGGCTGCTGGTAGTTGGGGTATCCATACTGTTGGCTCACAGGCATTGGTGGCTGAGACTGGTGCTGGCTCGAGTAGCTGCTGTGTTGCGGGTGCTGTGGATGTTGCGCATGTTGTGAGTATGCAGTGGAGTGTTGAGGAGACTGCATCATAGGCGCTGTTTGTGGAGCTGAGTACTGTTGCGAGTATTGGTGCTGTTGGCTTGACGCGTATGACGGCATCTGTGTGTAGGTAGGGTTCTGCGGTGGAGGCATCTGTTGCTGGTAGCTATTGCTAGCCGGATAGCCATGTGCCATCTCTTCCATGCTCGGACGGCGTGGCGGTACCAGTGAGTGGTTGCTAGCATTGGAGACGGAGCGAGGACGATCATCGAGAGGGGCGTTGGATGGTGGATGGTAGTTGTCGGGGGTCGCTGTTCCTCGAGCGCGATCGTAGCCACCACCCTCCTCATCGTACTCGTCCCATTCCTTGGACGACTTGTTCTCACGGCGCCTCATCCTCACGTCGCGACGGATGCGGACGCGACAGCCCTGCTCGGCGACCTGGCGGCTCAAAGCAGTGCTCTCGGAGAGACCAGGGAACTTCTTAGCGGAGAAGACGGTGAAGGGTGCCGACTTGACTTCAGCACGGTGGGTGACAAAGTGGTTGCCATCATAGATGACGTCTGGGTCGCCGGGATCCAGGTCCTTGACCTCTGCCAGATTCTCGAACAGTGCAAAGCTCAAGCGGTACTTGCCCTCGTGGCGAACTGACAGGTCGGGGAAGATGAAGTAGCCGGCAGGTGTGGGGCGCTCGAGGTAGGCCATGCCCGCAACTGGGGTACCGGTGAGGACGGGGAAGCTGGGGCCCGCCGAAGACTGGCTGCGTCCGGCTGCGATGGGGCGCGCGTTCTCCAAGCTGGCGTGGAGGAAGAAGTTGGCATTGTAGGCGAAGGTGATCTCCTGGTCGTTCTCGAAGACGCGGAGCTCGACAATTGGGGGAGGGTCAACTGGACGGCGATCGGCACTCGACTTTGCGCCGCTACCACAGGCACGCGCGCGCTCGGGCTGCTGGATTACCTGCAGGTTGTAGCGGATCTGGCGGCCATCCTTGGTGGTGCGGATGAACTGAGACTTTGTCTCGTTGCTGACAGCAATCGTGTTCATCATGGATGCTGCGTCTCTATGGCGAGTCAGTATGCCGCGTGGTAGCAGAGTTGGGTCGAGTCGATCTCAGGGACTACCTCGCTCCACCCACCAGAAAGGCGCACTTACGTCGGTAACCACACAATTGGTACTTTGGGTTGGGTAGGCTAGAACAGCAAATGCCCTCTTCTCAACCACGGTATGCACGCAATCTGGCCTTGTCAGCACATGTCTCTGACACTGACTGCCATGAGCGCATCTCGTGGACGCCGCAGGGCCACGTCCGCATCGCTGGCTGACGCGTGTCCAGACTGTCGGCATACCAAGAACACGGAAAGGACGGCATGGGAAAACTTACCAACAGAGATGCAAGAGCGCTGTCAAAATAATGCGCAAAGCGACAGGTCCGACGAAATAGTAGTTTCCAAGATGGGGGCGCGAGGAGACGGGCTGTCTTCTGTGCTGCGGCGGTCGATGGCTGGTGGTGCTGAGAGGGATGGGTGCTGGGGGGCCCGAAGAGAGGCGACGGCGAGGCTGGCACGTCTTATCCAAAGTGAACTGTGAGCGAAAGTATCCTCCTACACGGGTCGCAACTCAATGATCCACCAGTCGTCGGAAGCCGCAATTGCAATGAGGGTGCAAGAGTCGGCGCTGGATATGTGAAGAATGGGGAGAGCTGAGGGCACGCGGCTATGAGAGGGGACGGCTGGGAGGCCCACTCGATCAGGCTCATCTGCACCTGGGCACTGACAGTATTAGCCGAACTGGAGCGAACAAAGGGAGTTTAGTCTGCTGTAGATAGCGTGCAACCCATGAATGCTCCGCGGACGCCTCGCGCGCCCACTTGCAGCCTCTGCAGCTCTAGCAGCCAGAGGGGCATGGCGCAGTGCATTCTCGACAGAACCATGGCTCGCTGGGTGCATACTTGCTCAGGCCCTTGGACAAGACTTCTCTCCACACCTTCTTTCTCTGCATGCACTGCATACGCCATCCACCAGAAGATGGCTGAGAGGCACCGCCATGACTCGTACGCCTCGAAGCGAGCACCAGGCGGGAATCGAAACATGTTGGCCCGCGGCTTACCAAAGTTAAACTAACTAGGTGAGCGGCCCACCGATCACACGGTTCCAGCTCACACACCCGGGTCGTCGATGAACAGCACCAGTGTCGTTCCATCACATCTTTCTGGGAGCCCTGGCGCGCTGGGTAGAAACCGAGGCAAACGGCATTGCTCATACTACGGAATCTTCCCAGCGCCACTGCTGGCCGCCTTCACGCTTCCTACCATGCTAATTCCAACCGGCGCTCAGCTGCGACGCCACGTCTGGGTTCAGAGCCGGTTTCTGTGGTAGGCCCGCTGGTGTATGGGGGATGCATGATGCCACGGGAGATACCGCGTAATGCCAAGAACGTGCCGTGTGACGAAGCTGGCGCGCACAGCAGATTGAAATGGCCTGACGGATGCCCGTCATCCGCACATCCATGTCAATGTACAGGTCCATCATCTCTCCATCGTTTTCCAGCGCCGAGTGTTTGTTTTTGCCTGATTGCTGACCGCCCCCATGAACGGTTCTCCAGCGGTGCTTTTTCATGCGACCGCTGCTGACAGACTGCCGACTGGAAAGCTGGAAACCAATGGCCAGCGAGGCGGATTCTAGCAACAAGCAATGGGCAAGAAACGGCCCACTCCCAAAGGATCATCGTGGCTGATTTGCCCCTGCTGCCTTTCTGCTGGATTGCGCCAAGTGGGATCCTTTACCCGTCGTTCCAGCCACCTTGATTCGCGCACTTTACCATCGGAAGCATGCAGCCCCAGTTTTCTTGTATCTCTCAACGGCCGGGATGCGCACTCTCCCGTTGAAGCCTCCCCCAGGGCCTGGGGCGATCAGATCCGCTTCACATTGTTGTCAACATCGTGAGCCCTCTGCAGTTTTGTCAAACCGTTGTGGTAGCAGGACTCTGTCCTCGAATGTCCATGTCTAACTTAATCCTGTGGCGATCACGTACCGCCGAATCATGCATGAGACCACCCGCTTTATCCGCAGCTGGAGCGACTCACAAAAGTAACATGCCATTAGAGTTTGCGGAAGGCGGAGGTTTCACCCTTCATTGATTGGGAGCCGCGAACCCACCACGCGCACATGTCAAACGCTCTGCCGGATGGAGGAGTGTCGCACTTAGGCTCCGACAAATCCTCCGGAGCTTAACCTGGCTGGACACAGCATCGTCTTTTGGTCTTCGCGCTCGACCCTGATGGACCTTGTTGATGAAACTCTGGTCGGATACTTTCAATAGTTTGGCTGTCCGGTCATGTCGGTCTGCCGCCCGTTACGTCTAAAGCGGTCGTCCCCGTACCCAAGGAGCAAGAAACGCCTGCAGACCGGCGTCGTCCCTGGATACCCTGGGCAACTCTGCACTGTCCCGCTATAACACACAAGAGTAGCCGCGTTATGGCCACAGTCGTATATGATTTGCAGCCTCTCGCGACTCTTCCTGCAAAGTATCTTCAGCCAGCTTGACCCGTCACTGTGCCCGCTACGAACAGCGCTTTGATCGCCCGAGGTCTGGATTTCCCACTCGTTTCACCTCAATAAAACTGCAGCCTTGCCAAATGGGCTGCATCCATGCCATCTCATAACACGGGAATATCGCACGGACTTGCATACCTTGAATTACACTTCGCAACGCCTATCGCGCGAAGCGTGATAGCACAGTACACCACAACTCCAGGCTGGGTGCATGCCTGTGGCTGACGTCTATGCTCCACTGTTCACACCTCCTCTTGGTTGCACTATCACGATGTCAGACCACGTCTTACCGAATCCAACGCTCCTGAAGGTACTGCAGAGCCACGTTGCTCTAGACTATCCAATAGACGCGACAAGGCTCAAATAATTGCCATAGGCCTAGCCAGCTTGATGACTGAACGCCTCCTGAACACGAATGTCACACTGAGGACAGCCACGCCATGACCCTGGGTCATCTTGATCAGTCTACCGCAGGCACGGTCTTGGCCTTAGATACCCATCTTTCCAATGGCCGGACCCTAGTGATAGCCACCATGCACCCAAATGACCACATATGACAGCCGTCCTGCGTTCGGGCGGCCTGATAACAGTAACCACGTACCTTTTCGTCCATGGCAACATACATGATATTCCACAGGGCTTGCTGTCTGCAATGCGGTAGCATGCTGCACGCTCCTTCCGCTCTCTTTCGATGAGATCGGAGTGTACATCAAGCACCGAAAGGCTTGAAATAGATCTACATGTGCATTACTGAAGGGCGGCTCCCGCCTTCTGGAAGCTACTGTCCTTCTAGAAGAACTCATCTGATCGGTAAAAGCATGCGGGTGTGGAGGGCCTGTTGGTACGTTGGCACCCTTACTTAATGCGGGAGGTTCAGCGGCTGCAGACGTTGGGTCCAGCGGCATTTTTGACGACTGCATATATACGAGGCTTGAAATAGAAGTGCGGATGCAGATCGTTTGTTGGTATCTGGTGCGCGCTGGTCAATCAGCGTCACAGGGAGTGCAGGGCGCTAACATGAATTCACGGTCCTGTCTATCTGTTGGTAACAGCAGCCCCTCATGGCGACTGAGAACATTCCAACATCTGAACCCTGCTCCATGGGTAGGGCACAATACACCAGTTGACCTAGGATTGACAAGACAGACTATTTGGGTTTTACACAGCCGCGTCCGTAAACACAATGGTATGCAATACTGATAACACGGATAGTATCGGTCGTCAACCTTACATTCCGCCTTGAGAAGGGTAGGTATACGTCACCTTACGCGTCGACCTGCCTGACCACGGTAGTAGTCTCGGTTCTATGCCAAGTCAGCTCGCTTCTATTTGGTCACACGATCTGTAGTTGCGGCTCCTCATCGTCTATCTTTGTGTTCAGACTCGACATATTCAGTTCGTCAATACCGTGGAGTACTTCTGACTTCAGTCGTCTCATTGTAATTTGTCTTGGTCTTAGTCTGTTGGTGCTCGACGGTCAGAATGCGATATTTTTCATGTAGTTCTTTACCGGTACCAGCTGCCGTGGCCGTTGACTCCAAGTAACAGCATTGGTCAAAGAGCTTCACTTCGTGTACTTCGCTCTTTCGTAATTTAAGACTGGAAAGGATAGTGGCGATTTGCTTCGGAAGCTACATCTTTGCATGCGTTGGTCAACCTAGTAGACTATCCATTCACTTCCCACAGAGAAGAACTTGATGAACTTCGATCACACCAACTCTACGGCACTTTCCCATTCTACAACCTTCAAAGAATGTGATATCAGCCTTCGCTATTACCACAAGGTTTTCATTGGCTTCTTTCTGAGTTCTACTGCTAGTCAGTCTTAATGCTTGTTGCTCACAGTGGTTTTGACGTACTGACCTTCTTCCACGATAGTCAAGTCAAGCCACTCGATCATAGGCAGGCACCATTTTCACATCCTTCTGCGCACCAAATGAAAGAAGAAACAGCGTTAGTCTTGCAGTCCACTGACACGTTCTTGCGGACACCAGACCATGGTTCGGGGTACACCGTACAGTAGCGTCCTTCACATATAGGTGCTGGTGCTGCAACTGCACTGGTGACGGTGAGCGTTAAAATCGTGAATGTAAAGCAAAGGAGCTTCATGATGAGGTTGTATATCTTTGAAGATGTGAAGATTGTAGATTCAGCCATTAGAATATAAGAAGAGACGGATGAGAATGGGAGAAAAAGTACGTGAGAAGCTTTATATACTTCTTTTAGTGCCATTCAGGCAAGCTGGCATATCGTACTATCGGCTGCTCATCACATGGGTTAATGGCTCAATAGCGCATTCTGTATTGTTGAATCTGCATGTATGTTCATAATCACACGACGTTCACACGCGTTGCATGCGGCGTCATGGTCCTTCAGGTGTAATCGACACGAAGCGACACCTCGCGCATCGCCTTTGATACGCCAATACGTCGTATCTCTCTTCAATACACGGCAGAAACCCAACTCCATAGTGTATCATGAGATCTAGACTACCATCTAGCCGTCTTCTTCTTATTCAACTAGTTAAAGCGATGCGGCACAGGTGGTCCCTAAACGCGTCCGGTGGACGACAGTAGCGCTTAGTTCCCGAGTGTATGGTCACAAGTCAAGTCCTCCAATCGATCTTTGGTGTGAAGTGTGGGCGAGCGAGTTAGTGGTCCAGACATAGATTCCCCTTGCGTACCTAGTGCGACACGTACCTTCCACCACTTGTAAATCACCACGACAGCGAAGATGCGACAACAACCGCTTGACGCAGAAAGAGAAACAAAGTCGGATTCTAACGCGTACTGCTATACACTGAGAAAGTACTTGCTCATTGGTGAATAATTACGCATATTGGTCATCTTTGAAAACCTGCATGTGACATTTGTTCTGTCATACTCTGTCCCTATGTCCTTCCATCGTTGTTCTCCGGTGGACATTTTACCTCATAAGGAAGATGATCTCTACCTTCAAAAGTGTTCCCAGCTACTTCCCTCTCATATAATTTGCTATTCTCCACTCACTAATTTCTCTGGATCTCCTCATCAACCCATCCCTGATACTTGAAACCGTCTCCCAACATTTCTTGCCTATCTAATACCTCCTTGTCGTTGTCCTTGTTACACCCTTCCATTACTCGATAACTCGCTTCTTTCTCCCTCAATCCAATACCCCACCCCTCCACCATCGCGTCTTCGAATCTAAACTCCCCCCTCCCCTTCCTCTTAACAAACATCTGCGTAGCCTTTTCACGCCCAATATTCCATCCGTCCACATCCTTGTTTGCTAACACCCAACTCGTTCCGTCTTCTCCCCTGTCTTCGTCTTGTGTTTCGATTCGTTCTGTTGTCCGCGGTTCCGACAAGATTTCTTGCATACGCTCACGAAACGTGGCACCGGATACAAGATTGGGAGCGAATGCTGTTGTGGGTTGATTGGGTGCGGGAGGAAATGTGGAAGGTGGGTTTGTTGGGAGAGAGGCTTGATGGATGAGACCTGTGCGGTTGGGTTTATGGACTGGTTGCGTTTGTGTTGTAAGATTGATGAAAATGTGGGAGATGCAGGAGAATGCCATTATTGTGAGTTTCACTTTCGTCTTCAGAGTCGTGCCTGATTGTGTGGATTAGTTTTTCCTAACGAGAAAATCGGTCTTGGAGTATGGTAAGATAACGTGTGGCTGTGCAGCGACTACTGCTTAGTGGCCAGTTGGTAACAGACGTCTTAGCTAGTCGATTCCTACGTCTTCGAGCGGAGATGATACTAAAAGTGTAGCTTTGTTATTAGTAGATGCCTTTTATAATAAGGAGCGAATCTTCCTTACATTTAGTACAGAAGGCTAGTCTTAGCGAGTGTTAACAGCTTGCCTCAAACTTGGTGTCTTCTCATGAACCATAACAGGATGTCTGCAATGAATGTAATCTAAGATGTTGTTTTGATCATTTTCATTCATAAGGATGCTTGTTTGTCGAACAATGGCTGGGCTTTGTTCCTTATCGATGCGCCTGAGACTCTCTCATTGTCAACACACGAGACAAGAAACATGTTAGTTGTGGAGAGCGAAACAAACTTCGTTTTGTCTTCCGGGAGCTATGTCTAAGCCCCAGCCAACATATTCATAGGCAGATTCTTATTTCAAAGAAAGAAGGTATGTTTGCTCTACGATCACAGCTCAAAATCCAGTTTCCATTTGGCTCATATGGGTGAACGTCTCAGAGGAAGCACGACTGCGGGACTCATCATCAACAATGCGACAAGCACTATGCTGAAGCGCACGATTTGGCTGACTCTAAGGTATGCTTTAGCAATCGACATGATTCAATAGTAGATTAGCATGAGGTATAGATTCAATCCAAGTCATCACGTATAGCAATAGACCGAATCTTAATTTTTTACACAGAAGTTTTTGTCGTTCGATTCAGAGACAGGATATCGTCGTGAATAGCCGGTATCTTATTATGTACAGTGAAGTCATGTAGCCAGGATACGATGATCCGTCACATGTATGTCCGCTCATTTGAGAGCTTGGATGCATTCAAAGGCCAACAAAACTGTCTAGGCTGGTCCGCTCTTACAGGAAGTAAGCGGCAGCACCGAGAACAGCAGCAACCTTGCCAGCGCCAAGAGCGACAGCGGCGTTAGAGGTTTGCTCAGGGAGAGCGCTGGAGGTACCAGCGGCAGATTCAGCAGCGTCACCACTGGCAGTGACAGTAGCAGTACCAGAGACGGTCTCGGCAGGGGCAGTGGTGGGCTCAGCAACGCCAGCAGGGCAGTGCCAGTGATCACCGTGGGGCTCGCAAGTGCTGGCGGTGGCTTCATGGTCGTGGTCGTCCTCATCGTCGTGGCTGTGGGATGCGGATGCAGTGACCAGGGCAGATCCAGAAGTGACAACGGTGAGGGTAGTTGAAGCGATGGTAGAGGCAGGGGTAGAAGCAGCTGTATCCTCAGCAGCCTCCTCAGCAGAATGAGAAGCGAGTTGCTCTGGGGTAGGAGGGGTAGTAGGCTCTGGAACACCGTCGGCGCAGTGCCTGAATGCTGTCAGTTTGAATCTGTAAAACATATATGTTCATGTCTCCTTACCAGTGGTCGCCGTGAGGCTCACAATCACCACCGGCAGTCACAGAGACAGTGTCCTGTGCCACAACGGCGGTAGCCGCAGCGAGAAGAGCAATTACTGAGAACCTCATATTGATGGATTTGTAGAAACGACCGTAGATATCTTGTCGAGTTAGGTGCGCGGTAAAGAGAGTGCTACGAGGACTTGAATACAATGTTCCGTGAGAGGCAGCAGGGTGAAGAACTCAAAGTGGTACTTCCGGGCTGGAGGTTTTGTATCCCTAGCCTTCGGGTTGCTGCTGCATAGCATACACCTACATGTCTGGGCACCGAGCCAAGGCGGCGGATTGACTTGGCGGTGGACATTGCGGTACTCAGTTTCCGTAAAAGAAGGCAAAAACTTGCGCCGCAAGGTAGTTGATTGGTATTGAACGGTTCTGAGTAGGCGGATTTACCGAGTGTGACGCTGGAGTAGTGTGCAAGAGCCTGTTGGGGGTGACCTCGATGCTTGGCACATGAGATGTGGATGTGGTAGTGGAGTTGGTGTTTACCGAACAGGCAAACTGTCCGGTCAGTTATTCATGATGCGAAGAAGAAACTTCGGAAGTAGGTAGAGATCTGCCTATGTCGGCTTAAAATGATGTGAATGTCCCAGTATAGAGCACGAAGATGGTTGGTACGATCGAGAAAGCGAAGGCAGCACCAGGATGCAGGTTCGAAGGACCGCATATTAGGCGAAAGCCGAGTTGTCCCTGGAGCTTCAGCTACCGAGAACGACATCAGAACTAACGCAGGTACCATCCACGGCCATCAATGTATCCGCCCACTGGTCGAACCAGCAGCTTGCTCGCGGCCAGTCTCGTCGAGTCGTTTGCCACATCAAGCAGGCCCCTGTCCCTAGAATGGGACATCATGTTCTTGCCATGATATAGGTCGTCGTTTTGTATCCGTATCCCCAGAAAGATCGGTGTGGTACTTGTGTCTATACACTATGCCAGTGGTTAGATGGATTGATGTTTTCTCATTGAGGCTCACCCCATTCCTTCAGCTACTCAAGCGGCATGTCAAATTGCAATATACACTTATAGTCAGTATTTCATTCGAGTCTCGTTGTGATACTGGGATTCCATAGGCGTCCCCGCCCACAAATGGATATGTTCCTGGGCCACTGGAATACTCATGAAGGGCGGCTTTCCACTCTGACGACCATCCTCATCTGGTGAGTGTTCTGTTCAATCCTTACGGGGGTCGCTATCAGTGCTTCGGTATGCCTTCTTTCATTCTTGTTGTCGAGCGAGATGTCTCCAATAGCAAGCATGCCCTTCAGCTCTTCTAACTCGAACATCGGCAAAACAATAAATCGTAACGAAATCTTGGAACAGCTAAACTGACATGGAAGAGCTGGGTAATGGGAGTCATATAAACGTTGCTGAAGATTTTCTTGTCTTGTTGATATCAGATGTAGGCCTGGAAAGCCACAAGGCCATTTCGGAACACTAGTTCGACCCACAGCAGTGCCTACGAATCGTTGAGTCAGTCACTATTCGCACCGGAAGGATGTTTTCATACAATTTGACTCGATCGTGAAATGAAGAGTGCTCGTGGCTCTGGAAAACCCCGCCGTTCTTAGCCGGCTGGCGAACATAGCACCTAGATACTATCGCAATCGAAGCAAGCACGTATCCTTTACGTGCCTGGGCAACATCCCATGCGAAAGACAACGCACGAACAAAAGGTCAAGGAGAAGCGCTGCAGAATACCTCCAGAGCACGCATTTGCTTACTTAGACCTGTCTAGGTAACTGCACTCACGAAAGACATGCATTATGTATGCAGGTGTTGCGATAAAAGTTGGAAAAGGTTGAGGTACGGTACGGCCTGATCGCTGCAATGATACCCCGCCACCCAATCTCGCTAAGATACGCCCCGCATGAGAGGCAATGTTGCTTCAGTCTTGCTGTCAGTCTCAACGTCTAAAGATCTGACTCTGCTGACAACCAGGATCAGCCATCAACGTGGTACTGGTTCGTGAGAATCAAATACCGTTAGCGTAGGATTACAGCGTGATAGATACCACCGACCAGCATCAACAACTTCTCACTCTCTGCTACTTCTTCCTGGCATCGACCCTTAGAACAAAACTCATTTACCAACCCAACCATCCAGTATCTGTTTCGAATCCTAAGGCTTTAGTTGGTTGCTCGACTCTGATTCGTTGTTCCACCCACGTTCTTCGAACCATACCTATCCCAAACCCACATCCTTGCTACGTATCTGTATGAAAATGCGCATCGCATCCACGCTGCGCATTGCGGCTCTGTTCGCCTTACCCTTTGTTTCAGCTCAAGACAACGATAGCGACTCAATCGCATCCCCCGGTGTGGGCAACAGCGACTGCCCCAAGATTGCACCTGGGCCGGTGAGCTTCAGCTATCTGGTGGGGCTTTTCACGCCTCAGACTCTCCCTGATCCAATTGCGACGGAATCTGTTCGTCAGACTCTGGCGCTCTATGCGCTCGCCATCGATGGTCGCAACTACGAAGTGTTGAGAAAGGTGTTCACTACTGACGCCCGTGCCAACTACTCTGACCCCATCGGTGTACTGAATGGTGTACAAGCTATCATTGACAACCTGGCGCCCAGTCTGAACAACTTTGTCTCCACTCAGCATCACCTGGGCACGCAAATGATTCACATCTGCAGTCTTACCAGCGCTGTGTCTGTTACATACTTTCAGGCTACGCACTACTTCACCCCCTACACCGGCGTTGCGAACCCGGTAGACAATAGCAAGGTCTTGATCGACAAGGCTCAGTATCAAGACACGTGGGCCAGGCAGAAGGATGGAAGCTGGAAGATCACCAACCGTAACTTGGTGCGGATGGTACGTTCCACACTTTATGTTCGCGACCGTATCGCCTTTGCTGACTGCATAATGAATAGGGTCCTGCCACACTCGACGGCGGCTTTCCGACTTCGTAATCTGTATTAGTATGTGTAGATCAAAATGTCAAATCCAGCAGACAGGGGGACTACACAGTTTTGGGCCAAAATAATCTACGGCAATAAGCTTCTCTGCTGCTTGTCGGTAAATCATCACTAGGTTCTTTGGGTTTGACATAAGCCGAATTCCCTACTTTAGTTGGTCGTTTTGCTGTGCAGGAGGTAGAACCATGAGTACTGTGTAATTACTGACCGCTTGCACAAACAAATTACCCAGGGATCGTCGAGGGGCAGTGACTCTGAGCTTCGTAGCCAGAAAGCACAAAAAAATGTACGCCACCGATTCACCTTTACTCAACGACATCATCTACATTTGAGGGTAGGTTACTTTGCTATTCACATAGTCTGCCAGTGTGTGTATATTTCAACGTGAGCACCATAATGAGGATACCGCATTGCTGGTGATTAGTAGGTCATAAAGTCTGGGCATTGACGACCTCGGTATGCTCGAGAAAATTGACCCTGAAAGTAGCTAGAGGCAGCGGAGCTACCCGACAACGCCTACTAAGCCAGTTAGGTCAGAGATGAAAGTAAAGCAGGTTGCTGCTCGGAGTCCATGAGTCGGGGGCTACCTGACTATACATATTTACCGAACTCTAGATGACTCGGTTGCCGCTTCTCCTGACTTGGCAGGCAGGACGTGCGCATCTTCGGCTTGCGAGACCAGACATCCGGTATCCACGACCGTGCGATGACAGACACGGGTCAGTCCGACCACGCGCCCCTTATTGGTCGAGGGAACTTTGACACATGATTCTTCTGTCATCTCACAAGTCAGTGTAACAAGATCGGATGGGAGAAGCATGCACAAAGAGTGGAATATGCAAATATCGTGTGTATTGCTCGTAGTGCTCTTGATGTAGCCTCTTTTTCGCTAACTATGCACATTACAAAGGAGATAAGGTCTACAAGTCTAACACATGATCATGAAGCTGATACACACCAGCAAAAGGAAACTAAATTCCGCGCCTGCGCGTACTAATGCAATCCGCTCTCACCAGTCTCGGCCATGTGGTTCTGGCATTCGACCATGATCTTGACCATCTGCGAGATCTGCTCCAAGCGACTGATGACGACCTTGTTGCCCTCAACAAAGCCGTAGCAGTTGTACTTGACACCGGTCTTGGAAGAAAATTCACGGACGAGCTCCTGGCCCCGGCGGAGGTTGTGGCGCGGCACACGAGGAAAGAGATGGTGGACGGCTTGGAACTGTAGACCGCCGTGGAACCAGTCCAGCCACGGTGGGCAGTCGACATCCATGGTAGTACGCATTTGTCGTTGAGGGAAAGACTCATTGGGTCCGAGATCCGAAGTGGGCATGCCCCAGTGAGAGAGTGTGATTTGTACGTGCAAGACCATGGTAACCATGTGCGAGACGATGACGAATCCGACACGAATCGGCCATGTAGGCAGTGTGATCCAGACAAGAAGGTAGCCGAAGAGGTACCAGTAGCAGCACATGAAGAGAATTTCAACATGTCGTGTCCACCATGCTGCGCCTAGCTGCGCAGCTCGTGGAGAGACTAGATGCAACCAGCCTAGGAAGTACAAGTTGAAACGAGCAAAGGCCATGATAGGGTAGTAAAGGTACTTTTGGTAGGGGACCATGACATCGCACGCTGCATCCCATACAAACTGGAAGTTGTAGAAGGAGGACAGAATGGATTTGATGTAAGTAGGAGAGGTGGAGAACAAGGGGATGTTCTGGATATCGGGGTCGTGCTCAGGCATGTTGGTGACGAGGTGGTGCACATTGTGGCTGGACTTCCACCAGCCGATACTAAGACCGCAGCAAAAGTCGGCGATGAAGGCACCGATAAGTGTGTCTGCGACAAAGTTGCCGGTGATTCCACGGTGGCCGGCGTCATGTGCTGTGAACATGATTTGCTGCCAGAAAAGACCAAGGAAGACGGCAGAGGTCATGTACCACTTGATGTAGAGGAAACCGCCAAAAGCAGCGAAAAGAAGACCGTATCGGATCGACTCTTTGGCATACTCGGAGTAGCGACATTGGTACAGGCCTTCGTCCTTGAACTGCTGGTGAAGTAAACGGTAGTTTTGGACAATGGCCTTTTGCGTCTCGACGTCGAGCGAGGGGTTGTCGCGGAGACCTTCTTCTATCTCCCTCTCTTCTTGCTCGATGGCATACTGCTCCCTGTGCCTCTTCTTCTCCTCTGCGGCGGTGACGACGGGCGTCTCAGCCTCATCTTCGCTCTGGATAAGAGGGAGCTTCTCAGGATCACTTGCCGGACGGCTGCTGGAGCGGTAGACGCAAGTATCGGGCTTTCCGATCAGCTTCTTGCTGATGATGGCGGCAGCCTTGGTTCATGTTAGCAAGGGCAGATGGTGCTCGGGAGTGTGGGGTAGACCCACGGATCCCAGGTCGACGCTCCTCCCGCGACGAGACTTTTCGGATTCTGGCGCCGCGGCCAATCGTTTTCTCTCCTTGAGATTTATGTAGTAATCGGGAGAGCGGATTGGAGGCTCGAGGTTGGCCCAGGGCAACTGTACACGACCTATGCGATGCTTTGTCATCATAAGCAGAGCCTTATTGGTGTGGTAGCTGTCGGTAGGTCAGTATGAGGTCAAGCTGGTGTGCTTACCCAGCGCTTCCGCAGACATCCGGCGACATGGTATAGGCGGACTTTGCCTTTTAGGGTAGGGTTGGTAGGGCTGGAGTAGATTTAGGCTCGTCCCGCATTACATACATATTGATCTCGTCTGTCGCATCTCTTCCAACCATGTGCAGGATAGCGAGACGACCACCCGGATGCCTATCGATCCATTCTCCGAGATGCAGGACGTAGCCCTCGTGGATCACAATCGGCTCGCCCTGGGCAATCTGGCGCTCGATCTCTGCGGGCGCGATTATTCGGTGTCGCGACATGATGATTGCTTTTGCTGGTTGTGAGAGGGGAGGGATGGCGGCGGCGTGTTAATCCGCGGGAAGCAGGATATATACGAAAGGCAGGAGGACGGCAGAGGGAATACCTACTGGCACCGAAGCTGGGTACTTTTTGGGGAGATTTCCCGCCTACGCCGTGTGCACGGTTCACGGGCCTGGCGAAATCTTGGAGCGTTTGCTTGCGAAGGGGGCGGAGCTGTTCAGGTACGTCACGTCTGTCGCTGGTGGCACGCATACGCACGCGAGAAGCGCGGAGGAGCCAACGACTGGAAGGCCAGCCAGGGGAGCTCGCAACGGTACCGCACAGTGGGCCGCCCCCAAGGCGTGTAGCTCGCAATCCATCCGCCATTGTGCTCGCGCCTAGCCCAGCTGGTTCAAGCCCCGCGAGCGCTTGAGGAAGACGGGAGATCAATCTCGCAGCGCACCGTATAGATTGGCGGCGTTGCTGCAGGAAGAATAGGGGAGTGGGCAACGGCTTCCTTTGCTCCAGCTGCCCACGGGCCCCTTCTAGGCAGGTGTAACGCAGGACCATGTTCACAATACACGCCAAGCCCTTGGGTCCGCCACGAAACGAAGAACCGAAGGCCCAGATGGGCGCTGCAAACGGCGTAGCGTGGACCCTGAGAGACCCCTTCTGCCCTTGCGCGCCTGTCGCCCCGCAACAGGGAACGCCTCTGAGTGGCCATGGCCTTTTCTTGCCCTCTCTCCCTCTCATCTCTGCAGTCGGCCCTGCCCTCTCTACACCACCCTCGAACCATCTCAGGGAGCTGGCTATCGGTCCATGTGCGACACAACCACCGCCGTCACCACTCTACAGCTGGTGACACGCTTGGCACAGCGCCACCACGTGCTGTGCGCCTGAGCGCGGCCAACGGCCCATCGGTCCCGATTGTCTCAAGCGCGTATCCGTAAAAGCAGTCTCGAGAGCGCACCTAGATCGTATTGCGTATCGATCCCCATGCGCTATATCACCACGCTCCACATGTCTGCGCCGCGCGTACTCGCAACAATCACCCCCCGTACGCAGCTAGCAGTGCACATCAAACGTGCTGTGTGCTTTTCCAATTACGACTCCTGGCCCCTCCTGCAATGCATGACACTAGGCGCCGAGACACCAGGGTTCAGTCAGTCATTGTAAACCTACAAGTCTTCAACACTGCATGCTGGGCTGGGACACAACCACTCATCAAAAGCCAGCAATGCGTCTGCCAAACGACCCGTAACTACGCCTATCAACACATCCGACCTCTGCTTCCGCGCCTCCCACAGCGATCCCAGCACTGTCTTGCAACAATACAAAGCAGAAGCTGCAGCCTACGAGCTGAGCCACATCAATAGACATGGTCGGACACGTGACTATCCAAGTACGCATCCAATCGTGAAGGTGAAACCACGAAGAAGCTTTTCCCGCAGGGTAAGGGTTGTTTTGGGCACCAGTGAACGTTTCGGACAACAATACGTGCAGCGCGCCGAACACCGTCAAGGCCATAAAAAAGCTAGGAGCACAACACAGAGCCCAAGTTTCATGGTACAGCAAACCATTCGCCCGCCCACGTGGTGAACCGTCATCAACCAATGTAATAAGCTTTGCGGCGCAACACAGCTGCAAAAGCAAGACGAGTGCCGGAAAAGAATTCATTGAAACAAATGTGACATCATAGAGGGGCTGATTAGAACATTGACGAAGCTCAATTGATTTTGAGTACAGTTTGGCTGCATGCTGAACTCCGTTCGGACTCTGGTCCGACTGGTCATCAAAATAGCTCGACTGATCATGTAATCAACTCGGCTGACTATGAAAGTACACAATAGCTCATCCGACTATGACTACGAAGTAAACTGGCCATGACCAAAATTGCGTTCGAGCATGCGAGAAGCTCATTGGGCTGGAAGCCAAAACCGGAGGTCTTCTACCTAGGCTCTCAAGGTCAGTGCTCGCTCGGCTAATGAATGAGCCGCCTTGACTAGACTTGAACCGATAATGACCATCAGTCCATCTGACCATGAGCACAAGTCAGCCCAGCTACCCTTTCCAGTCTGAACTTGTCATTCTAACCACTTCCCGATCTATATCAGTACTGCCATGAGCTTGGGTCTTCGAACAGCTCACCTGCAGGATGCAAGAATTTGTACAGGCTCTTAAGAGCCTGTACAAGGCTACACAGAGCGTCGTTAAGCGCCTCCGTTGGACGTGTTGTTTTCTTCTTCTATGGCTTCTCAATCAGCAGACATGGGCTCCCGTTTGTCATCAAAGTGCACTATTGGATGTTGGCTTAGCTCGTCGATGAATCTCATGACGCCGGTGTCGTCCTCGAATGGACCCAACATAAGAGCAGACAGCGTATGCGTTGTCAAAAATCAGGCTCATACGACAAATCTGTCTACCACGCTCAGCTATAGCGTCTTGAGTGATGGATATGGCATCAATCCATAATGACACGATCTGTGCGAATTGCGTGAGATGAACATCCACTCGTTACACGATGAGACACAGGCATACTAGGCAAGATTTCAAAAGATGCTTAAGATCTGTGGCATAAGAAGATACGATCAACCAACAAAACCATTGTATGCTACGAAGCCGTCTCCATATGTACCCAAGCATGAACGTCGAACACTCTCCTCAAATGGCACCCAACCGTTTGCGCCAAACTTTCTCAACAACTCAATGGATCTCTGGAAATCCACAGTGGTACTCGGTTTCCTTTTCCCAGTTTCGTCGGCTGGAAACATACGGTCCGGTGCTAGATCTCGGAATACACGGAGGAAGCTGTTGTAGTTGAAAGGAAAGGCAAAACCAAACAACCGCTCGCTATTGACCTCATCAAATATGAGCGCCGCAAGATGCAACTTTGCAATGTCTTCAACATCGACTTGCCACTGCGGACTATCATCCCGCAGCTTTGCTACGTATTCCTCTTCGGAAGGATGGTCAAAGGCGTCACGCACCCAACGCGCGGTGCTTCCTGCGCCTGCAACACTGAGAGGCTGTAATATGATGCCAGACGTGTAGTTTGGAAGTACAGTGTTGAAGACGAAGCTCGGTTTCTGTTCTCGCACAAAAGCCCAAGCTGCACGCTCGCATGCAACTTTCGAGGCGGCATACACAGCGTAAGCACGCTCGGGATGGTACGGTGGTGGTGCCCAGGCTTCGTCTAAGATACCGTCGTTCCATGAACTTGAGTTGATGTGTCTTGCCTCGTCCACCAAAGGTTTAGTTGCTGCATTACTGCTCGAGGTGTAGACAAACCTCTTGATGGTCGGTGTCGAATGAGCTTCCTCCAGTATCGCCTTGATGCCATTGACGCACCCTGTAATGACAACATTAGGGTCGGGACTGAAGCTCAAATCAGACGCGACGTGGGCGACGCCTTCACAATCAGCGAGAAGATCTTTGAAGGCTCCTGGCAATTTCATGTCTGCGACTATGACAGTTTCGAAGGAATCTTCTGCCTGATCGTGACGCGTTCGGTAGATGGAATGCATCATTTCTGCCTCATCCTGATTCCGTACGGCACCTCGGACGCGATACCCGGCCCGAATCAGATGATCTGCCACATGGGAGCCGATGAGACCGCTGATGCCAGTGACAAATACTCGACTTCCGGCGGTGATAATTGTCATGGCGCGAATGATTTTGGGCAATACAGCTTGAAGGAATAATAAAGCTGTCTTTAAGAAATCCCTGTTACGTGCTTGTTCACACAATCGTCCTCGGGCCGTCCTAACGGTTGCCGCTTCTTCCACCAATCATATTGCGGCTACACTGAAGCCACATATCCTCTCAGATCCATCAACAGTACCATGCATGCCGACATCACTTCCACCTCTTCGATCTCTTGTGCGCGCCACGGTCTCTCATCTCAACCTTGATTGACGACTTCCACGTACTCGACATTCTTCCTCCAGGTGTTGAACGTGCATCAAAATAGGCTAGCAAATTGATGTTGGCATCGAGCAGCCACAATATTGAAAGCCAATTCGTTCCGGGGGTCATGGCCAGGCTTGAAGGACGTTCAGGGTACTGACAGTCCGCACCCATCTGTTTCCTCGACAACGACCCGTGTGGCTGCTCGGCCTCTCCTCCAGTCAGTTTCTTTTTCCTACCATTAGCCTCCAGCCCATAGGCGTACTTTTCTACCATCGCCAACGGCTTTTCGCTCACGAATGTAGGCTCGGTTTGATGAAGCCTGTTCCTGTCGTTGCATCAATGCTAGTGTTACTGCTCACACTTTGTATTCGTCTTGCTGGAATGCCGAAGATCGTAACGCTACAGTCATTCTACCCATCGCAGTGATGCATGACAAAGGCTCCCACTGGAATTTTCAACGCACATAAGTAACAAGACCATTTGTTGATCAGTGTTCGTGTCAATAGAACATGTATTAGTGTACGTTCGAAGACTATACCACAAGCGGAATGACTACAGCGAATAACCGTTCGCCATCCTCATCTGCCATAACGAGAACCCAACTGCCCTCCCATTCGTCTCACATCATATCATAACGACGCCTATTCCTACAATTCCTCCTTGTCCTCCTCCTCGACCTCGGTATCCTTGATAGGATCCCTCTCTGCATCGCGAATTGCCTTTTCGAACTCTGCCGCTTCCTTGGGGCTGTTTGCAAACAAATGATCCTTGACGAGCCTTTGCGGTGTCTCACCAAGCCACTGGAACAAGCTGAAATCCTGGTACTTGTCTGTACGGAAGATTTCCAGCACCTCGACGTCTTCGTCATCGGAGAGATTCTCGATGAAGTGTCCCATGTTACGGGGAATGACACCAACATCACCGGCTTGGAAGTCAAAAGTACGTGCTGTACCTTTGGCGGCGAAGATGGTCACACGGGCGCGGCCAGCGATGAAGAACGACCATTCGTCTGCATTAGCTGTGGAAATGGGTTAGTGAGACGTCAAGCATGAGTGGGTAAGTGACTTACGATGCCAATGCATCTCACGGATCGCGCCAGGTTGAATACTCAGGTGTGCTGCAGCGACAGTCTTGGAGATGGGAAAGTTTGTCGAATCAGTAATGCGGACTTGACCACCAGTTGTGTTAACAGGCTCCTGAGCCAGCATCTTGTGGGTGAACTGGATCTTGGACTTCTTGTATCCTTTACCCTTGCTTGGCACCTCGTCGTCAATGGAACCAGGCTCTGAGCCTTTGAAAATGTACTTCTCGCTCTCGGGGATGGCCTTGAAGACTTCTGGCGATACGCGGAAGTTCTCACCCAAGACTGACTTGGGTGTGAGTCGCATCCAGTCAGTAAGCAGAAATGTGGAGTCTTCAGAGAAGTTGCCGTCGTCAAAGACCAGTAGGAACTCGGTACCGTTGGGACTAAGACCTTGCAGGGAGTGAGGGTGGCCAGAGGGGAAGTACCAGAGGTCACCCTTCTCCAAGTCGTCGACAAAGGAGCCACCCTCGGGGTCGAGAGCAGTGATGCGGACTTTGCCTTCAAGGACATAGGCCCATTCAGCTTCCTTGTGCCAATGAAGCTCACGGATGACACCTTCTTCGAGACGCATGTTGACACCGGCTAGCTCTTTGCTAGTACCCAGCTCGCGAACGGTCGTCTCACGTGTCCAGCCGCCTTCTTCGATACGGATATGCGAATCGGCGAAAGACCAACGCATGTTGGGGATGGCGCCATGATCGGTGCTGGGTGGGCGGACAAGATCCGGGTTCTGTCGTTCGCGGGCACGGTTACGAGGCCCTAACACACTCGCACCGTCACCGTTGCGCTGCAGAGTTGGTTAGTGTGTGGGTTCTCTATAGGCTTGATGTTTGTTGTTCCGTAGAACAACCATGTCAATGTCGAACTCACGTATGGCAGTGGTTGAAGCTTGTCGCCCTGGGAGTCAATCTTCTTGTCGAAGGGATCATTGTTGCCAGGCTTGTATGGATTGAAGACCTTGTTGGGCCCCGCGTGGTGTCGCGCGCTACCAGGGAGTGGTTGTTGTTGCTCCAAAGGCGCTGCAACGGCACCACATACGCCAAGCGCGACAAGCAACGACGGAAGATGCATGATTGCTTCAATTGACTTGGAATGCAGAAGCTGAAAAGGAATCACAGCGTCGAGTCGCTGTCGACGCGGCAGACGTCGCCCTTTTGACGTGCCGCGTGCATTGCGCGTTGCCCAATGCCGTGTTCCGATGACGACAGATGCAGCCATTATCATTTATGATGCTTGCTTGACACTAAACCATCACTTGGTCCTTCCCGCGGCATCTCCGCTCGTCAATCACCATTTTTCCACGCACCATACCCACTGAAAACCGTTTCCCCGCACACCAAACGCATTGCAAAGCCACATCAGGAAGGTGTACCAGCCACACTGCCTGAGGTATCCTGCGATTTCCGTTGCCAGCATCCAAAGCTTGACTGAAGCTTGAGTCCAAGTGCCTGTCGATCTGCACGCTGGCACGCGTCTTCCCGGTTGCGCTGGCGCGAAAATCTGCACCCCGCTCCAATTGACATAACTACCGGCCCTCGCAACCCTCCCAGGATTCGACAGCACGACCTCCTCTCCCTCGCGCCTGCAACCATGAGCAGCAGAAACGCCACACGCAGCAGCGCAGACGAAGAAACGCCGCTTCTCGGCCGAAATGGCTCCACCGGCGGAAAGTCGGACAACATGGGGACTGTGCAGCGGTTCAAACGGCACATGAACTGCGATGTCACCAAGAACTGGGCAGACCTTGTTTTGTTGTTTTGCTACATTATTACGGGCCTACTGGATAGCTCGGCTGTCTTCATATGGGGCTCTTTCGTGAGCATGCAGACGGGTGAGTAAGACGCGCCATCTTTCCTGAACCAGAAGCTTACCAATAAACAGGTAATACCGTCTATCTTGGACTGGGTGTTGTTGCACCATCTGAGGGCATTCGTTGGATCAAGGCCCTAACGTCCATTACTGCATTCTGTGCGGGCTCGTTTTGTTTCGCACGCTTTCATCGTTACTTCTCGCCTGCCAAGAGATGGGTGCTCATCGTTTCCTATTCTTTCCAAATGCTGCTTATCGCCGTAGCGGCATTGATCGCGACGGTCGGAAAGGATACCAAAGAAGGCCTCCATTGGCAGATGCTTGTCCCACTTGCTTCGGTTGCTTTCCAGTCCAGCGGACAAGCGGTTACGTCACGCGCCCTGAAGTACAATGGTCTCACTAGTGTTGTGCTCACCAGCAACTATTGCGATCTGTTTTCCGATCCGCAATTGTTCAAGCTGTCGAATGTGGAGCGTAACAGGAGAATTGGTGCACCAGCGATGCTGCTTCTGGGAGCTTGCATTGGTGGTCTATATGCCCATAGTAGTGTAGGCCTTGCAGGTGCCTTGTGGACTGCTTGTGGGTTGAAACTGCTTGCAGTTTTTGCTTGGGTTTTTTGGCCGTCGGAACTTTTGGAGGAGTGAAATTTGGGCCTGACAAGAAGAATTTAACTGGGTCCTATTAGCTAGTCCTAATCATGGTACGAACGCCTGCACAAATTATACCCTACAATACTCTCCAATGTATACATAATCACCTAATTTGATCCTTCTGCAATTGTCATAACCGCGAGTCTTCTTGAATTACGTCCTGGTTATCCCTTTTTCTCTCAGATACCCTGTCTACGCTCTGGAATGAAGCCCAACAATGCAGGTTGCCCCGAAATTGTCAAGACCTGTGATGACCAATTGCTGCTCAAGGCAGAGGTCTAGGAATCTGCTGGTTCTCAAAGCTGCCTTGCAGAACCCACAGTAATGGCGTTTGGTTTAGAACGTGTCACTCAGCATTTCCAGTATCGGAATGTTTTCAGCACGGAGCAGAACGAGCTTGGAGTTGTGGTACCAAGACCCAGTACAAAACCATCTTGCTCCATTCTTGACTTGCATTCCTTCTATTAATATCACATCATCAAGGTTTTTGCTATCCAGACACGTGATCTATGAAGAGGTAGAGTTACGCGTCACGCGATTGATTCTACTAGAGACGTATCCAGTCGTCTAAACGTCAGATGGAGCACCCGAGAAACTACCTACAGCTACTGACATTCGATGAAATGATTCGGCAACCGCTTTCGAGTAGGTATGCGAATTTACCTGTACTCGGGTGGACTCGGGCTAATTTTCACAGAATACTCAACATCGTGAGTGAAAGCAGAGACGAAACGCAAATCCGTCACCACGCGCTTACAATGGTGCCCTGGAGCCTGGAACTACGCGCCACCGAGGCGTCTGTAGTCTCGCGTATTGTCACCGCAACCCAGACATGCTCTCACCTGACGCCGCAACATCGACGAGAATGGCTCTGTCCTTGATCCACCGTAACTTCTCACTTCTGACACAACTAAAACACGCGAAGCGCACATCTCCAGGCACATCAATTGCGATCACCAACGATGTCACTCAACCCATTGAAGAGGTCCTTCGACACCATGATGGCCATGTTGAAGGTGAAGGAATTTTCAGAAGACGCCATCATGACGACCGGTTCTCCCTCTCAAAGCTTCACTAGTACAGACTCCGGCGCGATGGACGTCGACAACGATAACGATCCGAAAGACAGTGGCCGCGACGTCCATCGCCTTTCGTCATCTCATTTGGGAACGCAGTCTACTCAACATGTCAACACTTTCATCGTTGATCAACATGGCAGTCACGACTACACCAGCACCACAGGCCAAACACTGAACACCTTTCAATATTTCGCCGACCTGCCTTCCAAGGTACGCTTATTGATCTGGTCCTTCGCCGCTCCAGCAGCACGGACTCGTTTCCTCGAACTACACACCTATAACACCATTGACCACACCCCTCGCCTCCGCTATATATCTCCACTTCCGCCTCTCTTCTCCACAAACCAGGAGGCCAGGAGCTTCAGTATCGCACACGAAGGTGGAGAAATCGTTACTTTCACATCAAGCACCTTCACCGATTTGTTGTCTTTTCACGGACGGAAAATTGGCGAAGTAGAAGATAGAGAAAAGGAGAAAAAAGCATTTTATTTCAATTTCAACCTGGATATTATCTGGTTGAGTGCTAGATTCACAGCTGCGTGTAACACTACTGAGACACATCGTCTCACGACGCTATCTTCCATCCTTCGACCTACCACTCTATCGCGCATCCAACGTCTCCTAATCTCCTACTCTGGAATCGATTCATATACTCTCATCGGCCCTATATTACGCCCTTATGCACACCTCACGACGCTGTATCTATGTATGAACGATGAGCGAGTTCGTGAGAACGTGAGAACGTTGCTGATGAAGGGTATACCGGCCGAGGGGGCGATGGCGAACAAGTTGAGAAGCATGATTGAGCAGGCTGAAGCTGAGGAGACGGACGATGAGGAGGAAAGTGAGGAGAGTGAGAAGGAGCGGCTGGCGGTGAGGCAGTGGAGGAGGGTACTTGAAGTGAATACAAAACTAGGAGAGTAGTTAAGCTGGAGTAGTCTTGGAGCTTTACGCCAGTTGGAGGTGTATTGGAAGCTTTGGAGCACTTGAGTGTCGAGTGTCGATTTAGGGATTTCAGAACACCACTTTACCATCACAGCTTCAGTGCCATAAGGAAGTGGAAGCCCAAAGACAACCAAACCATTCTACACTTGCCAATAGTTTCGATACAATATACGAAGTGCTAAACAACGATATCGCTCAAGGACGGTGACTCGTCCACTCTCATCCTCGACAGCTCAAAGCTCAATACGGTGTGATCCATGTAGTACATTAACAAGCGCCATCGCCTTGGTTGCAGTGTCTCTTTGTTTTGTTCCAACGCTTCAGTGTCTCTTGGAACGTCAAACATGCCTAGATCAGACACAAGTTAGACACTGGATGTATAGATGAACACTCTGCATCGTACCTTGTATGGGTGCTACAGCTATACCAAGCAGTCGTCCCTGTGGCACTCCAGTAACTTTTGTCTGATCGCTTTTGTGGAAAGGCAACAAATACTCGAGCTTGAATCCATACCGTGGCTGTTCGTGGTCCTCGCGCTTAGTAAAACATAAGCTGAACACGCCAGCATGGCCAATCGGAGATCCGACTATGAAGATGCCTAGCTCGGGTACCTGAGAAAAGAAGCAGTGTCGATCTTGAGAGGTGAGAGCCTCTACCCATCGGCCCGGATGTAGTGGTCGCTGCATAGCAGTAACCTGCAATGTCGGTGTACGAAGTCAGTGCGTATCTCACCTGCATTTCGTAGATTGGAATTCTCACTTGATTGAGGGTATAGTTCATGGATGTCTTGTGTGAGCCCTGAACGAGAAAAATGTCCTCCTTCGTAAAGATCAAAAAAGGAGCAATGATGACATCCTAGTTTGGTCAATTTGCAGCGATGTAAGAAGGTGAAAACATATATCTTACGGTGCCACTGAGTTGTGTGAGCTGTCTTGGATGCTTCACTACGCGATAAGGTCTTTTGATTACGGGTTGGGCCGCATAAAATATTCCCAGTTGATCTAACATATGCAGGTGAGACTCATGTTGAATGAGCGGTTGTGCAGTGTCGCCGTCATGAAGCTCGCCTGCCATCTAACAGCGACCATGTAGTTAGTACTATGTCGTTTGGCAAGAATCTCGTTGTGTGTACTTTGAGGGTATAATTTGAGCCGTGGCAATAAACAAGATGACCTGAGCTTCTTTATGCACACGCTTTAACTTACAGCTTGGATCAATTGCGCAAAAGGTTGTGCGGGTTGTTCGTTATCTGTACCGTCGTCTCCATCATCTGCGGCCTCCGAACCGTATTCACTTTCGCTAGACTCGGAAAATGGAGAGGTGCTGTTCGAAACTCGGAAGCGTTCCTTCTGATTGGTGATGTCCATAAAGTCGGCCGTACTGGCAACTGGAGTGGATTCTTCCGCTGGGGACAACTCATACGCCGATCGTATATCCAGTGCTATAGTACCCCAGGCGCCATGAAGTACATTCTGAGCGGCTGGGCATTCGCACAGAAATCTGTGGCGAAAGTAACGAGGCGGCGTCGAGAGATCGCTCGCGCTTGCGCACCAGCCCAGCTGAAACGTGGCTACCTCTTCTCTCGAAGTCAAGTCCCAAAGTTGAGTTTTGCCATCGATACAACTGCTCAGAAGCCAACGCCCGGAATCGCCGTAGAACGACAGCGCAGGGATGTTGTTTGTCGCTGAGAGAGTAAAAACATCATCTTTTTGCCTGCTATATGGGAAATTACGAACAGGCGGTGAAATTCCGTGGGTATCATGGTCTGAGATGTCCAAGTCGATACTAGAAACGAGCGCATACGCAATGATGGTGATACGATGAGTGTTCTATCCAAGGTCAGAAGAGCAGGGCGCATGCGAGACTTGAAAGTCATCATTACCGCACTAATTGCAATGATGCGGGCCTCCCGATGCACCGCTAAGCCCCATGCACTCGCACCTACGTTACGGTGGAGGAACACATGAATGCTATCGTCGTTGATAGGCTCTTGCAAATTGGTCCTGTGTTCGAGTGCTCGTTGGATATCTTGAATTCTATATCCGACAACGTCACCATCGTCACAGGCCAGAAGAAGAATCTCTTCATTGCCGAGATAATCAACAATGATACGGGTAATAGAGTGAGGGTTTGAAGGGTCAATCCCTTGTCCAACAACACCAGTTTTGGGCGGATGTAGGACAAGCTCAGCCTCGCTAGGTAAGTTCTGATCAGGAAAACTGGGTTGATAGACATGAACCTCATCGACAGAGGCGAGGAAATAGAGATTGTATCGACGCGAAAGTGCCGTCAAGTCGCAACGCCATCCTCTCAAGCTTGGTTGTGCGACGTTGTCGGGAAACTATTCTGGGTCAACGGCCGTCTTGAGAAGCCAATTGGTCAACTCAGCAAATAACTCACCCTTTGGTCTCCGCGATGATATCCCGTTGGGATACAAGCGATACGTTGGTACATAGCGAATACCGCATCCTTGCCTGGAGGGAGGTGATACAGGAGCGAAAACGAGAGAAGGAACGTGAGTTGGTCGCACGTGTGTGACGTGAGCTAGCGTCGAGCACGGCCTCATGATTGGTCGATTCAACGTGCTGCGACTACCCCAAGGATATGGAGAAGTCTGATCTAATGAGCGGTAACGCACACTCCAGCCAGAGTGGTATGCTATGTAGTGTTTCATAAGACCACACAGGCAAGACAATGTGAGAATATTAAGAGTTTGTTCCACAAAGCAAAGCCCAGAAATGACACTCTTCTTTGTGCTGGGAGACGGCTGTACAGGATGCATTTTCACAGATTTTCACAGAATTCCACATGTGGACGTAGGATCGAAAAGAGATTCCCATGTCAGAAGCCTTTCAGCTTCGTTGGTATTATAGTGTTATTGCGCGATATGAACATAATAGTCATATATATCTCTAGTCAAGTTCTCCCTTACGAAGACGAGGGCCTTCGCAACCCGATTGGATAGATCATAGCTTGAACATCAAACCCGGTAGATTGAGACACCGAACGCCATCTAATGCTTCGCAGTGACTTTGTCGCCGGTGAGCTTCTCAACAGCCTCCTTGGCACTAAAGATTGATTAGCGAGTCTGCGCACATGTGGTAGTAATGGCAAAACTTACACATCACCTAGAGCAACCATGCAGACCGTCTGCCAAACGCCAAGACCAATGCGGGGAGTAACACCACGGTAAAGACCCTTGATACCGTTGTTCGAGTAGATGTACTTGAACGCTGATGCAACGTTCAGGTTCTTAGGGCGGTTAGGGTCAACAGTCTTGGACTGGAGCTCAACGCGAATAACCTCGATAGGTTGGTTCCACGCGCTCAAGCCACCACCGAGAGCTGAAGCAGTGATTTTTTCAACCACTGAGAGCTTCTCGCCATGCTCTTTGTCCATGACCTTGCGAATACCGGTTTCCGCAACACGGGACAGACCAAAGCGAGATCCCCAGTTGGTGACCTGGCGCACCGCGACAGCGTTGACACCACGGTTGATACCGCGGAGACCCTCCGTGCGCCAAATCTGCATGAAGGTCTCAAGCGTACCTGGGGGCTTCGCGCCGGTGGCTGCAACCTTGTGCTTTGTGATCTCAACCGTCTTCATGCAAGTGCAGAAACCCATGGTGGCATAGGCTTGCGCGAGACCACCCGTCATACCACCAGAGATACCAGCAAGGAAGTCGGGAGCGCCGAACGACTTGGCGTAGTATTCGGCTTCCGAAGCGACAAAGAGGAGGACGGCTCCCTTGGTGGAGGCTTCGATCCAGGCCCATGGAATGAGACCCTGGTAGACTATAGGCTTGTTAGTGACAAGTGTTGAAAGTCATGCAACGTATACTGACATCCGAGAACACCTCCACGCGCCCAGATGCGGCCAATAGCTCCCGAGAAGCCTTCAGACCTGTTGGCAGCCATGGTAGTCTTGACGACCTCCAAAGGCTATCGTCTAGCGTTAGTGTGTTTCCAGAAAGCACATAGTTCTCAGAATCTCGTACCTGTCCCAGAGTTGTTACTCTGTAGGGCTCAGTTAGTGCCAATCCTGTCCTGGGGTCGAAGTGGGCTGTGTTTACTTACTCAAACATGTTGAGACCAGCACCAACTGTGGTTCTAGTCAGCATACATCAAGACTCTTCATTTGCAGACAGACTCACGCAACAAGTTGCTGAACTTGACCGGCTTCTTCTCGAGCGTTGGCGGGCCGTTCCTGGCCATGCTGGGGACGCCCGTCGCAGGTGTGGAGCTCATTCTCTGGGGTTCTCTTGTCGAAGATATGCGGCCTGACCAAGGCAAAAGGGTGCTTCGTCGCAAATGTGAGTGGTATCAAGTGTGTGAGCAAAGAGAGGAAAGGGATGCATAGAAAAACGGTATAAGCTTGCGAGGTGGTCTGTGTTACTCTGGTTGACCGCCGTCCGGGCGCGCTATAATTGGGGTTGTCCCTGAGGCTATCGGCCACTTGGCGGAAGAGCCATGTCCCGCTCATGCTTTCCGCACCTCTGTACCATGCTGGAGGGGTCTACCGTTGCTTTTGCAATCCATGTTCCTGTGCAGAGTCGCTCCCTCCAATGCGAGAGTCTTCATGCTTGCTTTTGCCATTTCCACGCACGACTCCATACGACATCAGTTGCACAGCAAGTTGTTGGGTCTCGGATTGGCGTCGGGCGCGCTGCACAGCTCAACGATCCGTATCGGTTCCCCATCGCTCAACGAAAGGGGATACCCACACCCCGACTATCCCGGTTACTTTTCTCACCGTTCGTTGCTTTTTGCAGCGCTGCAATTGGGCCAAACTCGTGCAGTCGTATCATCTCCCGACGTGCTCGTCGGCATTCGTCGTGCACAGAAACACAATATGGTGAACTTCATGGAGAGTAGATTTCTGGTCATCAAGACATGAGATTACAGCAGGTCGTCTACTGAAAAGTAGTCATATAGCGCCGTAACGCTCCCGTTCCCTATCCTTACATTGCAATTCTACACAGGACAAGGTATCTTAGAATGTCAAACAAATTCCCCCCACATTCTCCTGACTGTAGAGCACGTTGCAGTAACGTGCTTACAACTTTGCGCCCACCAACTTGGCGTAAGCCTCAGTGCTGAAAGACTTGGGCCTCTCAATGGGGGCACCGACGGCACGGTCAATGATGAGCTGGGGAAGGACACCGAGCGCACGGGATACACCAAAGAGAACAGTGTAGTAGTTCTGCTCAGTGAGGCCGTAGTACTGGAGGAGGACACCGGAGTGGGCGTCGACGTTGGGGTAGGGGTTCTTGGTCTTGCCGTGCTCGGTGAGAACACCGGGGGCGATCTTGTAGACCTGGCTGACGAGCTTGAACATGGGGTCGTCGGGCAGGTGCTTCTGAGCGAACTCGCGCTGGGAGACGTAGCGGGGGTCGGTCTTGCGGAGAACAGCGTGGCCGTATCCGGGTACGACTTGGCCAGCCTTGAGGGTGGACCACAGGTAGTCCTTGATGGCCTGGTCGCTGAGGTCGTTACCAATAGCCTTCTTCATCTTCTGGAGCCAGACAAGGACTTCCTGGTTGGCCAATCCGTGGAGAGGACCAGCAAGACCATTGAGACCGGCAGCCAGAGACAGGTAAGGAGAGCTGAGGGCAGATCCAACCAAGTGGGTGGTGTGGGCGCTGACGTTGCCACCCTCGTGGTCGGTGTGGATGGTGAGGTACAGGCGCATCAGCTCAACGAAGTCCTTGTTCTCGGCGAAACCGAGCTGGTTGGCCAAGTTGAACGAGTAGTCCTTGTCCTTCTGGATGGGAGCAACCTTGCCATCTTTGTAGATGTTGCGGTAGATCTTGGCGGCGAGAGTGGGGAGCTTCGCGATGAGGTCCATGGCATCCTCAAAGGTGTGCTCCCAGTACTGCGACTTGTGCATACCCTTGGCGTAGGCCTTGGCGAAGTTGGACTCGTGCTCGAGAGCGGTGACGGCGAGAGAGAACTGAGCCATTGGGTGGAGGTCGCTGGGGCAGCGGTCGATGAGCTCCTCGACGAACTTGGGGACGTCGGAGCGGGCAGCCCACTCAGCCGAGAGGTCGCGGACCTGCTGCTCGGAGGGGACCTCGCCGGTCAAGAGGAGCCAGAAGAGACCTTCTGGGAGAGGCTCCTGGCCACCGGGGGCCTTGGGGAGGAGCTCCTGGCATTCGGGGATCTATCACATATGAGCAGCGGTTCCAGAAAAGCGGTAAAAAATGCTAGAACATACGGTCTTGCCACGGAAGCGGATACCCTCCTCAGAGTCGAGAACTGAGCCCTCCCAGACGAGGGACTTGATGCCACGGGCACCACCGTAGACCTGGTCGAGAGTGACCTCGCCGACAACAGTGTTGCCGTGCTCCCTAGGATATGATGTCAGCGGTGCATTGCGGCGGGCGCGGGCATGACAGCACGTACTTGCGGAGCTTCTTGATCTTCTCGATCTCGCCGGGCAGCTTGTTGGCGAACGTCTCCTTCAGCGACTGCAATTGGCTTGGTTAGCGTAGTTCCTAGCCTGGAGAAAGCAAGTGGGCATACCTGAGTCTTGCTGGAGTAGCAGCGGAGGCCATTGAAGGCTGTGGTCCGCAGAGGGGCGGCAGCGCGGAAAGCGCTCGACAGTCGTAGAGCAGATGCCATTGTAGTGATGTGTGAGGAAGGACAAGAGGGCGGGTGGATGGGTGCGAGTTAAAAGGCTGCGATCGGGACGATGCGAGAAAATATCGGTGGAGCTCGCACGGTCGTCATGGTCGCGCAACCATGCAGCGAAAGGAATACTACCCGCGCGGGCAACGTTCGGAAGTCCCTCAGTTCCGGAGCTGTGGGATCCCCTTCACAATTGCTGTCAAGTGAAGGACGCCGTCACTCAATGGCCCGCATGTAGCATACCGGGAGAACTCATGTTGTTGTCGTGCCCATGTCTACTTGTGCTTTGACATCGATTACGTAGCCGCTACTGCCCATGTCCGTGTATACAAGCCATGGTATGGAGTAGCTAAGCTTGGAACATGTAACAGGACATCTTATCGCCTCGGCATAGCATTAGTCGTGCTTGGAGACTGCAGCAGAGAACATGCAGACAGAAAATGCTCGTATGCCGTATGCAAGGCACAGATTCTGCTGTGGGTCATACAACTGGAAGAGGCCACATGTACAGAAAGGCCGGGACATTGTTGGGTCAACAAATGCAGGGCTCCCAGATGCTGCAAGCGTCCGGCCAGCAGCCTTGGAAGTCCGGGCTGGGGTGGAGCACTCCATCATGTCGTCACGTGTCGGCTGCTAGCGCCATTTTCTCAAACTCGGCACGAAGGAGGCACCTAGCCATCCCTCTGGACTCCATCACACAGGTCTCACTCGCCTGCACTGCAACTGCGCCCTTGACGTAGATCAGCCCCAACTCTTGCGACCTATCCCCACTGCTTCTTTGAACTCTGGTTCGCTGCGAATCTCGTAGAAATCGCTGGCGCATCTCAATCTCTGCGCGCGGTCGCATTCTAGATTGAATCGCGCAACAGTCCGCTCCCTCACCCTACACAACACGTCAGCGCAATCCCCCCACTGCGCATTGCATCTCGCGCTCAGCTCGCTCAACTGCACTTTTCGTTCTCCAGTCATCGTACTACCTAGATCTGTCCGCTTCGGCTGTCATCTTGCGGGTTCGAGTAAAGTGCTTGCGGGTTTGCCATCTCGGTTCTCTCACCACCGCGCTGAACTCTTATAGCACGCTATCACCGACACGTCTCTTTCTTTCGCATCAAGTCTGATCTGGCTCGTTGAACCTAATCATGGCAGCCATGGACGAATTAGGCACGCAATTGCAGTCACTACAGGCCCTCAAGCCGCCCGGTGTCACACCAACCAAGATCAAGGCTATCACGCAGCTATGCGTAGACAACATCCAGGTATGCCAGTCGCGAGGACCTCCTATACATCTTCCGTGCACATGGGACACCGTACTAAGTATTTCAACTCACATATAGTCTCATTCCGTAATCGTTCAAAAGATCGCCCAACAGCTTCAGAACAGCGTCGCCACACACAAGCTAGGAGTACTATACGTCGTAGATGCAGTCGCCCGCCAATGGGTTGAGAGAGCTAAGCAGGCCGGTCAGGCTGTGTCTAAGCATGCCGCCCAAGGAACATATGCTTCAGGAGTGCAAATGATGCGAGACGTGCTTCCAGCTATGATGCACAACTTGATTCAGTCAGCTCCAGAGACACAGAAAGAGAAGATCTCGAAACTTTTAGACATATGGGAGCGTGGCCAAACCTTCCCGCTCGACATGCTCGCAGGCTTCAAGCAACAGCTGAATGGAGGCCAAAATAGTAGGTCACGGCCCGTACTTCAGTCTCCATATAGCTAACCAGTAGGGAATGTAGATGTGCCAGCGCCGTCAGAGCCGCCTAAGAGCAACGGCTCAGCCCCAATCTTCAACGGCCACACTAACCAACAGCCACCACCACCACCACCACCTGTAGCTATGCCCCAACCTCCGCAGGACCCCGGTGCTCTTTTCGCCGCGCTCGCTGGCGTTGGTCAGCATAATGGGCAAACTAACCCCCCATCTGCAGCAGCCTCTCTATTTCCTTTTCAGCAGAATATGGTACCGCCCCCACCTCCTGGATTTATGCCTCCGCCACCTACTGCAGTAATTGGGCAGCCTAACATGCCTGTTCCACCTGCTGGAACGAATGAGATCGTGACTCAGATTTTAAAGGCCATGACTGCTGGCTCTATCCCACCGGATCAGGCAATACAGGCATTGAATACATTGGCTATGGCCCAAAATGGCGGAATGCCTATGCCGCCTCCGGCTGTTGCGCAGACATCACAGGTTCAGCCTGCTGTACAGAACGGTAACCAGGGAGACAGATATGATCTGAACGATACTAGAATGCGAGATCGTAGCAGATCGCCTGACTATCAACGTCGACGATCGCCTGTGAGATCTCCACCGAACCCGAATCGGCGGGAGAGTCCAACATATGGTGTGTACGATCCCAATGCAGGTCCTGAAGGCAATGCACAACGCTTTGAGCGAGGTGAGCGCGGTCGTGGTCGTGGTAAACAGCGGGGAGGTCGTAATGATCGTAATGAATATCGCCAGCGTTCTCCGCCGCGACGGCAACCGAGTCCACCTAGAGCAGCGTATGGCCAGTCAAAGTATATTGAGTGGGACGAGACTCTTCCGCGCGATCACATCAGGGTTCTCAGTCGTACATTATTCGTAGGTGGTGCTGGTGGGACGGAAGGTGAGATCCGAAGCATATTCGCTCGTTTCGGTAGAGTCCAAACATGTATTGTCAATCAGGATAAGCGACATGCCTTCGTCAAGATGTTGACCCGCCCGGATGCTGTTGCTGCCAAACAGGGTATGGACACTCTTCAGGATCCCGCTGCGCAGTCCAAAGCGCGCCAGGTAAGGATATTGTTCTTTGAGTACCTGCCTCACTTACTAACGATACTAGACGAGATGGGGTGTCGGCTTTGGTCCTCGTGATTGTAGTGATTACACCACGGGGATTAGTGTAGTTCCCATTTCTCGTCTTACGGATGCTGATCGCAAGTGGGCTCTGACCGCTGAGCATGGTGGAACAGGTGGCCGGCCACTAGAAGGAGGCATGGTAATCGAAGAGCCTGACATCGAGATTGGTGCAGGTGTTTCATCAAAAGGTATGCATACCGATCCCTCCTTCGTCAGACGACTAACGAAACATAGCCATCAGCCGACGTGTACCGACTGATGCCCCTCGTGGTGGTCGCGGGGGGTTCGGTAATCGAGGTGACTTCAATGCCCGTGGAGACCATAACGGACGTGGTAATTTCAACGGACGAAATGACTTCAGTGAACGTGCAGATTTCGGACGCAACGATCTCGCTGGCGGGCGTGGTGGTTTCGACAACAATGGTCCAGCCAAGTTTCGCAAGCAAGATCATCGTGCCGTCAACGACCCACGACACATTTCGCCCCGGCCTGAGCAAGGCGTTGCTGTCCCACCTGCAGTACCTGGCTTCGGGTTCCAGTTGCCAGGGTTTTCATGACTCCCACAGGGATGACTTGCTTTCAACACAGTGATTGTGCCGGCACTCTGATTTAAATCACTTTTCTGTACACAACTATCTTCCAACCGACTAGCCTGCGAGAGGTGATAGTCTTTCAACACGCGTCTTTCTGGCCTTTGTCCTTTACGAATACGTTGCGAGCATCATCGGAACCGCGGTAATGCATATCCACGGTAGACCGCTTGCTTTCCTAGTTCAAGAGCATTGCAAGGCGTTGCGGCTGCGATTGCGATTGCGACTACCTGTTTTCCAGTCCAGCACTGGCACACGGTGTGAGCGAAGATATCCCAAAGGTCTCCCAAATCAACCAGCCAAGTGTACCAATACGTTAGTTTGCATTCACGCTTCGGCGGTATATCCATAGTATCTCTGGTATATCCACCCTGGTTACTGACCTTGTAATGAAAATACGATATTCTATCTTCGCCCAGTTCTCATCCCGTGCATCTGCATATCACGCTTGTTTGGGTCTGGTACTGACACATAACTAACATGCACGTACCCAACAGAGATGTGGCGGCTAGCGAGAAGGAGAATCAAGCACTCTGGCAGGCTACAGGGTTTGGAAGTCGGCATTGCATGGATCAAGATGACGAAGGGATAAAATGCATCTTAGTACCAAGGCTTCTGATAATAGACATAGTGATAATTTTCCTTAATGAGTTTCACCAAATCATACGATACTGTATAGCTATTAAGTTTCCTAAACAAGACCTATTGCCTCATGTTTAAGGAGAGCTCTATTTCCTCTTGGTAGCACCGCTCTTCTTCTGACTACCTGTCGCCTGTGCTTCCGCCTTTTCCTTCTGCACCTTCTCCAGCTTGTCAGCGTCAGGCACCTTCAAGCTCTTATCGCCACCAGGATGCGCAGCGAGTGGCTTGTTGGCATCCTTCTCTTCGACCTCCTCTTCATCACCACCCTGTCCAAACTCGTTGATACGGTTGTAATCGACCTTGTACTTCCAAGTCTGAAACAGGTAAACGAAGAAGATGACGTCGTCACGGAGAGTAGCCAGACGGTGCAGAGTAGGCATCTTGATAGTGAAAGCGAAGAGGTCGTCGATGAAGGTGTTGAGGAACTTGTATGTCATGGCGCGTCCGGGCATGTGGGCAACGGACTGCAGGCGGTAGTTGATGTAGAGAGCGGGGACCATCATGAGGAAGCCGTAGGCGTAGACGGAGCCGACGAGGGTGGTGATGATGAAGGAGTACCACGACTTATGTGTTTCGTACATGAGAGAGTAGATTGCATAGGCGATGAGGAGAGGTACGGCGACCATGTATAGATACTTGAATGCGATGGCGTCGTATTCTTCTGTCTTCTTCTCTGTATCGGAGAGGACGTGCTTGTCCTCGAACACAATGGTGTACGGAAGCAGAGAGCCGGGCGCTGTTTGCCGAATGCGCACATTGACTGACTTGGTAATCTTCCATGCTTCGATTGCCATGCCCATACCCTGACCAAAGAGGATCATGTAAGACGTATTCTCGTTGTTGTCGATGAGATAGAGGAAGATGACGGCCTGCATGAAGACGTTTGCGAGGATAGTACGGACTGAAGTTCCAACATTGTCTTTCTTCTTGCGCCAATGCTGAACGTCGTTCTTGAAGGCGAGCATCTCGAAGATCATGTGGAAGACGGAGACGACTGCGGTGATGGCGAGAAGGTATGAATTGCTGTCAATGAGGATCTCTTTGAACATCTCCATCTCAGAGCCATCGCCACCTCCGGGGGTGGATTGGCCGGCAGCGGCTGCCCTGGCGTTGGCATTGAGGTTTTCATCGACTGCTGCGAAGATGTTGTACTTCCAGTGGGCAAGGTTGTTGAGCTTCACGTTGAGTGGGAGGGTTGTGACAGTGTCGTTCAGCTCAATCATGTGCTTTTTGAGCTGCCAGAAAGTGTTTGTGAAGACGATGGGATAGTACCAACTGTGTTGACCAGTCGGATCTCGTGCACCGGTGGCTTCAATTGTAATGAATCTCCTTGGACCGGGATGCATGGTGGCGTACTGCATGGTGCCCGCGTCGGGGATTAAAGAGACGGTGAAGTTGGGATGGTAGTAGGAAGCCACAATCTTTGGCGCATTCTTCTCTTCTTCAGTCTCGACGGCGTCTCTTTCGGGCATATCGCTCAGCAAGTTCCTGGTCTTCGCAATCTTCTTTTTGGGCTGGTATTGGGACAGTGGGCGGATAAAGTGATAGGCCTTGCTAGTGTCATAGCCTGGCTGCGCGGGATCGAGCACACTGCCGCTCTGCGCCACATAGAAGTGAGCAAGTAGAGTGGCATTATGTTGCACCTCGCGCGGAACCTTGAATTCAGTATGGATCTCTCTGTTGTCCTTGTAATCTCCAAACTTGAAATTCTTCTCGTCAATCAATAGCGATTCCTTGGGCATCGACTTGAGCGGGGGCATGGCGACGGACGAGGAGATGTACATGGCGATGTCCATGTCAATGCCAGCAGGCCACATGGGCGCAACAGCATACGGGACAGGGCTCCACTGAGCGCCAGGATCGAGAGATTGTGGGCGCTGTTCCCACGCGGGAATCACGACATTGCCAGATGGCTTGACAGAAGCGACGGAGCCAGTTTGCGCGGCATCGTTGACGGCGGGGGTGGTCTGAGGGGACTTTGGCATGATGTACTTCATGCCACCCTGAATAAGCATGAAGATGCCTACGCTTTGCGCGATCGACCTGAGGAGCTATTGTGAAGCCGTTAGCTGGGTATCGCAAAGTGGAGGGGTCTCGTTGGCGACATACACTCTTGCCCTCCTCGGGCGGTGCGGCGGCTGCTTGTGCCTCTGGCATGGTGGCGGCGTGCGGAACAGAAAGTCCGTCTCGAGTAGCTTGCTAGGTGGAGAAGGATGATGGGCTCGCGATGAGGTCTGAACAGATAACCTGGAGATTTCCCGAGGAATTGGCGCTTCCCAGAGGTCCGTGCCTACCTATCCCGGCTCAGGGTCTAGCCACATGGGCCAGCGAGATCCCGGCCCAGGTGGCAGTGACGACATGCAGCTTACCGAACTGCATACCCTTTAGAGTCTACCGCTCTCCCAGGGACTGCAACCATGAGTCGGCAAGATGATTAGCCATCAGGTGCAGCCTGACTCACTCTGACGCCTTGGAGCATGGGACTGTTGCCTGAATCTCTCATTATTTGAACCATTCTTTGCAGCCTCGTGCCCCTACCCCTCACTCGCCTCAACACGTCAATTGCTGCTGACAGCTCTCGTTCCGACACTAGCTTTCTCATTCCGAACACTCACCAAACACCCAATCGACATGGCAAACGACGACGCGACAGCCAGCAACGGCTCTACCCACCAGCCCGTGGTTGCTGTATTGTACGTCGAACAACAAAGAGCCAGCCAATATATCTATTTACTAACCGCAGTACAGTTGCGGCGCCTCCAGTGGTACATCACCAGTCCACATGGAGGCAGCAAGGTCGCTTGCACATGCCCTCCACAAAGCAAACACCAAGCTCGTATACGGTGGCGGCACGGTTGGCCTCATGGGTGAGGTAGCACGAACCCTTGTTTCGCTGTCCGGTCCCGACTCTGTTCACGGCATCATCCCCGCCGCTCTCACCCGACTCGAGCAAGTAAGTTGGGGACTGTACGGAATCTATGTGAGACATACACTAACATCGCTGTCTTTGTCTTTGAGCAGAATCATGACCCTACCAATCCTACCGGCCACTCCATCGACTCGGCAATATACGGACGCACTACTGTCGTCAAAGACATGCACACGCGAAAGCAGATGATGGCTCAAGAAGTCGTCAAGGGAGGACCAGGTGGCGGCTTTGTCGCTCTGCCTGGAGGCTACGGCACATTTGAAGAGTTGATGGAAGTCACCACTTGGAACCAATTGGGCATCCACAGCATGCCTGTGATAGTCTACAACGTGGATGGCTACTGGAGCGGCCTTATTGAGTGGGTCAAGAACGCTGTGACCAACGGCTTCATTGCACCCACCAATGCCGGAATTCTCTCCGAGGCTCTTAGTGCTGATGAGGTGATGACATGTCTGAAGGAGTATGAAAATGCACCTGGACGGTTCAACCTGACCTGGGAGGAGCAGTAACGGAATGCGTTACAAAATTACAAGGAAACCTCAACGTTCCGCTAACCATAAGCTAGAGCGTAGCTGTGTCTCGGAGGAGACCGGTTGGTCACGATTGAGCTCTCTCTTTTGGCCAAAAGCAATGCATGGAGAGCAGATCGTCAAAGTACGTCTGCGCGAGGTAAACAGAAGGATGTGAAGAGAGCCCTTATTTCCACCATTAGATCCACATTAGACTACATCTTAGAATTCAAAGCAACTGTTTCTATGCAGAATCTGCCGACGGGTTTGGTATTATCCGACTGCCCGCATAAGCTAATGAGACATTGGGAAAGTCCTTGCACTGCCCGTAACGACTTATCATCGGCAATAACGTCGTGCGGCCGAACCGGTTAGGTTGTGTACACAATACAGTGTGGTGCTGGTTCTGTACGAGGCATCTAGACCTATTGAGGCAGGAGCAAAACCATTGTCAGGTGCGCGAGCCACTTTGATTCGATAACACCCGCTCAAGTCAAGATAGTGACCTCAACGCGCATGCGACAAGCTTTGACAAGCCTTTTCCAAGACTGCTTAAATACGCTAGGGTAATGTCGCTCCTGCACTTCCTTCATTGTTCTTGCGCAATTTGTTTGCAGCTGTTACGATGCTTACCAAGTCAGTAGCAACGCCTTTGTTGGCGCTCTCAAGTCTCACCTTGCAAGTTGCTGCTGTTTCTCACAGGCAATGGAGCAAGCGGAGCGATCACTTATACCTACCGAAAGAGACTAGCGACTACAAGACCGCTACCGCTCCGAACAATGTCACCATTCGTTACAAGAACCCGGGCATCTGTGAGACTACTCCAGGCGTGGACAGCTACTCTGGATATGTCGATCTGACACCTGATGTATGTACTTTCATCACACATAGCTTCGAGGTCTGCTCCTAACATCCTTCAGGTCCATGTATTCTTCTGGTTCTTCGAGTCCCGCAACAACCCTGCATCCGACCCATTCACTCTATGGTTGAACGGAGGGCCTGGCTCAGATTCGCTCATCGGTCTGTTCGAGGAGAATGGACCTTGCATGATCGATGACAACCTCACAGCAGTATACAATCCTTACAGCTGGAACAATGTCTCCAACATGCTGTATATCTCGCAGCCTGTCGGGACAGGTTTCAGCTACCAGAAGCAGGGTGTAGGAAGTTTCAATTCGTTCTCTGAAGACTTTCATTACAACTCTAGCGAATGGCCTGCTACGGGAAGATGGCCCCTGTTGGAACCGCTGAACACCGGCACAATTGACACTACTGACCTTGCTGCAGTTGCCGTATGGGTGAGTTGAATCTCTACGCTGAATGTCGGTGGCTTGAGCTAATTTCACTCGAAAAATGCAGCACGTCTTCCAGGCACTTTTGGCTACCGTTCCAAAATTCGATGCGAAGATCGGAGACTTGAATGCTGCAAGAGACTTCAACCTCTTCACTGAGTCATACGGTGGACATTATGGCCCAGCCTTCTTCAGCTACTTTTACAACCAGAACTTGAAGATTGAGAACGGCAGCATGCCTGGCTACCCGCTTAACTTCAACTCTCTCGGCATAATCAACGGTATCATCGACGAGTCCATTCAGGCTGAACACTACCCGGAATTTGCCGTTAACAACACGTACGGCATTAAGGCGTACAACGATACTGTCTACTCGTACGCCAAGTTCGCGAACAATATGTACAACGGCTGTCTCTACCAGATCGATCTTTGCCGAGCCGCTGCCGAAGGCAATACCACTTACTACCACGCTGATGCAAAGATCACGGAGGCAGAGTTGACACCTGGTGAGATGCAGATTTGCAACGAAGCGGCAGATATGTGCCGTGACAACGTCGAATCTCCCTACTACTACTATTCTGGTCGTGGAGTCTATGATATTCGACACACTTATGAAGACCCAACACCACCTTCTAACTACCCCGGCTATCTCAACCTAGGAGAAGTACAGGATGCTCTCGGTGTTACACTCAACTACTCTGGTAGCAATGGTATCTACTACGCGTTTCAGAACACGGGAGACTTCATCTACCCGAACTTCAGGCTTGATCTGGAGTACCTGCTCAGCCAGGATGTGCGCGTCAGCCTGGCGTATGGCGATGCTGACTACATCTGTAAGATTCACCGTCTTTAACAACATTAAGGAATCTGCTAATATGGTTAGGCAATTGGTTCGGTGGTGAAGCCATCAGTCTAGCAATGGAATACACACATAGCGATGAGTTCCGTGCCGCGGGCTACGAAGCCATGGTTGTAGATGGCACAGAGTACGGCGAGGTACGCCAGTACGGCAATTTCAGCTTCGCGCGCGTCTACGAGTCGGGCCATGAGGTTCCTTACTACCAGCGTAAGTGTTTTTAATTCAACTTCTTTCCGACCTGCTTAGCCGTACGATGGTGTTCGCTAACATGGGATGCATAGCTGTTGCCGCATTGGCTTACTTCAACCGTACCCTCTACCACTATGACATCGCAACAGGCGAGGAGAAGGTTACTGCTAATTTGACCACGTCTGGTCCGGCGAACGCAACGCACACGAACTCGTTTGTCCCGATCACGTCGTCCTACATTCAGGCTTTTCCCTCGCCCATTTACCCTGCGACCACGTCGGTATATTAAGCTACGGCACCCTATATAAGCTCGATACGACCTTATGTGCGAGTACATGTGACGTAGTCACAGCTCTTGATGTAATGTGTATAGCCATCACGACCTATAATGAACACCATGCGTATGATACGTTTGTTTCGCACCGTATACGATGACCAACGAACCGTGCTTATCGATTCTCATCGCACTAACACGTCATCTGATGTGTCGTGTTGGTAGAGAATATCTCAAGCCATGCGGTGTCACATATCGAGCTAAAATGGTACGCATCGAATCAAGGATTCTTGACCTTGTTCCTGAATCAAGATAAGATACTACAAAACGAAGCTTTAAGTGATTTAGGATGCAATGTTGCGCACAACGTAAAATGAAAGGAGGCTGGTACATAGTTCCGCATGCGCTTCGATGACGTCATCACATCAGGGAGGCTGGGACGTACATTCCAGCGCTTCCCCTAACTCGTCATGTCGAAACGGACAACGTTCATGCAGACTTGGAGAGACGCATGTGTGTGTGCCCGGTATTGGAATACAACATGACAATGGCCCATGTGGTTGTGGAACGCGTGCTGAGGTGAGAGCTCAGAGGTGGAATTATTGGTAAGAGACATCAAAAAATGGAAATCAGATATATAGCTAATATCCATATTCAGGCCCTGCTCAAACTCCAACGGGTCGCCGCGCCGTATAACACTGGTTCAGAGCGCGCATTCAGTAGCTATACCTGAAAAGAGCATCCTGCAACTCCGTGAGATCTGAATCGACACTTACGCCAACTTGATCTGAGTCTTCACCTCGGTGAACAGAGACATCTCCCGTCGCTACATCTCTTTTCTTGTTGCTCGCTCTTGCTGTGAAGTAATGGACTACGAAAAGAACAATCAAAGCACACCAGGCGACTACACTGGTGATGCATCCCTTGGTATAACGGGGTGCATCCTCCTTTTGCCATAGCTGAGGTCCGGTGATACAACCAACTGTGTAAAACACGAAGAAAATCGCGCTCACTACCGACTTCTTGGTGTTTCCTTTCACATTCGAAGCCATGACTGGATATGCATGTGTGGAGTCAGTAGATGTCTCACATGCAGTTCGTACAAGGACACTTACGGCCTACAGCCACGCTCAGCGGGGGCGCCGTGGAGCCAGCAAACCACGTGGCGACGACAATGCCCCAGCTGTTGCTAGCCGGCAACAGGAGGAGGAGTAGGGTTCCCATCAAAGGCATCGATGCGACGAAGATACCGACCAGCCAGCGGGAGTTGGAAAAGTAGGTAGGGCCGAGGGCACCAATCCACACCAATACGAAAGAAACTCCACCTGATGGCAATCCGACCAACATGGTGCGGAAAGAGGTGAAACCGAATCCTTTAATGACGAGGGACGAGAACTTGACGATGGGAGTTGGCAGCGTAATGCAGAGAGCCATGAGCGCATAGAGCCATGTGCGTGGGTCGATAAATGCTTCCTTCAACTGAGTGGTGTCAAAGGAGGACCTATCCCGTGTCGCACGATCGACAGCAAGACGTTCAGTAGCGATGGCGCGCTCGCGTTCAGTGAGAAACCAAGCGGTGGTCGTGCTCCGTGGCATGAAACTGACAAAGAGGATACCGCAGGCAACTGTGAGTCCACCGCAGATAAGGAAAAGCACTCTCCAGGATGCCAAGGCAAGGTTTCCGTTGCCAATACCGTACATCATGGTACCACCGACGATCTGCGAGATACCGAACATAGAAACCCACGTGCTGTATGCATATTAGTGAACGCTGTAGACAGAAGATTTAGGAGCCTTACGCGATACGGATCGGGTGCTCGCTGCGCTTGTACCAGCCACTCGTGATTATCATGAAAGATGGCGCGACTGCACCTTCGGTCAGACCGAGGAAGAAACGAGCAACAGCAATTGTTGTCCAGTTGGTGGTGGCGCCCAAGCACATCTCTGCGATACCCCAAAGAATCACTGTGATTCCGACGAACAATGTGATAGGAAATCTGCTCATGAGATACGCCGCAGGGTACTCGGACACGAATTGACCAAAGTAGAAGATGGAGATGGCCCACGAGAACTCTGAACCAGACAGTTTCAGATCTTCCTCAAGACCAAAGACGGCGGCATAGTTGATGCTTTGCTTGTCGAGGTCTTTTTGCTGTGTTAGAAAAGGTCTGGTCAGAACAAGGGGAAGAGCCTACATTGAAAGAAGTAAACAAGAGCCATGAGAGGAAGGATGACACGATCAAGCTTCCTCAGAACAGCTTTCTCATCTTTGGGATCGATGTGGTAGGTGACAATCAGACCGCCCTCGAGTTTCTCGCTTGCCTCCTCGACCATCTCGATACCACGCTTTTCGATCGACTCAGACATGGTAAGATGTTGCACAGTGAGTGTACTTGTCGCAAGGTGTGGTGATCTCTTTATCGGATAAGAAGTTGACTTGATATGCTACCATGAAATTTTGACCTTTGAGATTCTTATACTTCGAGAATGTGGCCAACTCCAGACTCTGTTTGCGCTGGTGGAAAGCCTCTAGGGATTTCCCCATGGGGCGCCATCTGTGTGCGGAGAACATAGGGCTCAAGTTCACGTCGGATGCTGAAGCCGCACGCCCCTAGCGTGCTAGACAATCGCCGGATGTGACAGCCGCACTTCGTAATGGCTGCTAAAGGACTCAACACGCCTCGGATGCCGCACCCGACCACAGGCTACTTAGGTAACGACCAGGAGTTTGAAGCACATCTAACTATCCTAACATATAAGCCATGGAAAAAGTCCCATTCTGAGTCGCGTCTCTCAAAACATTTACAAGTCTTTCATTATTTACATCGAGAAAACACTTTTATCGATTGCTTCTTGAATCGTACTTTCATTTTGGACTACCTGTATACCGGCTAATTTGAACTCTCAACATGGCACCCTCTCGAATTGGCTACGCCGAGACCTCTTCAGACGACGTCGATAGATGTGCGGCAAAACCTAAGCAGAACATCTATCTCCTCGAAAACTTTCCTGAGGAGGCTGTCCGCCATAGCCAACGTCTTTTTACAACGATACTACCCGATGACCCCGAAATCGAAAACTGGCGCGACAACGCAGATGCCATTCTCGTACGGGAGAAGACAATTACGGCGGACGACATCGCTTCCACGCGAAAGTTACGCGCGATCGGAAAACAAGGCACTGGCATCGACATCATCGACCAAGATGCATGCGAGAAACGTGGAATTGCCATCCTCAATACCCCTGGCGTTAATGCACAATCGGTTGCAGAGCTTGTCCTCAGTCTTACAATGGCAGTTGCGCGACAGCTACGCGTTATATCCACAAAACAGGCAGCAGGGTTAGAAGTTCGAAAGGAACATTGCTGTGGCATGACACTCATTGGAAAGTCCATAGGCATTGTTGGCATGGGCAACATTGGTACAGCCGTTGCTCGCATGTTCAGCGGTGCGTTTGGGGCTTCAGTCTATGCCTGCGATCCCTTCGTGTCTACTGAAGCATGGGCTGATATTCCACATACAAGGGTCAATCAGTGGGAAGACATGCTGTCTCACATCGATGTCCTGACTATTCATGTACCGCTCAATGCGAAGACAAGAGGCATGGTATCTGCCACTCAGTTCAAGATGATGCGGCAAGGTTCGATTTTAATCAATGTTGCGCGAGGAGGTATCGTCAATGAAGATGACCTGGTGGAAGCTTTAGAGGAGGGTCACATTTTTGGTGCTGGTCTGGACTGCCATGAGGAAGAGCCTCCGACACTGCAGAAATATGAGAAGCTGTGGGCAACAGGGAAGGTTATCAGCACCCCACACATCGGTGCAACGACAGCAGAGACGCAGGTGCTCACATCTATAGCTGCACTCAACAACGTACACAAGTTTTTGAAGCTCGCATAGAGCTTGCGATCTGCAACAATGGGTCGGAATTTGGTATTTGTGTTTTGAGGTCATGAGGCTTGGTGTTCAATGTAACGGACTAAGGAACTCGGAGCAGATCCAGGTCGGGTTCAGCTAGCGGCCTTTACGTAAAATGGGTCTGCAGTAGGGCCTTGGGACTTCTTGTCGTGACAATTTCATGTCTAACCATAAGACTCGACCTAATACTTCCACTCTTGCATCCTTACTTGTGTCCTTTCCATCTGATCTTACCACAGCATGATGTATGAGCTATGAAATCATCTGAGCCCGCAACCAAACGAGCTCGACTTTCTGCTCCGGTTGAGGAAGTTGCTCGAACACCCCAAGCGTGCGTAGTGAAAGGTCTGCCATGCGTGCCAACTCGACACTCATAGTAAAGCAGGTGCACATCCTGCCGAGAGCGGAAGATCAAGTGCTGTGGCAATCAGCCATGTCGCTACTGCGCAAAGAGAAATCTCCAATGCACTTTTGCGGACAATGGGCGAAGGAAGCTGTATTCGGTGACGTGAGTGACTCTAGGGCCGGAAACGGAAGTGTCTTACGTGGATAGTTATGTTGAAGGATTGGAGAGAGAACTTGCATCTGCTACCGCGACCGCGACTGCAGAGAGCCTCGCCAACAGCACCCCTCCAGCTGCTACATCCCGCAGCACCGGTTCAGTGGCCCCTACAGCACAAGCGAACACCGAAGAACTGGACCATAGTTTGGGTACATCATGTAGGTCTGACAGTCGTCCAAAGCATTTTGACATGGCCTCATTATTGTCTTCTAGCGATCGTCCTCGAGCCAACCATGTCTTCAAGCCTCAACTTCGGGTCCCGTATCAAAAGCCTACACTCTGAGAATGTAACGGATTCAGTCGGTTCTACCAGTATTTGCGATGCCAGTCCGGACAATGTTTACAATCTGGAGCCTGGGGGTCTTAAGCACCGAACAACATCCACCGACATTACATGGCCGAGCGAGGAACAGGCGCATGACTTACTCAATACAGTCCTCGCATCTATTGGGAGCTTGCAGCATCTGATCGATCCGAGATCGTTTTCTGACAAGCTCTGTAGCTTTTATGAAGAAGACTCGAACCGAACAGGCATTGACGATCTTTGCTACATTGAAATCCTCATGGTTTTTGCCTTGGGTGAACTATTACAGGGTAATATGGAGGAAGGTTCATCATTTCCTGGTGCCACCTACTTCCTCGAGGCTGTCAGTTGCCTACCTTCGTTATGTGATCTACGAAAATCGGGTACGTTGGCAATCGAGATCATGGGTTTGTTCGCTTTCTTCCTGCAATGCTCTGATCGGAAAGACGATGCGTACGTCTATGTAAGCTACTTCAATCTCGTCCTCTGAAACTGTTACTATCGTCCTAATAACACTACCGAAGGCTGGCGTGGCGCTGCGGCTGGCCGTGTCCAATGGTCTCACTCGCGATGATGCCACAGTTCAGATGAAGAGATCTGAGAAGACGCATCGCAATCGCTTATGGTGGACCATATATATGCAAGAGAGGTCATTCATCCAACCTGGATACGTAGCATTTTCTGACTTGTCATAGGAGACTAGCTGCCGCAACAGGTAACCCTGTTGGTATTCTTGATGACAACATAACCACCAAATTGCCCATCGAATCCGCAGGTTTCTCACCGACACCGGCACTGAAGATCAATATCGAGATCGCGAGGTTGAGTGGTTTGATCACACAGGGTGAGTTGCTGGTCATCCTTCATTTCATGATCACGCAGCATAACATCTCCAGGACTATATGGACTCAAGGGAAGATCTGAAGGACAATTCCTGCGCACTGTACACGATCTCCTTGGAGAGCTTAAGTCAGTGAGAAGAGACCTTGCAGCTGAGTTTCCATTAGAATTCGCGAACGCTTTTACCGTTACAAGGACGAGTGCGACACTATATCTGATGCTATTCCAGGTAATGGACGTCTGAGTACATTCGGAGCACGCTGACTGGTGCTATAGGCTATTATACTGACAACAAGACCAATTCTCTTCCATCTCGCTAAATCGAAGCTTCAAGGTAACGACACAGATCTTTCAAGCAGTGCATCTTCCACTCTGCACGTGCTTGCAGCGACGTGTATAGAAGCTGCCGGTATAACTTTGGACATTCTAATCTCGCTCGAGCAACAGGAATTGCTCGCTAAATTCGGATATTTCGATTTGGATGCAGCAGTCTCAGCCGCTTTTATCTTCATACTTGTTGAGAGCCTTCAGTCTATTGGATCACCTCGCTCAGGACTCCATGGCATCCGAAGTGCGACAAGAATACTTCAATATCTCATCAAGCATGGCAACAAAGCTGCTGCGAAACGCATGTTAGATGTTGAACATATCTGTCAGCACCTCGGTATTAGAATTAGTGTACTCACTATTGCCGGAAGTCCTGCTGCTGCTGCTGCTGAAGGGCCATCGGATAATTTAGATCATGGAGCCTTATGTGATCGTCTACCGTCTGCGGAAGATACGACAATGTCCAACAAGTCACACGCAGCAGATACGTACCAAGAGCCTACCTTAGCCACTAATTGGCGGCAAGCTCTCTTCGAACTGCCAGATCATACTAGTCGCTTCTCAAACAGTCTGAGATACGACAACGAACCGTACGATATACCCTCTATTGATGACATCGGCGATTTCAACCTCGATTTTGGTAACGACTTCATGCTGACAGGGGCCGACGAGATAGATTGGGAGGAATTCGAGCGACAAATCCCGCGCAATCAATGAGAAGATACACAAGACCTCTGGAGAGAGTACAAAAAAATGAAGAGAGAAACCATGTTTGCTTTACTTTTGTAAACTTCTTAATAAAGCAGAGTTTACCGTTCCGCCTTGCAACAACAACCCAACATCCTGAGCACCCACCACCCACTTTGCGCCAAACTCATTGATCACGCGCTCCAATATATCTGGCCTATGGTATAATCCTGCAATACCCATAATCTTGCCGTGTTTTCTCGCAGCTGCACCCACCTTTTCCAGCGCGGCTAGGAAGTATGGCGCGTCCCAATCACCCAGAGTTCCGATTTCTGAAGCTAGGTCGTTGGAGCCGACGAGGAGTACATCGGCGCCTTCTAGCGCGGCGATATCGTCGACAGCTGCAAGAGCGTCCGCCGTCTCTATCATGATGAAGACAGTAGAGCCGGTTGCGTTCATCTGCGCAGTCATGGTGGTGGTAGGTACGGGAGCGAATTCGAAGTGAGGGAAGCCGGCGCTGATCGATCGTTTGCCCATGGGAGGATATTTAGAGATGTTTATTGCGCGGAGAGCATCATCTGTTAACATTGTATTTGTCAGCCATATTCAATTCCAGAAAGATGATTCTAGCGGGATTCTAGCCAAAGGGTCAGCGGTAATGAGGGAGACCTGCCAACTGTGTGAATATGCGGAACAATGATACCCATGGCTCCAACATCCAACACCCGTTGTACGAACCCATTACCGCACTGGTGTGGCACGCGAACGAAGGGCGTGATTCCAGCTGAGTTTGCTGTGATGCATAATTGATTGGCATCTTTGATTGTCATGGCTGTATGCTCCAGGTCGATGAACAACGAGTCATAGCCAGCTGCTTTGGCAATATGCACTATCGATGTATCCGACGTTATCTTGATACCAAATGCGGTGCATATTTTCGATTGCGCTGCATTACTGAGGAGGTTGTTGGGGGCGATTGAAGAAGCCATGGTAAGTTGTAAATTGTGAGATTCAAGCAGGAACAGTGTATAAGAAAAGGAATATTGAGAGTATCTGCTTCTCCGAGTCAGGGCCTACCACGTACTCCTTCAAATATCTATTGTCTTGGGCCTTATTGTTGATCCGGTCGCACTGCACAGTGGGGTCTCTAAATGTGAAGTACCCCACGGATGTCGAAGCCGAAGTACGCTAGTCTCCTCATCTCGCCCCAGGCCTCTCCCTCACAGGTTATCATGCCTCCAAAATGGGACGGTGCACGGGTGCAGAATGCATCGTACTAATCAGCGCACCTTGTAGTCTTGTCCAACAATTCCGCAACGTTTTTCCGACATCGGATCCCATTATCCTCACTGTGCTCTCCCTTCGCAAACACTGAACCATAGCAGTCTTCACATATGGATGCGATTATCCTGTCTAGATGGACTCTAGTCCGCGTCACTAAAAGCCTTCGCTATACCTGTATCCGATATTGTAATTCATGATAGTCTGAAATTCACTCTTTAGGCTCAGAGGTTTTGTCATTAATGCTCAAGTCCTGTCGCAAGATACCCTGGTGCGTGCTGTTAAGGGAAGAATCTATCGGATTAAGGTTCGTTGGTGCAACTTGGTCTGTATGTCCGTAATTCAGCTTATCGGTTTCACCTTGTGCAGTCAATTGACCTGCGCTGGTGGCGGCAGTGTGCGTTGTTGAGATGGTAGTGGGCCGCTTCTTCTGCTTCGAAGGCTGGGTCAGCAACCATGCCAAACGGGTTGCCACAACAACCACGATAATGTTGGTGAAGAGTTCAAAACGAAAAGTTCTGCTGGTAGGTCATGGGCGATGGGCAAGATATACTATACGAGGATGGTGAGCTTCTGGCGCAGTTGAGACATGATTGTGGGCACGGTTGACGAGCTGTAGTTTCTATGTGTGAGTGAAACAGTAGTGTAGGCCCGGATAGTTGCTCGCTTGCATAGAAAAGCTGCAGATAGACGAAACAGCAAATTTGTGTCAAACATGCCGAGAAGGTTCTGTTGCAATCTTGCAGCACGTAGGCAAGCACACGAACGTGTGTGCAATATCTCCAGTAAAAGACAACCAGACTCGGCGAAAGGGACTGAAAAAAGTCACAAGGCATGGAGGCGGGCGATGAGAGAGGACTACGATTAGGAGTTCTCAGATAGCGTGTATACCATGATGCGTTAGGATAGGCCCATGTTTGGCCACATGTGAACGCCAAACTCCATGCTAAATGCTGCAGATGCTCCAAAGGAGTTGTTTTACTTCGACGTCGTGGGGAGGGCGAACAGTTGCGGCTGCATGTTGATCTTGCACAAGCGCGCAACGCAGCCGGATAATTGTAGAAGTGTTTGCACGCCTTCGAGGATGCGCATATGGGTGAAGCCAATTTCCTGTTCCCCATCAGCCATTGCATTTCGTCTGAGTTAACAGCAATTACCTTGATGAACTCCAACTTCGCGTGCTCACTCAGCGTATCAATGGTCTTGGTAACTTTGAACATTGTGCTGATAATATCGTGGCATGAATATCCTAAATCCCAGAGCTCTTTCAACGATGCCAAGGCATCATCGATGCGCTGCTCATGGCACGCCTTGATCATGGCTTGCACTTTGATGGGATGCGGGCTGTCGACCACTCTGAAGACATTGTCGCCGTTTACAAAGCCGAAACCAGCGAATGTCGACTGTAGGTTGTTGATAGCTTGTCGCATATCTCCCTCGGCGGAGAAGACGAGTGCCGCAATCCCATCGTCTGAATACTTTACGTCCTCGGCCTCGCAGATCTGCATAACGCGGCGCACGACTTGCGCATCGGTAAGGCGAGCGTATCTGAGTATGGCACATCTCGACTGCAGCGGCTCAATGATCTTGTTCGACTGGTTGCAAGCGAATGCAAATCGTGTTGTTGCACTGTAGATCTCCATTGTCCTCCTCAGGGCTTGCTGCGCACCGCTGGTCATGCTGTCCGCCTCGTCCAGAATGACGAGCTTTTGCCTGCCTGGTGCAAGTGTGACTTTCTTCTGCGCGAAGCCCTTTATCCTGTTGCGTACGACGTCGATACCACGCTCGTCGGAGGCGTTGAGTTCGAGAACAGCCTCTTTGTAGGCGTCACCGAGGAGCTGGCGTGCGAGACAGAGGATGGACGTGGTTTTGCCGATACCAGGCATGCCAGAGATGATCATGTGTGGCATGTTACCGTCTTTGGCAATGATCTTGAGGCGTTCAATGGTTTCAGTGTTGCCGACGACATCATCGAGGTAGACGGGACGGTATTTCTCTACCCTAGGTGTCTGTTAGTTTGGATGAGCTGCGAAGGGCGCGAGTAGTCAATTACCATGGCAGTTCATAGTTAGCACCACCAGCAGCATTGGGGTTTGGTTTGACACCATTGCTGGCAGCTGCTTTGGAAGATTCGGCTTTGGACATTTTGGGCTGTGGGTGTTGGTCTGGGGGGGTGACGCGGAACACGCGATGCTCTGCAAACGCGCTTTCACGGGTCGTCCTTCTTGGGACTAGTGCTCACGTGCAGCGAGGATCGACCCGCAGCCCATCAAGCCTTTCGCACTAAAGATAGGGCGATGTGCGTGCGCGGATGCGACGTCACCCTTGCAGGAATCGTAAGTAGTACGATCAATTTACAGCGACATACTTTTCTCATGTCGAGTACCAATGGAGAGCGAGTTCAACATGGCTCATCGGCTTTTTTTTTGCTCTTTACGCAGGGGCCGAGATAATTACTTCTCGGGGCTCTTCGCTACCGACGATGATGCTACGCCACACAGATACGATCCCAGGTACCGGTTCCTGCAGGGGCGTCAGGTTTCAGCCTCAAACGTCTTTTTTCTCGAGAGGCACAGCGCTTTCAGGCGTTTCTTGACCACGCGGTATCTCTTGACTCCGGGCGCCTGGGGATACCATCTGGGGACTCACCGGCCGCTAGGCTACTGGATTATGCATCGCATGTTTTAGTAGCCTTTCGATGGACGACGGCGTCAAGACACTGTGGTAGACCATGTGACGTACGCGGCTGACGGAAGCCCGGCCGAACGCGCAGCCTACAATACAAACTCAAATACCACGAGGTAGCTATTGTGAAGCAGTATTTCCCGACGTTTTCTCATGAGTATGAATGTTTTGCGGTGTTGATACTGTTTGCGCCATATTCGCCTACTATGTACTGACAAGGCGCATGCGACACAGCGGCAAGGCTTGTCAGATCGGCACCAAGCGCTTGGCTGGGCCATGGAAGCGGCGTCAAGGCGAATCGTCTCGTAATAGAGGCACCGCCACGCCCTGCGGATCTTCCATCAGGGCACACACAAGTCCTGTTGGTTGCAGGCTTTTAGCCCCGGAAATGTCGGCGGCTGCCCATGTTCGTTACGTGGGCAGCTGCACTAAGGGCCACAGGATCCGTAACAATTCCAGACTTGACCTCATCATACGCGTCGTCATCACAAGGCTCGAACGCCCCCTTCGCCGACTAAAGCCTACCCGCCTGCGCCTCTGCTACATATTGGCTTTATCCCTAGTCGCTCTCCAGTCGTCCTTCCCCTGTTGCTATTGTTTCCCTGTTGTCCACTATTCTCGTGTGCTTGTACAACGCTTCGCTCTCTGCGACTTCAACTGCAATCTCAAACACGATCCATAGCTGCCTTCTCTCAGCTCCGACCACTCGCGCGTCAGGTTTCACCAAGCCACACCAGAGACTGTTTGTAATCCGTGGTATACATCCACGACACAGCCCTAGCATCGCATTTCCAGGAACAACATCATGAAGTACTCGACATTCCTGGCGGCGCAATTGGCGTCGTCGGCCGCGGCAGTGAGGCTTGCACCACGAGAGGTAAGTGCGGCTCTTGGCATCCCCAGCATTCCAGTCCGAAGCGAGATCCTTCCGAAGTCCTCCCATATAAGCGTATAGACGCGTCTCTGCGAGCCATCGTACTAATATACACCTAGAATCCGCGAGTGGTGCGCCTAGATACTCAGCGCCGGAACATCGTCAACCCCGTCGCACACGACCAGCTACGAAGACGGCAAAATGTCGTCCAGGAGACGCTGGACAATCTCGAGACGCTTTACTTCGCCAACGCAAGCTTAGGTACTCCTGAGCAGAACTTCCGGCTACACATCGATACAGGAAGCAGCGATCTTTGGGTCAACTCGGTCAACTCGAATCTGTGCAGCCAAGGCGGCAACCAGTGCGGCCAATCTGGCACATACAACGCAAACGACTCGTCAACATACAACTACGTCAACGGCGCTTTCAACATATCATACGTGGATGGATCAGGCGCATCGGGAGACTATGCGACAGACACTTTCCGCCTCGGCGGGCAAACAATAAAGGATCTGCAGTTTGGCATCGGCTACGTATCAAGCTCACCAGAGGGCATCCTTGGAATTGGTTACACCATCAATGAGGTCGCTGTAGGCCGCGCAGGACTGGACCCATACCCAAACTTGCCTCAAAAGCTGAAGGATGATGGCACCATCAACTCAAACGCATACTCTCTGTGGCTGAACGATCTGGACGCATCTACTGGAAGCATTCTCTTTGGTGGCGTGGACACGGACAAGTACCAGGGCGAGCTTCAGACACTACCTATCATCCCAGAGCGAGGACAGTATGCTGAGTTTATAATTGCCCTGACTGGAATGGGCCGCGATGGCAAGAATGGCTCCATCTTCGAGAACTCAAACGTGCCCGTCTTGCTCGACTCTGGGTCTTCGTTGATGTACTTGCCCGATAACGTCGCGAGCTCGCTATACCAAACCTTTGACGCTCAGTACGACGCTTCGCAGGGGGCTGCCTTTGTTGACTGTGATCTTGCAAACCAGCAAGGCTCTCTCGAGTTCAACTTTTCTGGTGTCCAGATCTCCGTCCCGCTCAACGAGCTTGTCATAGTTGCTGCTGTTAGCCGCGGACGACCCGTCTGCATCCTCGGTATTGGACCTGCCGGACAATCTGTCGCTGTTCTTGGTGACACCTTCCTACGGTCCGCATATGTCGTCTACGACCTTGAGAACAACGAAATATCTCTCGCCCAGACCAACTTCAACGCTACTTCTGAAAATATTCAAGAAATCCGGGAAGGCTCTGACGGTGTACCCAACGCAACCGGTGTTGCTGGTGCGGTATCAACTGCAGCGGTCGGCACTGGCGGACCCCGAGTCAATGGCCCTAGTGTCACAGGTGGTGGAGGTGGAATCGAAACCTCCACTGCCGCTGCCATGCCTGTTGCAACTGCAAACCCATGGATTGGCGGTGCAGCGATCGCTGGCGCAGGTATTCTGATGGGCTTCAACGGCTTTTGATGTGTAGATCACAATTTTCCTAATACCTGTCCAGCTTAATGAACTTTTCTTTCACATGCATATGTGCATTATTGGCGTTCTCAAGAGTGGCATGGAATCACAATCTCTCGGTTTCCAGAGGGACTTGCATATTAACCAACCTACCTGGAGTTAGGTATGGCGTCTATAAGAGTATATAGCATGTATGATGAATATTTCAACATTACTATTTTTCCAGGCGATATGTCTGTTCTTGAAATGCACTGGTGGTCGTCATGTTGCAGCGTCAGGCTGGACGGTGACGACGCCTAACAGGACGCGTGGTGCTTGCCGCGTAATAGTTTCATCGCCTGGAAATCACTAAGTCGACAGCTGCGCATCGTCACCTGCATAAAGATCTGGACCGCTCAAATCATCGTTAATTATTTCCACCAATAACTCAGTCTGCGTACAGTTGCCACCTGTATTACTGATTCTGTAAGCGTTCTTCTTAGCTTGAAGCCCTACTAAATGACTGCCAAAAGTGTCCATACCCGCCGCATTCTGTCCCTCTACCCAAGCCAACTCACCACTCAGTCATACCCAATACTTGAACCTTCAGTTTGATCACGCCTCCCCAAATCAGTATGTAACCCTGACATTGACGACGTAAACGATTCCTCCAATGATTCCTCTATTTCCCTGCTCGGTTGCCACAGTTGTGAACGTTGCATCGGTGGGGCCGGGCTCACATGGAGTGCGTGCACGATGCTGTTTGCCTGCTGTCTAGATTGTGCTTGTTGAGATCTTGACTTTGGAATGCGGTCGTAAAGCCATGCTTCTGCCCCACATGGTGCTCAACATAGCCTGCCCCATCTGTAGCGTAGCCTGTTGGTGATGATAAAGAAGACAAGAACAAAGGAAACATAGGCGTCCAGGCACCAGTGGCATGTCATGCAGAGCCAATCATAGCTGAGGCAGTATAGACTATGTCTGGTCATGGAAGGATTGAACGAGAGCGCCTACAGTCGTGTGACTTGTTGCTCTATGAGATACGGTCCATAATCGTTTCAATAGCAGAGCATTCTAAAGATTAGGAGACTACACAAGGAGAATGAAAGTTAATGAAAGGATAGACACGGATGAAAGAGGGCACAAAAAGTAGCAAAGAAGAGAGTCCCTAACTTCTGAGAACCTCGTACACCTATCAAACAGTATCGTACGTATCGTTACCATTGTGCCTCAATCGTCCGGCATGTATGTGCTCCGTCCCGACCTCGTTGCTCGTTGACCCGCTATTTAGGTCTTTCTTAAAGTACTTGCTAATGTATCCTCTCTCACCCCAAAGGTGGAAAGGATCCAACAAGCCCTTAAGCACACCCCTCTTCCTCTTTTTCTTCTCTGCCCTCGCCGCTTCTAACTCCACATCACTCATATCCCAGAACTGTGTCTTCTTATCCTTCCCCTTAGCCAAGCCCCAAAGGTCAAAGGGATCGAAGATGGTAATGATCCACGGCCTATCATCACCCCAGCCGGGCCCTTTTCGTTCAGTTACGCCATCGCGAGCCAGAAAAACGGTGTTGGAAGGAGGCAAGCGCTTTCCAGGGTGAAATATATTGAGTAGAGCAGTATTGAGTGCCATGATGACAGCTTCGAAGATCCAAAAGTAGATTTCGTTCTGATAGATAGAGGATTCCCAGCCGAGAATGTATTCGACGAGGCGGTATATGCAACGAATAGTAACAATAGAGGCACTCACGTACATGACGTAGAGTATAACTCGTAGATCCTTCTTGAGTATTCCGGCCTTGTTAGCACGTCGGTGGAACTGTGCTGCGAGAAGCCCAAAAGCACCGAAGAGTGCTGCTTGAAGACATAGCGACGCGGTGACAAGGTCTGAGCCGAGCTTTCGTTCTGCATCTGTAGAGCTGGAGTCGGCCATGCGCCAGGCACCTTGTCCGATAAGGATCTCACACACGCCATCGAGGCCTATGAAAGTTGTTGCTACACGTCCCGGGTGAAGAGGTGCCAGGTATGGAATGTAATAGAGGAGCCGTGACAGTATGAAGTAGTTTATGAGAGCGTACACTGGAGGTCCAGACATAATCAGTACAGTTGAAGCTATGAGATAAGCTAGATTGTCAGTGCTATAGGCACCAGCGAGTCGCACTGCGAAGCCACTAATCATCAAGAGAGCGGCCCATGGAAGTAACAGTGTTGTTCGCCATGACTTATGCTTGCTAAGAGGAGTCAGTATAATGAATCAGCAGAAACCGAAGTATTTACATTGTCTGCCAGGCATGTAGCGCTCCAGAGACAAAGAAGACGATGATGAAAACGATTGGCGCTGCTTTGTTTGGTGCGTAATACCAGACACTGCCAGGTGAATAATCTCCCATGCCCATCTTGAGAGCTGATGGTTTTGTTCAATAGATATAGAAGGTGAAGTCCAGTGAGTGTGACAGCTGAAAGATGAGAGTCAAATGTTGGGTCCCAAGAAACAAGAAGCATGCGAAATAAGGCTTAGAAAGACCCGAACAGAGTTGACAACATATTGCCCTCTTTCTAACATCGAACACTGCCTAACATTTATCGCGTGGGACCTACGACGGTGCACAATAGAGGCGCATATGCCAGACCCCTCACAGAAAGACGAATGCGACGAATGCGAAAACCCACGGGGCACTCAAATGCCGCATCACGAGCCCATAAGGCATAGCGCAGGGCTGAACGAGCGTGTTCATCGACTGGTGACAGGGTGAAGCGAGAAAAGTTGCTGCTGACCGGTGATGGATTGAGAGGCTCGCACAACAGCCATAGAAGAGACGACCACACGTGATGTGGCGGAGACCTCAACGCCTGAGCGGGTCTTCGCCGAATTTGGGTTAGTCGCGCCTAGCGGTGAAGCCACCCAAAGCGCAACGTTCGTCTCGCGACGGCATCAATACCCGCGCACTCGAACAAACGTCATCAATCACATAATCCGCCGTCATACCGTATTCTCATCGTGCACGTTTCATGAGTGTGGCTGGAAATGGTGCGCCAGCCCTGGGTGCCACAGAGGATGGTTCTAGGCAAACTCAAGTTGAACCTACGGTGATGGACGGGCTATCAAGCTCCAAAGTGACGGGTATGCACCCCTGTAAATTTACCACCCCTATACTTATGCTTCGCAGTCGAGTACCATGACCCTTCTGGAGTCTTTTCGTTGATACAAGAGGACTTGGCTGCGCGCCTGCCCCTTCGTAACTTGCACTGGAAAGCTCCTACACGGCCACTGAGATCCATCGACTCTCTGCATGTTGACCTTGTTCCCAGTAAAGAATCAGCACAAGCTGCAAGTGCGGCCTCGTCGGCTTCAGCACCTGGTCAAGGTACGCCTAATAAGAATATGGATGAGATTTTCAGAGCACCTAACAAAGAGAAAGAGCGGCGACATCAAATCCCAGGACTGCGTCAAACTCCTTATTTAAAGGTCTATCTTCTGAGATGTGACGATTCAGAGACTTATAAGGCGACTGCACGGAAGCAAGTCCGCGAGTGGGTGAAAGAACACACACCGCCTTCTCAAAGCAGTACGGCGAACACTCAGGAGAACCATGATGCATACGAATGGTTGATTCTACATGTGGTCGTACCTGAGACGCCAGCAGCAACTCAGCCTCGCGGGTCTTCAAATACCACGACTGGCGAGAAGGAGAAGACTGGGGCAGCTTCTAGATGGACACGCGGGACGACGACCCTACTCGAAAAGCTTCGCGCAGACTTCAATGTCTCCTCAAAATCGGCGCCTGACCGCGTAGCTCAGATACGGGTGCCGAAAGAGAGAATTCCACAGCACATGCTTCCAGCTGCAGCGCCTGTTACCTCACCACCTATCACTGAGAGCCCTCAGGAACAAGAGCGTGCTTGGGCTGATGTCATAGCTAAGTTCAAGGTGTTGATACTCCTCTCGTTTGACCTCCGGGTAAGTCAGTACGAAGAGGACATCCGGAAGAATGACGCTCAACGCTCATTTCCTGGCTGGAATTTCAACACATTCTTCATTCTAAAGGAAGGCTTGGCAAGAGGCTTCGAAAGCGTAGGCCTAGTCGAAGATGCTCTGCTCGGATATGACGAGCTTTCCATCGGTCTAGACAGCGTTATACGTGATCAGTCAAGTGAGAATGCACAAGGAAGTGTTTTACTCAGCTATTCAGATGATCTGTATCAGATAGCGGCCGAGATCGCGCAGCAGGATGGGAAGGACGAATCAGCTTCAGCCATACACGACGATAGGCCAATAAACGCGCTAAAGAAAGACTACCGCGGTCTCATCCTCGCGAACAACATCTCGATCTTCGACTTCAGGCTGTACATCTTCGCTCGCCAGATGTTCTTGCTGTTAAGACTCGGAAATTCCGTCTCAGCACGTTCTGACCTCGCAGCTAAATTACAACCTCGACCAAATGCCAGCATAATTCAGCGATCGACTGACGATAGCGCTATTGGTATGAAGTCGGGTGGTCAAGTCAATGATTCGGAAGATCTTTTTTCTCTCACTGAACTCTGCTCTCGCGCACTAAACTTCATCACTTTTGCCGGACGGCTCTTGCGAGATGACCTGATCAATGGGTAAGTTTAGTTCACGTCCGCCGATTCGAAGCACTGACTCATGAGTTTAGCGCGAAAGCTCATGATACCACATTGCCCGACAATCTAATTGAGAACGTTGTTCGTTCGTGGACATTCGCTGCGCTGGACCAAGTGCTGCGCGAAACCTCTACAGGCTCACTTCCATTTACTAGGTTCTCTAGAGATCCATCAACCGGTTCTTCAGGCAAGAGTCTTTCGTTCGGCGGCCGCAACAAAGAACAAAAGATGAAGGTCTCAGAGCCCAAGTCGATGATCCATCCATCGCGGTCAACATCTCTCAATCATGGACGACCTGCGTCAGACATGCCATATGCACAGCCTACGGCAAATGCACAGGTTGTTTTCGAGAACGGCCAATATCACGATCGACCACCGCCGAACCAACAAAGTGCGATTCCTTCTGCGAAGAACGGCTTGCAAGAACTGGCCGGTACCAGAGCACAACTGCTTGCTATTCAGCGACGCCTGCTCGAGCACGCAGGCAAGAGCATGGGTTGGAACATAGGCTGGAATGCTATCTTGGCGTCTCTGAATGCGAAAGAAGAGCTAGCTGACGTTAACTTGGAAGACGAGGAGGAAGAGGAGAGTGAGTTGAAGCAGGACGAATCAAAAACCGAACCGAACACCGAAACCTCGAAGTCACGCCTTGGCATATCTGCTGGAGCACTAATCACCGCAATGCTATCGATCGGGCAATTCCGACAGTTCTATGAGGTCAGTAAAGACATCGCATAATTAGACAGACTTACTGATTTTTCCAGACCTTGAGCGATCTAATTGTCAAGCACTACATGTCTGCAGGTCAGACTAAGTCAGCAGAAAGTGTACTTGGAGACCTAGCTGCACTTAGATTGTATGTTTTCTGGCCCTTGAGGTTTAGCTCGTTAGATGCTTACTTTATAATAGCGAGCTCGGTGATTTTGCGGCAGCTGCTATGTACTTCGGGCGTATGGCGTCGTACTTCGCAGAAAGCAGATGGAACACGGTCGAGACAACCATGCTCAAGATGCACGCACGCTGCTTGAAGAAGCTCAATCGCAAGGACGAATATGTTCGAACAGTACTTGATCTTCTAGCCAAGTCGGCAGCGAGCCGGATGGCGTTCAAGAATTCGGTCAAGCGAGCCAGCACGACCGATGCAGATGATATGCCTCGCGACTGGCTCAACGATGACAAAGTGGATACTACTGATGTGTTTCACGAGCTCATCAGCTATTCGCAGCAGCTACCGTACGATATTACCGTCCAGATGCCGAAGTATTTTGGCGATATCTCCGTAGAACCCTACGTTCGCCACTACGATGACAAAGATGGCTTCCAGTTACGCCTCCAGTTTAGACACCACCTTGAGGATGAGATCGAGATCCGGGCAGCCAAGATTCGTCTCGTTAGTGCAGTTTCAAATCAAGCCAAGGATATATGGCTTGAAGAGACTGGAGCTATACAATTGAAGAAAGGGTTGAATCGCATGTGGATCGGCTGCAACATGAACACGACTGGACCGTACATGGTTGATAGGGTCGTCCTGGAAGCAAAGCGCATCGTCTTTGTACACGAGCCTTTTCAGAAAGCTGAGGCAACCACACCCCTTGGCATCATTACTTCGGTCTCTGCGCATTCTCTCAAAGCGGCGAAGAAAGCCCGAATTCTGTGCTTCCCGCGTAGTGAAGCGTTCCAAGCCAGGATATATCTTTCGCATTTCATCCATATCGACAAGCCGCGACACATAGAGGTCGAGTGCTCGACTGGCTGGAATGAGGTGACACGTGCAGAGGTTCGACTCAAGTCTGCCTCAGCAGGTTTACGACTACGGACGGCAAATGCAAATGTGGCTGGCGGAGATGTCACGATTGATGAGAGCAAGCCGACACCAGGAGTTATCGCTGTTGGTGGCATGCCAGCAAATTCCACAGCGACCTTGAAAGTGCCTTACGATATGGAGACGATATTGCAAGACCTCACAGTCAAAATAGACGTTGACTACTTCACTGATGAAGGCCAATTCCAGTACACCTCAACCTTCGTTATTCCCGTCGAGTTGCCTCTGGACGTCAATGTCCATGACCACTTCAAAAGCAAGTCATTGTTCTCGAAGTTCAACATCAAAACCGCCAACCATGTGCCATTGGAGCTCCTGGACGTCGCATTAGATGGGTCTGAAGAGTTCGATGTCCACGCGCCTAGGCGTCCGAAGGAGTCCGTACATGTGTTTCCGAAGCAGCCTGTCGCGGTTACGTACAAGGTTACTAAGAAGGCGACGGACGCTGCGAAAAAGCGACAAAGCCGGATCTCTACCACGGGTAGCCTATCCTTGACTGTTGAGTACCGATGCTTGAATGAAGATGTTCTCGACCGAGTGCGAAAGATGTTCACTGATGCTGTCGAAGAAAGCCCAGTGCACCGGCTGGCTCGTTTGCTTACCGATACATTCGCCAGTCGGTTGGAGCAAGACATCCTTCCACACCAGTATGAAAAGATTGCGTTGCTGCAAAGGCTTGACCTAGGTGCATTCGAAGACGTTGGCTGGGCAGACTGTCTAGAAAGTCTGCCGCTCATCATTCGTGATGATACGCAGACCTGGTTGCAGAAGTGGCATGAAGTAAGCAGCGGTTCCTCTCACACGATAGTATATGCTAACATCCCTACAGAAGCACAGGACTATTCTGCTCACCAAGGAAGATGTGTCAGACACGACGCAACATGCGACCGCTCCGCCATCGCCAAACCCACCCCGCCGGATGGTTATCACAGTTTTAATTCCTCAGACCCACATTCTACACACCGCATCACTATCTTTCGACTCACCCTCTTCGCCTCTAGACTCCGTTATTGCAACAGTTGGTCAGCCTCTCATGACCACCTTGCGTATCTCGCATACGCGCCGCTGGGCCTCACCATCAAGTCTACTCTCCGCTGCAAACCTTACTGAAGTCAGCGAGCCTATAGATTTCGTTTACACCATCGATGCAAACCCTGAAGTATGGCTCGTTGCCGGCCAACGACGCGCGCACTTCACCGCAAAAGAAGATGAAGAGCATGAATGGCCGATCATGCTCATTCCGCTCAAGACTGGGAATACGCTATTGCCAAATGTGGACATACGGGCAAAGATCAAGCCTAAAGAAGAGGAGAAGAAGGGAAAGTTGGGGATTGTGGAGGCGGATATATTGAATTGCGAGACCGATTATCTGAGTTATGGAGAGAACGTTGCGGTCGTTTCAGATGTAAGGAGTAGTACAGTAGGGATTGGGGATATGGGTGTGGGTAGTCCGAGAAGTGTTGTTTGGCTGGAGAGCAGTGGACAGTCAGTGTGATAGTCAGATGATGCGCTGAACCCAGCGTCTCTGAGAACAAGAAGAATACTGATGGATGTCTGCGATCTTTTGATATGTCTTATAACGACTCAACTAGCGAAGACGATGCGCCCGTACTGGTTGGTATGTTCCTTTGCGGGCAAGTTCCAGCGCCCAATCACGCAAATTATCGACATGATGCATGCAGTACTACCACCAGTCAGCCCCTCTGAATGCAAAAGGACATGAGGAATGTGATTATGCTTGATATGTGAAAGCTCAAGACCTGAGCAAGCAAAAACAAACAGACAAAAACATACAACAGCGGGGATTCGCCAGTGGTCACCCACCTGACTACTAATCCGCCGTTTACAAGCTTGAGTACCGCTGAGCGAACGGGAAGCGCTATGGTCTTGAAACTATGGTCGTATGTGAAGGAGTTGCTTAATTCAATCTCTTATATTGTGGATTAAACATGATGACATCCTGCTTCGAGTGCAAGACGCAGACCCTGTCAGCCGTGCCACGACAAGACGCGTATATCATCAGACAGAGGCACAGGAGTACCGGCGATGTTATGAGCTCCATGTGTAATGAAATCGATTCTTCGAGTTGTTATATCGTCTTGTTGAGGCACCCGTGGATGGACTTTTACCATAACTCCAGCGCTGAATATGCAATGAGTATTCCATTCCCTTGTGTTCCTGTGCCCAGTCATATGTGTGTCTGGTCCTCCTCTTCGCTTCTCCACTTTTAGTCCTTTGGTAGCATATCCTGCTCGCTACCATCCCTAGGCACGTAGTTGATGCCTGCACTCTCCACCAGGCCAATCACGTCGTCTGGGAGAATGCCTTCAACCTGGGTCGCGTAGACACCTGGCTTGTAGCCCTCGAGGCGCTGGTATCTAGCTACCCAACTCCTTGAGGTGTCGGCAACCGTAATGAGGCCTTCAAAGACTTGCGATGTGCAATCGTTGATCTGCTCGGGGTTGCCAGCGAGTTCGAGGATCTCTTCGCAATTCGGACAGCCTTGGGTGAGGAACTGGTTCTGAGTCCGGACGATGGAGCAGACCATGCAGGCGCGCATGTTGCGCTGCTGGCCAGGCGCGATGTACGCGCCGCCCTGAATCATGTCTTGCGCCATGGTAAAGTAGTCGGGGTTGTCGACGTAGGACGGAAGGTTGGGATGCGGGGTTTGACCTGTTTGGTGGCGGTTCTCGGGGGTGAGACCGAGATGGTGAATAGGACTGGAGACACTGGCGTCTGTAGAAGCGTTGACGCGACCTCGACCGGCAGCGCGCGAAGGCGTAGCAGAGTTCTGAAGTCGAGGACGGGGCTGCTGTACGAGCGCTTGATGCCGATGCGGAGTTTGGTGGGCAAATATGGACGTGGGCGGTTCAGACGCTTCGACAGAAGGAAGGACGGCGTTGTTGAAGCTGGCAGGAAACAATGCGTTCGCAAGTGCCCTACTTTGTTCTACGGTTCCGGAAGCTTGGCGAGGCTGTCGGCGCTCTGGCTCTGGACCTGACTCGGCCACTTTAGAGGGGTTTAGTGGCTCGCGTGAGGCTACGGGATCGACATTCTCCAGCTCATGCGCAAAGTACTGATGCTCATCTGCTCTGCTGTCCTTTCGAGAAACAGTTGTATTGCTCGGAGAACTGGCAGCGGGAGTGACCTCGTCGCCGTCAGAATCGATGGTCATGTACCTATCTTCTCTGTTGGGCGTCTTGACCGTTGCGACACCTTTGCGCGCCATGATGTCTAGTTGCGAGCCGAGGTCGCTGGTTGGTTGAAGCGTTGGCGGAGGCGTTAGTGGCAAGGCGAGGCGAGAGGGCGGGACCGAATTGCTTGATAACTTTTGGCGGGCAGTGCGGGCAACTGTTCACTCTCTTTTCGCCGTACGCCAGTTGTTTGTTAGGCCATCGTATTTTGCGCAGGGACGCAGCCTCCCTCTCCCGTCAATCAACAGGTGCAGCAACCCGTCGCGCCTTCTGCAACCACACCCGCGTGCCTCGCATACCCCAGTTTGTCCCGCACCGCATCGATACATGATGGGTGCCCCGACCGACGAAGCGACCAAGCTCAAGGATCAGGGCAACAATGCCTTCAGGAACCAGGAGTGGGACAAGGCTTTGGAGTTCTATACCAAGGCGATAGAAGCATACAACGCAGAGCCCTCTTTCTACACCAACCGCGCACAAGTACCGAGTCTCACCTGCTGCATACACGCCTCTACTAACCTGCTCCCAGACATATATCAAGCTCGAGCAATATGGCTACGCCATACAAGATGCCGACACGGCAATTGAACTGGATCCAAACAATGTCAAGGTACCATTGTCGCAAACTCACTTGGTCGACATGGCGGCTTACCACAGCACCAGGCATACTACCGCCGCGCCTCAGCCAACACCGCCATCCTCAAGCACCGCGAAGCACTCCGCGACTGGAAGCTCGTCGTCAAGAAAGCCCCCAACGATGCGAACGCGAAACTGCGCATGGCCGAGTGCGACAAGGTCGTCAAGCGAGACGCCTTCCTCAAGGCCATCGAAGTCGAAGACGCGCCATCGGCAGCCGAGGGACTAGATCTCGAGCACATGGCTGTCGACCCCTCATATGATGGCGCGAAGCTGGGAGACGAGATGACGTTGGAGTTCGTCGAAGACATGATTGAGAGGTTCAAGAACGGAAAGAAGCTGGCCAAGAAGTACGTTTACCAGATCATCATCGCCGTAATGGACATTGTCAAGAAAGAACCCACTATGGTCGAGCACGATGTTGTAGATGGTCAGGAGATTACAGTCTGCGGAGATACCCACGGTAGGTTGAGGAAAAGATTCATGGGACTCGTTGTATACTGACAAGGCTAGGCCAATTCTTCGACCTCATGGAGATCTTCCGCCTCGCTGGCAAACCCTCCGAGAAGCACGCATTCCTCTTCAACGGCGACTTTGTTGACCGAGGTTCATGGTCTACCGAAATCGCCCTTCTACTGTACGCTTACAAATGGCTATACCCCAATACCTTCTTCCTGAATCGCGGCAATCACGAGACGGACGATATGAACAGGATGTATGGGTTTGAGGGTGAATGTAGGGCCAAGTACACCGAGCGCGTGTTCAAATTGTTCTCCGAGTCCTTCTCCGCGCTTCCTTTGGCAACCCTCATCGGCAAGAAGTATTTTGTGCTTCACGGCGGTCTCTTCTCAGATGACAAGATCACACTAGACGACGTAAGAAAGCTTGACCGATTCAAGCAGCGTCAACCGGGACAGTCTGGACTGATGATGGAGATGCTGTGGACCGATCCCCAAACAAATCCAGGCCGTGGACCCAGCAAGCGCGGTGTTGGTCTGCAGTTCGGTCCCGACATCACGAAGCGCTTCTGTGAGAACAATGGCCTTGAAGCCATCATTCGGTCACACGAAGTACGCATGGAAGGTTACGAGGTCGAACACGATGGACGCTGCATCACAGTTTTCTCAGCGCCCAACTACTGCGACAGCACTCACAACAAGGGTGCTTTCATCAAGATTGGCCCCGAGTACAAGCTCAAGTTCACTCAGTTCGACGCTGTTGCGCATCCGAACATTAAACCAATGGCATATGCATCAAGTGGCATGGCCGGCATGATCTAATAAGTTTGAGGTGAGTTGGTTCAGTCATTGTTCGCAGCGATGCATACTTCGGTGTTCTTCGGCGCATCAGCATACTCGGAATCGTTTGGGGTTGTGTTTGATCTTTCAGGATTGATTGGGACTGAGCGTTGGTATATGAATGTACTATAGAGTCGGGAGAAGGCACGATTCCGAAGTCGATGTACACGAGCAGCATCGAAATCATGATGAGAACAGAAATCTACGAGTAAAATACCATGTCTTACGCGTTTGGCACGCTATCACGGGTCGCGCGTGGTAGCTGCGTTGCCCCTCACACGCGGCCCCACGTGTTGCATCCTAATGCGGCTAACTCTGTTGACAAACATGGATCCTACTCCTTCCATCGCATCGCGTCCTACCAACCTGCTAACAAAGCGCCCTTTACGCCTGATCTCGCCGTAGATCCACGACGCCGACACTCGGTCGCATCTTGAACAACCTTTGTATCAGCAATGTGAAAGCCTATCTGTCTGCGCAACCATCATGTCGCCATATCAACAAATCTTCTCCACCAACGCCGTCCTAAGCGTCTGGCGCAATATTCGCCATACCAAAGACAACAACGATCTCCTCCTCGCATTCCAGTACCACCAAGAAGATGCTCGCGGCCAGAAGGGCAAGAAGTATAGCAAAAGCAGTACCGTGGATAGCACGCAAGAGATCGCAGATGGAAAGGCAGTAGACAATGTCGGAAAGAGCATTGGCTTCGTCGTACCATGGCGGGCCATGCAGGCGCAAAGACGTGAACTGAAGGAAAAGGAAAAAGAGCTCGCTGAGGCGCTCGTGGCCCTAGCTGGAGAGGTCGCATTTACTGGTATATACCCAACGACTAGTGATTTATGGAGTTTGTCTAGAAAGGCCCATATACTGACTCTCGACGATCAGACCTCTCTTCGACCCTTCAATGTTCTCTCACACAGAACCCGCTTATCCAAATCCGTCACCTTGCTGCTGGCCTCTCGCGTCAAATGTCAAAGATCGAAATACAGATGGCCGACAATGCCCCTTTTGCACACGGAAAGAACCTATACACTGGAGGCGAGATAGCGCAAAGATTCCTTCCACCGATACAGACGCTCTTCGAACAACGACCCGTACCACAACGCATGATCTTCGAGCTGCTGATGGAATTGAAAGATTTGATCTACATGGGCATGGCCGGCTGTGAGAAGGAAGTTCTGGAGTGGGAAGTGGACGGAGCCGCGATCGGAGCACTCGAGGAACTGGACGATGCGATGGTTAGAGCAGTCACACCCTTAACACCCGCTATCGAGCTTGAGCAACGAAAAGAGCTGGAGACCGGAGCCAGGCGCATACTCAGGCGCAAAGCCTCGAGCCTCATATCAAACTCTCTTACAGTCCAACAGCCAGTGTCGTTCCTCCTCGCAGCACCTGATGAACTACTTTACAGCCTCGAATCTCTCGAAACGACAGCGCTCGCTCTTACCCATATACCTCTTCCTATACCCGATCTCTGTGCGCACGCTGTCATAACTCTCCGTCGTCTCACGCCACGGCAGACCCTCACAGACTTCTCGCAACAAAAGAAACGAAGAGCCGGTCGTTGCGCTGAATACGCACGTTGTATGAAGTGGGCTGGTACGCAGTGGCGGCAAAATGGAGGCTGCAGAAGAGGCTGCAAGAATGAGGACGAAGACCCTGAAAACCTCCCTAGCTGGCATAGGAGTAGTCGCTGGTTCGACGAGAAGGGCAGTGGGACATTCATGGTTGGTGGAGGAAGAGCGACACCAAAAGATGATGGGTTTGGAGTCGTCAAGATGACGCCTTCGTAGGACAACACCGTGGGATCTTGATATTATTCTTATATGACGTTTGGACGTACACGTACGATGGGACGGTTTTGTATGATAATCGGCGTAGTGATACCCTCTTCAATTTTTTGGTACATAGTAGGGTAGGGAAACCTTTTCTGTGAAAGCAGTGGTTTCAACGAGGTCTTCTGACAGAACACAGGTTGTTGTTTGGTACATGAGCAAGGACTACGCTGGGCGGATACTTTTACGAGCTTTCAATCATCTCATAAGGAGCTTTCAACTTGCCAACTATGATTCACACCTTTCTTCTCTTTAACCTCTGGTTTTCCTCTGGCTGGTGTAATGCCTTAAGAATATTCGCCATCCGCAGAAGTGTCGCATGCAAAGCTTCAGGGTGCTCGAAGCACAGAAACATTGAAACTCTGATCGCTAGGGCTGAGAAGTACCTTCGAAGCACCTTGTGATCACTCTTACTACTGGCTGCACCGGCTGTAAGAGCTATCCACAAAAGTACGCCTGCCATGTAGTCCCAGCAATTAGACATGTCCGACTTCTCAAGCGCATCTACGAGCTCCTGGAGGAATTTTGACTGAGAAGTAGGCTCTTCCATAGTGTTAGAAGATGGTAAAGCCGACGAATAGCTTTTGGAAGCGGAGATGGATGGGAGGGAAGAGAGTACAGAGTCTCTGGTATCTATCGTCATAGGAGTGCATCTCGAGCTTACAACAGATACTGCGGATGGGCTAACCGAAGACGCAAACAGGTCTTCATCCGCGGTCGTCATCTTGTCGTGAGGAAGAAACGGCTCACTGGGAAGCTGCGGAATCGAATAGACGTCGGCTACGCACACCTGAGCAAGTGCCTCACTCAGTGGAATGCGTCTGGCGAGAGATATGGCTTGGATGGTTGATACCAAATGGACCGCTTCATATCTCCAGTCTTCGCACTTCATGTCTTCGGAAAGCTGTCGTTGAGACACTGGAGTATACATGGTGAGTTTCTCGTGAAGAAGATCGAGAGACTCAGAGGCTCGAGCCGTTGATTCCTTCTAGGTATCAATTTTAGCGAAGATATAAAGCGAAAGTTGCTAGCAATATCAATGCTCACCTCGTTCATTAGACCATCAATCATACGGCGCATGTCTACTACCAATTGCAGCGTCTGCTCATTACAACCGTCAGACCTCTGTAAAGTGATATAATCCTCATGGGGACACCAGACTGGCGATTCTGGTATAGCTAATGTTGATGCGTACGTTTTACTCGAGTGGGACATGCAGTACTCAGAGTACTCAGTCACTGGCTGTTTCTCATGAAGAACGGCCGTTTCTAACGAAAGCCATGAGACCATTGATGCCAATATCGAATCGAGTTTTTGCAGGCCCCCGCGTTGTCGAATCATAGTTTGCAACCCATCCTGATGGAGTTTTAATCCTGCGTCCACACCACCTATGACGTTTCCAGTGATAAGTTGCAGTACTGCCACAATGTTGTGATCAGCAACGCCATTTTCCCTGTTAGTGAGGTGCTCAGAGACAAAATGAATCACCTCTTGTCGCAAGCCTGCAGTCTCAAGGCTCTCTGCTTTGCACTGACGCAGAGCATCGTAGTGTGAAGATGCGATGTAAAGAGTCCCGAGAAAAGTGTGAGGGTAATGAAGGCATGCTGACATCCAAATGTCCATCATTCTCTCTGTCGCGAAGCATTGGTGAACTATGACATATTAGCGGACTTCGTTTAACATAAAATTTACACCTACAGTGGAGTTTGAGTCTTTCTAAAGAGATGCGCTGGGACTGAGATGGAAACATGACCCCAAAAGGATCCAGCCTTCCTAGGGAGAATAGTTCTGGCACTGGATATAAGTCGAATGGATAAAATCCTCTCATTTCTTCTATTATTGGGACAACGATAGGTCTCCGAGAAAGGGTGGATTGGTGTGCTACTTGTGAACCGGGAACGTTGCTGTCAGGCTGGAGTCGATTGTTGGATTCCAAATCCTTCTTTTTACTATCGTTCTTCCGTTTGCTTTTGGGTATCTCGATAGATCGAGCTCTCGTGGCGCCTTGATCATCGCTCATGGTCATTTGGTGGACCTTCTCCAAGTAGGAACCCATGGCCGCTTGGCGAACAGTCACCATCTTAGATGTTGTTTTGAAGTCTTCTAGTTTGTTGCCGATGATCCATCTCAGTTTACCCATATCGTCGTATACTGGAGGCTTGCTCGGACTTGGCGGCTGTAGATCTGGATTACAGTGTTAGCCCCTTCCTACGTTTCCACGTCACTCTTGGAATACTTGTAAATTCCAGCTCTCATCTGAGTCGAGTATACATACCTTGCCATTCGGTACGAGCAGGTGTCGAAGCTCTTGAAGACTCTGCGTATTCAGTTGTGGGTGGTGTAGAGTACAGCGAGGTGGTGCTATTAGGAGAATGGAGAATCGGTGTCGGAAACTTTTTCGTTGAACTAAAACTGCAATCGGATTCGGGCTGAACAAATTCGATATCAGACTGATCCCTGCTGTGTCCAAGCGGTCTCTCAAAACCTGAAGGACTTCTTGTTACTGCCTGTCTTTCCAAAGTAGACCTCTCATCCTGAACGGAGTCCGCAGACGCTATGTTATCTAATATCGGTCAGTACAGCACGCTGTCGATGTATGATAGATGCGATGATGAGAGATACGAACCCTGCAATTCCTTTCTGTGACAAGAATCGAGAGAAGCTTCTATGCTCCTACCCCAACGAGTCCCCGATTTCTGAAACACGTAGGTTGCTGGTGCGATATATACAACCTCTCTTAGAGCGGAGCTCACGACAACATGTCCATAAGGCTGACTGGTCACCGTGTCTAAGATTTCAACTCCACAATCACCCCACTCAAGAGCAGAGGCTAACGTAGCTTGGTAAACTTGTTGAAAACTGGTACTGTTTGGAAGTCGCATGTATGTTGCTGTATGAGACAACTGTCCATGGACAAGGCCTCGAGAGGTATGCGCAACAATCTCCATGTTCTCCGTGCTGGAGATCAACTTCCCTTGAATACTTCCGCTCTGTACATCTGTTTTAAGTTGAGAGATGGCAGAATAGACTCCAATATGACAAACGTCGATCACGGCCCAATCGAGGTCCACAGAGTACGTTGTCAGATGACCTAAAAGCACCAAATCTGCCACGTCTGGAAATTCTTGGTCGCTTTGAACCGATGGTACAGGTGACGTCGTCGAGGTAGACTTGCAAGTTGGCGATTCCGATTGGTCGTCAGAACCTTCCTCTAATGAGCTGACACTCGCGCGCGATGTTGCATCCATACATCTGTCATCATCTTCGTCTTCAGTTCCACTTCCATAGTCAAATTCGCTGTCGCTGGTAGTAGACACGGCTGGTGGTGAAGATACGTCACCGAAGAACACGTGTGAGACGGACAGATAAACACATTTTTCTCCCTCGAAGACAGCGTTAGCTGTAGCTTTCCGTAGGATATTACCGACCTGCTTGATGAATATTGGCATCGCGATGGCTTTGATAGGAGCTGACGGATCGAAGTAGACATCAGATATCATGCCAGATCCTGTCGATTGCCGAATGTCTTCATTCCCTGCTGCAGGCTGTATCAGCCTCCCTATCCCCGGTAGTTTGGCGAGGTGTCCAGTTCGGAACCCGGCGAGCTTTCCCAAAAGACCACCTTCGTCGATAGTCTTCTTAGCCTTTTTGCGCGGCTCCTTCCCCTCGCAAAAGAACAAGATTGTAGGAATCGCTGAATCCACTGACCGTCCTATCATATACAGATGAAATAGCACGATACTCGAGTAACGCTCCGTTAATACTGCGTTAAGTTGTTCCACAATTTCAGATTCGACAAGGCTGAACTGCTGCCTGGCTGGTCCCGCAGCATGCCACCAGTATCTATCATGGAAGATCCCAATTTCGGTTCAATGCAGGCACAAACGTTTGGATAAGGCTGTTGTGCGGACTTCCAGAATCTGGCTCGGCTGAGATACCGTTCGCCCATGTTGACCTCGCATCCCGATCAGGACGAAAGAACGGCGTTGGGCATGCAGCTCAATACAAATGGAGAGGGGACAAAAAGCAATAATAGTTCGGACACACACCGTTGGCGTAGGATCAATCGAAAGATGCAGAATGAGGGCCTGTGTTAGTTTAAGCAACGGGGCTCAGCCGTGCGGAGGCGTCGAGGGGCGCAGCCATTGGAGGTCGCATGAGCCACACCGGTCATTGCTGCAACCCCACGAAGAAGGCGTCGCGGAGCCCAAAGAACTGGCAACCTATAAATGAGCCTCTCGTGTACATACACGCAGGCCTGTGATTGAGACCTAGACAACCTGTTTATCCAAAATGTCAACACTCATCGGCCCACTTGATGAAGTTCTCCAGGACACCGTTACACCACAGGCTAGGGCGGAAATCATACAGCATCTATGGCGAGACAGAAGAGGGCTACCGTTGAAAAGATTCCATTTCGTATGGGACGCTTATTTTACATACTATACGCGGGAATGCAACGCAGCCCTCACTGATGAAGGCGCCCATCTCTGCGCTAGATCGCATCGAAGTCTTTTGCGGATTGCGCACTTGCTGGAAGACGCGGCTGACGAAGAAGAAATCAGAGAAAGGCTCCGTCAAACACTCACGACGCAAAGATCAAAGTTAGACGAGAAGAAGATGTTGGACGGTTCTTTGAAGCTAGCGACTCGCATATTTGCAATGATTAGCACCGGACCACTTTCTTCCGAGATATCCGCGAAATATTCCTTACCCTGGAGCCAAGGCTGCTCGTTTCCAGTCGCCGTACATGAATATTTCAATCAACCCCTAGATATTGAACTGGAATCGAAGGACGATGTCGTTGGTTCGGATCTTACGTGTTATAATATCGAGCGCATGTCAGGCATCGAGGTCATACTGACCGATAATTTGCTCGATCATTTGCGTCTTGTCGAACAAGACAAAAAGCTGTGTGTATTCCATCATGCATCGTTCTTGAGAAAGATGATAGCCACAGAAAGGTGTGAACACATTGTTAGACCAGCAGAGAGCAATGCTTACCGTACAGTCTCATAGTCCGATTTTTCCAGACGGCCTGATCGAAGAAACGTTGGACGCGCTTGCCCTGCTGTTTCCAGAGTCAGATCGCAAAACGAGACGATGGTTGTCAGAGAAGCGGCGAGCAAACTCAACGCAGACGGCGGTAGACAGCACATTAGCACACTGTGGCCATTTTCGGCCTGGACATCCATCCAGACGTCTTGGGCGATTCCAGTTCTGGCGAGATCGATTGGTTCTGCTAGGGGAGGCTGTCGAGGAAGCCACGCCAACCTCCAAGGCGTTGTTAAAAGCGCTGAAAGATAGTAAGAGAAGCGACCACTGGCTCAACTCATGGATAGCAATAGTGGCGATAGGCCTTACCCTCTTCCTCGGGTTGGTACAAATTGTTGAGGGTGCCGTGCAGGTATACAAAGCGTACCACCCAGAAGCAGACTCGGCATAACGCCAAAATTCCTGGACTAAAAAGGAAGGCTGAATACATGTACCTAGGTATTTTGGGTGGCGCAACTCGGCAAGCTGGAGAAAACTAGAAGCGGCAAGATCTGCTGGAGAAATTCTAGTGAGCCCGCGCAGTGAGACTTGTACATTAGCGTTTCAACACAGGGTCCAAAATTCTGGGTCCCGTCCCAGTTTGGAGGGAGCAGCTACAGTACGCGAACTCCACTCCATCTCGCTGCAGTTGCCCCACAGAGGCGAATTTGTGTAATCTTTGCGAAGACAGTGGGTACGAGCTTGGAATTTGGTCTTGGAATTTGATCCTGTACGAGAGGTAATAGCGCTGCAGGCCTTAGGAGATAACGCATGCTACATCAACAAAGCTCATGTTGAGGAAGCGTAGCGTGAAGATAAGGCTGCAGATATAGTGACGCATCTGGGCACGGTGGCACCAACAATGATACGATGATCATAGTGACGTCATCAGTCTCCGCGGTTATGGCTACGTTGTGAGGGTTCAGCAAGGCGCCCACACATCGACCGGAAGATGTTGCTCGCTCAATTGCTGCAGTATGTTAGTCGCATGGGAAAAAATGAGTTAATTCGCGGATGGTCAATTATTGCAGTGCATCTGAAGATATCATGAACGATCAAATGCTATGATTAAAATGCTATATAAAAAACGCTTGCTATAACACTTTCTTTTTGAGGTCAACGCCAATGCTGCAAATGTCCAAACATCTATCATCTATATGCTTTGCATAAACCAATCCAAAAGACACAAAGTCTAGTATGGCGACGCAACGCTTGTCGCCCTGGGGTATCTCTTTTCTCCTAACGCACACTTAAGCGTACTTCTCAATCATGGCCAAAGCGCCTTCGCGCTCCAAGCCCTCCAATGCAGCCTTGAGCTCAGAAACGAAACGCTCATCGTCACGGAGATCGTTACCGAACAGAGTCTTGATCTCAAGCTGAGCCAGGGGGCCCTCTGCGGCCTTGGCCTGGAGCTCCTCGACCATGGGGTCGTCAACCTTGAAGGCCTTGCCAGCATCGTCAATACCGCTGTTGTAGCGGAACCAAGCGGCAGCCACAAGGGTGAGGCGGCGAAGAGGGCCCTTGGCGACAATCTGCTCAGCGATGCTAGGCATGATGAACTGAGGAATCTTGCCACTGCCGCCGAGGCAGATACGGGGAAGCTCGTCCTTGAGGGTAGGGTTGGAGAATCGGCCTAGAAGGGTGTTGCAGTAGTCGTCGACACTGACACCGGGGATCTGGGGGAGAAGGGGCTTGACTTCTTGGTGCATCATGTTGATGACGAATTGGCGGTAGACAGGGTGCCCGATAACTTCGTGGATGTAAGTGAATCCTGCGAGCTGGCCGGCGTATCCCATAGCGGAGTGGCTGCCGTTAAGGAGACGTAGCTTGATCATCTCGTACTCCTCAACCTTGTGCACGTCTGGGACGATCTGGACACCGGCTTTCTCGAACGGAGGGCGGCCGTCAACAAACTTGTCCTCGAGAACCCACTGGTGGAAGGGCTCAGTGACAACGGGCCATGCGTCCTCAACACCAAAGTTCTCGGCGAGGCTGACCTTGTCCTCGTCGTTGGTACGGGGGGTGATGCGGTCAACCATGGAGTTGGGGAAAGCACCGTTGTTGGCAATCCAGTCGGCGATCTCTGGGTTCTGGTGACGAGCGAATGAGACCAACATGTTCCGGCTAATGTCACCGTTCTTCTGCATGTTATCGCAAGACAAAACAGTGAATGGTCGTAGACCGGCGGCATGACGCCTTTCCATAGCGGCGTAGAGGTAACCGAAGACGGTTCGTGGCGGCTGCTCACCGGCCAGATCGGCGGCGACATCAGGGTGGTCGGTCTGGAGCTGGTGGGTGTTCTCGTTCATGTAGTAACCGCTCTCAGTAACAGTCATTGAAACAATGTGAGTGTCGGGGTGAGCCATCTTGGCGATGACGGCCTCGCTGCTGTCAGGAGCAAAAAGGTAGTCGGTGATACTACCGCAAACACGGGCGGTGGTGCCCTCAGCAGCACGCTCAATGATGGTGTAGAGGTTGTCTTGGGGCTTCAAAGCATCGCGCATGGGAGCAGCAAATGGCTGAAGGTCAACACCGCAGATAGACCAGTCCTGGACGTTGAATTGCTCGAGAAGAGTGTCAACGTAGGCTGCGAGATGGGCCCTGTGGAAACCACCAACACCGACGTGGACGATGCCTTGCTTGACACCCTCACGCTGGTAGGTGGGGACAGTAACATTCTGGAGTTGTGAGAGATTCTTGCTGTTGAGCTTTAGGGGAGCTGCTGATGTCGGGCGCTGCGATGTGGAAGCGGTTCCAGCGGTGAACTTCTCCTCCTTACGTTGGGAGAAAGCTCTGGGAGGGGCGTTGTAGACGTTGTTGCTCTCCTGTGTCCGGCGGACAGCCTCGGAGCTCTGAAACCTGACGGCAGCAGGGCGGGAGGGTCTGGTGGACTGGAAAACGGCGCGAGCGCGGGCAGCGCGCAGCAAGTTCCTGGGTACTTGGGGAGGCATGGTGAAGAATGTAAGATTGGAATGGGGATACAGGAATACGTGGATGAGAGAAGGCAGAGGACGTGGTGTTCAAGTATTTATAAAGCAGCAGCTCAATCCTTTTTGTGGGCACATGCGTAGAACCTTGAGCATGGTGCCAAAAAAAAGTCGGATTAGGGCCCCTATTTTTTCGGAGGGTCTAGACATGGTGGATTATGAGTCGGGATTCGCAAGCTGATAGCCTGTGCTTTGGGAAACGTGGGTTGGCAAAAGGAGGCTGCGGCTTGCATTGTGCTGTGTACGTCGCGGGCTGGTGGTGCGTGCCAAAACGCCCAGATTGAGCCGCAACATCTGGGCGACTTCACGACAGCTCGGATAGATTCAAACTTTTTGCCCTGACGCGTCTCTACACAAGACCCATTTTTTAGACCGGACAGGGGTTTCAGACTTTGCGCTCCCGCTTCCGCTCGCAGCTTGGAGGAGCCACAATTGCGCCGTAGTGTCTGTTGTAAGGCGATTTTGTGCGATGTGCACAACTATTGCGTGCTAGGTGGAGGATGTTCAAGGGACTACTGAAAACGCTGTGGCTTGCGTCCACCAGAACCTCACCGCCGCCGGCTTTGCGTGGGGGTGCGGACCGCCAGGAACACCGAAGCTTGCAAGCATCTCGGCTGCATCGCCGACGCAAGGCTTGCATCGACCAGACCGCGTTTTCATCCCTCTTGGCAATACATGCGACAACCCCCAACGTACATCGTGGCGACTACAAGCCGCGTGGCCTCCGCTGTCAAGTTGGTTATCTATGCACCTGGGGAAGCTGCGGGTGATGGGGTCGAAGCTCGGGGCTGGGGGTTATTCCGACGCACACGCGAATTAGTGATATCAAGTGGATCTCCATCGTATCCGTGATTAGACGTGCTATGAAGTCAGCAGCGCGCATCCGCCTCGCCTCCTCGTTTCCAGATTCTTCGATTCTGGATCCACCCATGACTCGTTCACCGACTTGTCCTTCTGCGAGGATCCTGTCCAACGGCCACCAAAACGATCTGCAACCTGCAGCTGAGCCTCATGCATGCTGTTGCAGCACGGCACATCATCCCCGCCATAGCTCTGCGTCGCAGCTATCAGATCGTCCTTAGCCTTAGCCCTAAACATACCGACCGCCCAACGGAACTTTCTTAGCTTTTCCGCGCTACCTGTACCGCGTCAGTAGCGTCTCAACTGCCAGCGGTAGTACTGCTTTCGCACAATCCGAAAGCCCCATGGATGGCGACCTGTAGACGTGGGGATGCGATAACCTTGCAAACCGGTCCTAATCTCCACCGGAAATCGCACAATCACGAGCAAGCCCGAAGATAAGCCTCATGGAGATCCACGTCCATGGTCCGGGCTGTCATGGCTAATGGGGGTTCCACATGCCGCATATCCTGGAGAGAGGCAAGAAGTAGCGATTTCTGAACCTGCTTCCCGGGCAGCCACCATGAGAACCAGCTGGTCCATGCCATGGGGGCAGTCCGGAGAATACCTCTGCCATCGCGGGAGATGAGTTCGATACGTGCTTAGTGTCCCGCTAAGCCCCATGTCAGCAAAGTACTCATTTACTTTTGGCCAGGTCATGGCCTCGTGACTGCTTCTAGGCGGGTGGTATCAGCGCCCGAGGGCCTGTTCACGAATCATATGACTGAGGCATTGAAACGTGGGCAGTAGTCCGTGGAGTGAGCCGTAACTCTTCATGACGTTACGTCGATGCGCCCACGATGTGTTTTGTGTTTTTGCTTTATTGAGTATTCAAGGTTTCTTGGAAGAAAGCTAGTCTATCCCACGAGTACGTGTAAGTGATCGAATGATCTTGGCAGCGCTATTGATGATTGCGCTAGCCTCGTTTAGAACAATGAGTCGGGTTTGAAGAGATGGAAATGGGCAAGAAGGTGGTTGATAATCATTACTCCTAATGGTCATTTTCAGTAAGCACCATTTCACCATGTCGACGAGGTCAGTCAGTCGGATGGCTGAGTTATTGTATTCATTGACAAATTTACAGAGGCCGACAAGCCCTAGTATCTAGGTAACGTTGTAATATTCAAAACAACTACTAGTATGCAGTTCCAGCGCAGCATGCTCCGCATCTCCTCATATCACGGAGTTCCGTGTCCCGTAATCGGCTTCCGCCCCGGACTCGCTGCAAAGCCGTCCGGGCAGCAGGATTGTGTCCCATGGCAACATCGTTGAAAACCTCCGGGGATCTGTATGCGCGTATACAGATCGAACCCAAAAAAACAAATAGACCCGCTACCCGCCTCTGATAGTTGAAACATCTGGGTATGCACCACATGAAGAGTTGTTGATATCTTTGCCATATGCAGGTGCACACTTCAAGAGGTAAGCCAAGACGGCATCCTTCTGGTAGGCTACACGGAGAAAGGTCTTAAGTCGGCGCTAGATTAGTATGATCGTAAGTCCATTAGTTTATCGACTGTTCTTTCGCTGCTAGCGATAGTATCATTGAGGCGTGCTGTAGCACCAACAGAGGTAATCTGCCTAGTGTTAGTATTGGTGAAATGGGTGCTTGATACATTGCGAAGGGATTTATATAAAGACAACTGTGGGGAGATCTCGTGCGAGGTGCGTTCTTTCACTCTCGACATAGCCAACTTCAGCGCTCAGATGGATGTTACCGTGATCATCCTACGTATCCGCAACACTCGTAACGCCCGATGCAACAACGACGCTAACGTTTTGTAGACTTGGGTTTCCCCATTCATGGCATTGCTGCTTGTCGAAGACCTGAGGCAATGTGCTTTCGATCTGACTGTACAAGAGAGCGACAACACTACTCGGCGGTGTCACATCTTAAAGCAGATAGGGAAGACTCACCAAGGCGTCCATGAAGACATAGAATTTTCCAGAAGCATCAATATCCATCAAACCACTAATTAGATGCATCTAACTCTGCTGTGGCTAGATGAACAAATACAGAATCTGAATATTGAAGGCAGTCTCCATTACCGCATTGGCTCCAGTCACAGACCGACTGATCTACACCCTACCTTCGATACGATCGTGCGGGATATGTGGTGTCTGAGAAGAAAGCTCAAAGGTCTGGAAGGTATGTTTAGTCTGCGAACTGAGCGATACCGAGCTCGTCTGCGGTATGGTTGCATTTGACAACAATGAGAATGTCATGAGGTGCGCGCAAACTCCGGATAGCCACGATATATAAACCTATTGAGAGACCTTTAGGCTCACGAAGTACAGTTTCATTGGTGTTAGTCAAAGTTATAGTCCCTAGGTCTGACTGAGCTGCCGTAAATAAGCCACGAAGTCCGACCGCAGGTAAGACGAATTTGATATGTTCACGCAATTGCTAGAGAGTCTTATATTCGTTACATACAGCGCAGTTTATGCTGGGCTCTTGGTGCTGGCAATTGTAGTCGTTATCGAGCAGTCCTTCCAGCTCGCCGGCTGTGGCTGAAAACTCGACGGAATTGCGCTTTTTATTCTGTTGGTCTCAGTCCTTTCAAGGGATTGAATAGTAATACATCGAAAAAGTGCTTGATGCAGTAGCTTCCAACCCAATTGCATGAAGATCGTCAAGAGTCGTCTCAGTAGTCTTTGGACGTGACGCAAACTCATTCGCGACTTGCCCAGCTGTTTAATGCTTGCCTGTTTAGTTTTGAGTGACATTTACGGCTGATAAGTCGACATGCATCTTGCCATACTTGAGAGGCTTAAGATCTAATATGTGTTCAAGGAAACAGTGGGTTATGGTCCAGGTTCTACTGTTTCAATCTAACATGAACATACAGTAATGCAACTCCTGGATGGCACAACTGCTTCGTCTATGCGATCGGTAGCGCATACATCTTGTATTGAATTTTTTCTTGAAGCACTCTACAAGATATCGGCTAGATAATTCGATCTAAATGAGACTTAGGCTGGAACACGCATCTTACTAAGGTAGCTTGGAAGAATGCTATCATGTGAGAAACTTTAGGGCTTCTTGAAACATATTGACGCGAAAAATGACAACATGTGAAATCTACGCCTTTGCATGTAGCGTCATCTCAATTCTATGTGGACTCTCCTGCAGACGACAGTAGAAGCTCTTAACACTATCCCCGTGCATATGGCTACAGCGTTCTGCTTCAATCAGCCAGTGTAATCCTGCGCCCAATAACAACTTCTTTTCTGATACGGAAATATTTTTATCAATCCGTCAGCCACTTGCATGTAGTAGACTCAACCGTGGGTGTTGAAGAGGTGAGGACGACAGCAAGAGGCAGATGTCGCCTGCACCAGCAGTTCACGTCACTGACATGTTCTAGCGACCAGTAGGTCCTTGAGAAACAACTGCACTGTAAAAAAGTCTTGCTTAAAATGCTGTTGCATTTATGAACAAGGTGGGTATCGTTGGCGAGCTTGACGCTCGCTGTGCTTGTGGCGACGGCAAAGTAGTCGACTGGTTTCCTGATATTCGAAAGAAGGCAAATTCATGTGAGGCAATATCTGGATTGGTTTGAGATAGCTTATTTAACGTCTGGGGCTGGGTAAGTTGCCTGATGGCGCACCGAAGCTTAGATCATCGGTTTTACTCGATCTATTCAGTGTACAAGAACCAGCGCGCCACCACGTCCATATTTGAAGTAATTGCCGGGAAGATTTGGCTCGCCTTGTTGATGTTCGTTTTGGAGGCTGGGCATAGTCAGCGTGTGTACATCATACAAACATACAGTGATAATAGAAGAAGAAGAAGAAGAAGAAGAAGAAGAAGAAGAAGAAGAAGAAGAAGAAGAAGAAGAAGAAGAAGAAGAAGAAGAAGAAGAAGAAGAAGAAGAAGAAGAAGAAGAAGAAGAGGCGCTGGTGCCTGCTTCACAATATGTTCACTAGGAGATCTGACTGACGCTCGTTGGAGACTACACCCCACTAGAGCTTATTTTGAGAGACGTGAAGAGTTCCTAAGATATCGCTCAGCCTCGTCACGCCGCTCTCGATGGAAGGACGATGGGATCCATCTAGTCCATCTGGCCGAGGCAAAGCGTCGGCAGAAGTGATGATATGTTCATTACAATAACACTATATACGGGCCGAGTATGGCTCTTTTGCCGCCAAATAATGTAGGCCAACTTAATATGCCCTTGTCAATGCGGACCATAGTTCAACAACATCCGCCCCAGCCCTGCTGCTTTCCCTTTCTACTCGCATCGTTCAAGTTAACTCCCGCTCTATTCGCTCCACCTCCCGGGCCTTTGACTCCACTCCTCCGGTCATTCAAATCGTACTTTCCGGCTTCTATATTCTGGTATATCCTCTCTGCGACTTCCAAGAAGGCTCTTTCCACACCCTCTCCACTCTTGGCGCTAGTCTCAACATACTGCATGACCCCGTTTGCTTTACACCATTCCTCGGCCTCTTCTTTTGTGACTTGCCGCTTGTTGGCAGCGTCGGAGTCGGTTACGGTGGACGAACCTGCAAGATCGGACTTGTTGCCCACGAGTACTACTACAATGCCTTCCTCGGCGATTTGTCGCAAGTCATGCAGCCATGACGTGGCGGAGAGGAAAGTGTTTTTGCGCGATATGTCGAATACGAGCAGCGCACCCGATGCGCCCCGGAAGTAACTCCTCGTGATGCTCTTGTATGTCTCCTGTCCTGCGGTGTCCCAGAGCGAAAGCTTCATGTGTTTTTGCTCCTGCTTCTGTTTCGACGGCGATACGGGCGCTTGCGGCTGTGAGGATTTGGAGGGGTTGTTGATGCTCAAGGAATGAGAGGCTGGTGGGCCAACGGGAACGATGCGCGATCCGAACTCTACGCCGATAGTTACGTCGTGGTGTGGGGAGAAGCGGCCTTCGCAAAGGCGGACTGTGAGCTGTGAGCCGTCAGTATGGGAGGGCTGGATGGCAGAAATGGTGTCGCATACGCTTGATTTGCCACATCCCGAGTCGCCCAAGGACACAATCTTGGCTATGTAGTCCCACGGCTGAGCCATGATGGTGCGCGAGGCCGTGCGACGGGAATAGAAGTTGATGTGGGGAGCAAGCTTATGTGACGATCACAGCAGAGGCAGTAGATGTATTCGAAGACGGCAGATTCTATTCCAAAGGTATGCAAGATAAGAGCAGTTGGCAAGTATCGGTCCTGTGTGGGTATGATGGACGGCAAGTTGTTGGATGATAGTGAGATAGGTGTAGTCAGGTCAGGGTTCAACAATGCGGTCATAGCTCGGCAGCTGCGTGAGCCGCAGCAAAGCATGTCAAGCACGTCTCATGGCAAAGTCAAAAGCACGCACAAATTGACCTTGCGCAAGGTTTGGCTGTGTGTCATGTTGCTTTTCTCTGTAGCCTGTATCGATCGTCTCTCTCGCACACCGGATCTGGCCAATATCGGGGTTGGCGTGACTCGGGCAGACACGGTCAGGACAGAAATTGCTCTCACGAAAAGGCGAGCAGACGCAGATATTTTACCGAATGCTTTGCATATGGGGGGTGGAGCAGTGATTGAGGCTAGGAGAATAGCGCGTGCCTTGCAGGTTCACGAGGTACGGCAGGCCGACTATCGATAACCCGACGCGCTGGCTTGGCACGATGATGAGCAACCCATCCACGGCAGCTCGCCAACCACCGAACCCTCGACTCCTAGGCGGGCTCTAGCTCATCGCTGCCCTATTGCTACCACGCTGCCTACGCCATCTCGCCCATCTCCAGCTCGACTCGGCGCAACCTGCTGGCATTCCGCTGCATGTCTCCTAGGCTGCGTCATCCGCGGCTGCCTCTTGTACTCTGGTACCCTTGCACTCGACCGCCTCACGACGGCTGACCACCGACGTCGCACCTGAGCCCACCCTCGCTCCGGGCCATCTCTTGCGATAAGATATACCTAGACGCCATCTCCAAGTCCAGCAGGCATAAGGCCCTACATCGCCTACTCTATCCATCATGTTCTCCGAGTGTAAGTGACCTGGTGCCTTATCGGGGCACATGTGATTGACCCGCCGCCTCTGTCTTGGAGAGCTTGCCGACTCGCGTGACTGACGTGCGTGCTCCCCAGATGCATCCAAGTTCCTCTCCCAGTCTCAGTCGCGGCTGTCACTGGGCCAGCCCGAGTCGACTTCAAGCCGCAACGCCCCCGACAGGCAACGTCCGTCCTCGCGAGCCGCCCAAGCTTACCTCCAGCGTCGCAACATGCCCAACCCATACAACTCGCAGGCCATGAGCCGCTTCGCCTTCGCTTCACGCACATCCAACGCGCCCGCCCCGCTCTTCTACTCTGCAACCGATGACTTCCGCGAGGAGGACGACCATGTTGAGCACGACCGCGAGATGGCCGACCACTACGCGCTACAACGATCACGGCGGCAATTTGGCGCAAGCAACCTTTCTGAATCGTCCGAAGTCGAAGATGACCCCCAACGATCGGACCATACTATAGGCGCGGACAGGGACGACAATGAAGCGCCCGGGTACGGTCTCGGAAGAGGGATTAAGAGCTCCTGGAAGGGCGACAAGCCAGCACGCGGAAGATCAACCACCATCAACAACCCCGAAGATGGAGAACGTGAGTCAAGTATACCGCTCTCCGAGACTACGGACCGCAGCAGTAGAGGAAGGGGCAATCTCGTCGATGTGGAGCTCGATTCTACAGATCGAGGCAGCATAGAAGAGCTGGACCGAGACGAGCTCTTGGGTCATCAGGACGAGCCACCACCACCGTTTCAACAGTTTCGCAACATGCCGAGGCCGAAACGCGGTCGCAGTCCACTACGGAATACCCTACCGATACCACAGGAAACCGATGAGGATACCTTGCTACAACATCCACGGCCGATAAGCCCAGATCGCCAGACCGTGCCCGATGTTGTACCAGAGAACCCAACGTCAGCACCACGACATAACTTTTTCTGGGCTGAGCTGTTCATAATCGTGCAGTGTGCCATCCTCGGCACTTGGTTCATCTCTCTGCTACAAGAGTCGCCTCCAAACAAGAAGAATCCGTTGGGCGACACGATATATACCGTCCTACATTCGTCTTTTCACCTCATCGCAGTATACTCGTTGGTCTCGGTCATAGTCGGAGTCCTATGGCTCTCGCTACTTCGGTCCTTCGCTCGGCCTCTGGTGCAACTGATGCTATTGGCAATACCCGTCGTATCGATTTCCTTCTTTTTCTACCCTTTTGTGTCAAGCTTCAAAGGGTCATGGCATGGTGATAGCGTGCAAGATCGGCTGATGCGTTGGCTCTCGTTTGGACCTCTATGCTTCGCGGGATTCTGGGTGTATACCGTTTTCAAGGCGCGACATTCCTTAGACAAAGCCACCGGCATGCTGGAATTCTCGAGTGAAATCCTGAGAGCGCAGTTTCCATTGCTGCTCGTGGGTATTGCGGCATTGGCTGCTGTGATCCTATGGTCTTGGATCTGGATTCTCATGTTCACACGTCTGTTCCTGGGCGGCCACTTTGCTAGCAACAAATCCCGGTGGATCATCGACACCAGCACGTGGTGGCTGGGAATTGCGTTCTTTCTGGATTATTTCTGGACGTTGGCAGTCATTTCGGGTGTACAACGTGCTACAACAGCAGCTACAGTATCTCAGTGGTACTTCCATCGCAACAGCGTCCCCGTACCTGCTGCGAGAACGGTAGTACAAGCCTCTCTCAGCCATGCGACATACACCATGGCTGGGACGATCTGCATGTCCACGCTTATTTCACTCATGGTTCGCCTACCACTTATCGTTCTCCCCAGGCGACTCGCGGGCATGATCGGCATGTGCGCATATTCTATCGTACCAACACCCATCGCGGCGCTGACGAATCCACTCACTCTGACCTTCGCATCCATTCACGGTCTACCTCTCAATCAAGCCGCGCGAGGCTTATCGCAGTTGAACTTCATTTCCGCCGCGTCGCCAACTACGACTCTCGGCCCAAGCTCGTTCAAAGATCATGGGCGACCGTCTATACAGTCATACCGTCTTGCAAAGCTCCTTCTGCACGCTATTCGCTGGGTGATAACATTGTCTCTCGGGTTTGGAGGCTGGGTTTCTACTGCACGCATGCTCCAGATTAGCAACGACACGGTACCATACAAGGGCAGTCTATACGCATATGTCGTCGGCATCATCAGCGCAGCGATTGGTTGGGGCGCTCTAGGTGCCATGGAAGGAGTCCTTGGGAATATCTTAGATGCAGTACTCGTTTGCTGGGGAAGTGAAGTAGGAAGAGACGGACAAGGAGAGGCTCGGTATTGTGTTGACGCCGGTCGGCTGTTCGGCAATGAAGTCACTGGGCAAGGGCGAGGAAGATATGAAGTTTAGATTTTTTTTTTTTCTTTTGCATTTTTGGCGTTCACCAGAGGGACCTGGGTACAGACGCAGAAATGGCGCTTGGGTATACCTATCATCTATCTATCTCAAATCGCTTTTGCTATCAGCAACAGCACGCATACAGCTTTATCCAACAGAGATTATTGTACCACTGGACTGAAAACGATTGAGTTAACAGTTGATAAGATAGTGAAATTGCATCGTGAGGGAGAGGTCTGGCACATGTATCTAGGCAGAAGCTGCGTCATGGTCGGTTAGTGGCTAGCGCGAGTCGACGCGTAGTGGAGCGGGACCCGATCAACACGGCTACTGCAGCCCAAACATCGATTCGGCGCAGCGACAAGCAAGACAAAAGTGCCCCAGGCTCCATGGAGTGCCTTGCCCGCCAACATGTCCTCCCGCACCGTGCCGACCATGAAGTCCTTGTCCAGCGCTGATCGCCGCTCTGTCAATGCCAATTACACGTCGAGTGCGCGACCCCGCGTCGCTTCTGGAGAGGACCTCGACCGACGCAGCTCTACCACAGCGTCACATGCCAGGAAACAGTCGGCTCCCATGCGCCCCGCAGGCGCAACCTCAGGCGAGCGTCGCGTCGAGAAGAAGGAGGTGCGCGAGCGGGAGACGGAGGTCAGGCGGACCAAGAGCCCGCTGAAGCATGCCAGCGAGAGTCGAGTCCATGCTCGAAGCCGCTCGGAGAAACAAGCGCGAGATGTCGAGAGGCCGTCACGCAGCGCGGCCTCGCAAAAGTCGATACCAGAAGAGCCCCAGCCGCCATGGGAGCCCCAGGCTTCCTTGATACCACACACGACCGCCCCGCTGGCCACGCGCATCTCGATACCGCCGCTCGCATCCACCGCTCCTGTATCGCTGCAACCCACGCCGCTCGCAAAACTGTCGCTCGAGGCACAAGAGAAGGCTATATTGGAAGACTTGCTGTTTGTTTTCATGGGCTTCGAAGGGCAGTACATTCGCTTCGGCGATGGCTACAACCCCCATGAAGAGAAGGAGCGTTTGGTTGGGCCACAGTTTCGCCTGATGCCTGGCTTGGATCCTAGCCTGAGGGACCTGACCAAGTCGATGCTGAAGACGGCCACACACTACATCGCTGTCGAGACTTGTGTGGAGGTGTTGAGCCGGGAAGAGTACGGTGCAGTCAACCACGCCCTGTGCGCTGCCGTGCGGCGCTTGCTCAAGGACTACCTCACACTCATCGCCCAGCTTGAGAACCAGCTACTGACCAACGACTCTTTCACACTCCATGTCTTGAGCTTGCATACCAAACAGACGAGCCACATGCTCTTCCAGCTCTACACCACCGGAATCGAACTGCTCAAAGCAAACGGCATTCTCGAAGACGAAAAGGACGAGGACTCAGCGGATGATGACAGCAATGACTTTGAAAACATCCTCGAGTCGTTGCGCGAGGGAGGCAACGCAACCAAGAAGCTTTGCAAAGGCGGGAGCGTCCTGGGCCTCATCACTAAGCGACTATCTTCAATGTCAGGAGATCCTGCAGCTCGGGCACTGTTGACCACGCTGTTGCGAGAAGCCAGTAGACCGTACATGGCTATGCTGAACGAATGGCTGCACCATGGTGGCATCAAAGACCCTCATTCTGAGTTTTTGATCAAAGAACAGAGAAGCATCAAGCGAGAAAGGCTGGATCAGGATTACACGGACGAATATTGGGAGAAGAGATACACAATACGCGATGCCCTAGTGCCTCCCCAGCTTGAAGCCGTCAAAGACAAGGTGCTCCTAGCAGGAAAGTACCTCAACGTGGTTCGAGAGTGTGGAGGCGTCGACGTTAGTAAAGTCGTGCAGGACGCGCCAACTAGCTTCGACGATCCACGCTTTCTAGACAACGTCAACTCCTCCTATGCCTACGCAAACTCCTCGCTCCTCAATTTGCTTCTCACTACACACCAACTGCCGGCACGATTACGTTCACTTAAGCACTACTTCTTCCTCGACCGCTCCGACTTCTTTACTTACTTCCTCGAAATGAGCGAGCTTGAGCTCAAGAAACCAGCAAAACATGTCAACGTTGGAAAGCTGCAGTCACTGCTTGATCTCGCAACTCGACATGCTGGATCAGTTGCTGTGGAGGACCCGTACAAGGAGGACATCAAAGTTCAGATTAACGATACTGGCCTTACAAATTGGCTAATGAAGATTGTCAATGTCCAAGGTCTCGACCAGGATGCTGCTACCGCTACCCTGTCCAACTACACACCTGCAAACTCGGCGCCCATCACCGACGACTCCAACATTACCGGTTATCAAGCACTGGTATTTGACTACGCTATGCCATTCCCTCTATCACTCGTCGTTAGCCGGGTCACCCTCACTCGTTACCAACTACTCTTCCGATATCTACTCAGCTTGAAGCACCTCGAGACTGATCTCGCCAAGTGCTGGGGTGAACAAGGCAAGAACGCAGCCTGGAAACATCGATCAAAGAACCCACGGATAGAACAGTGGAAACGCCGAGCTTGGACACTGCGTGCGCGCATGTTAGTCTTTGTCCAACAGCTTACCTACTACTGCACGTCAGAAGTTATTGAACCAAATTGGGCATCATTAATGTCGCGGATAAGTGAGGAGAAGAAACAGGATGCGCGTGGTAAGGGGAAGACAACAGAGGATGAGAGCGGTGGTCCGCAAGTCAAGCGAACTGTAGATGAGCTGATGCAGGACCATGTGGATTTCCTTGCGACTTGCTTAAAGGAATGCATGCTTACTAACAGTAAACTGCTTCGGGTGAGTTGAGAAGCACTTCTTTGTAGCGAATTTGGTTACTGACAGCCTTCAGATCAACAACAAGATCATGTCAACATGCAGCATGTTCGCATCCTTCACCTACTCCCTCTCTCGCTACCTCGTCACCGGCGACCCCGACCTTGTCGCTCAAGTAAATGCGTCCTTCGCTCCTCCCCCTTCCAAGAACTCCAAGCTGCCTGCCGCTGCACTAGTCGCTTCAACACATCGGCCTTCGACTCAATTTGTGTACGACCCTCAGCGCGTCGACAAGATGTTCGACATGCTTGCTAAATACGAGGAGAACTTTACCCGGCATCTTAAGATTTTGCTGGATACGCTGAACTACCTCGCTGCCACTGAGACAGTAGTTTTCTTGAGCCTTTGCGCTAGGTTGACGAGTGCTGGAGAGGGTCTTAGTGGATTCCAAGTGCCAATGGGTATGGAGGGGATTGCTTAATGAGCTTTGGTCTCATGAGAGTCAGGCGTTGTGAGTCCTACTGCATTATTCCGGGGTATTGTCATGGGTTATGGATTTAGTCTGCAAGGCGCCAAGCGAGCGATACCATAGTTGTTTGAAATGAGACGCAACGAATTACGGCCGCGAGTTTCTCTACTATTGGGAGTGCGGCATCACATGTAACGGGTGTCGTATAAGTGCATTGATCGGTTAACATCGTTCGATTAGACGATCTATACGTACTATGCAAGTGTACTTCTAATATAACTTGAATGGGCAACCTTTATCGGCGCTTGAACTTTTCGTCTTTTCCTTGACAACCTTCCATGTGAGATCCATCAGCTGCTCGCCCAATTTCTCATTATTCGCCAGGTCACTACCCGGCTCCCGTATCGCGGGCGGACAAATGTACTCGCCTGTACCCTCTGTCTTGGTCGCCGCAAACATGGTGCTCACTGCGCCTTCAAACTGTGTCTTCTTGAATGGTGCGAGGCCGTAGCTCATTCCATAGCCACCGAGCGGGTAGGCTTCGTGGATGTGGTCGACTGACTGCCGTGTCTCGACGAAACCGGGGTGTGTGACATTGGACAGGATGTTGGGGTGGGAGGATGATAGGTGACGGGCTAGATAGCGCGCGTACAGGATGGTAGCGAGCTTTGTGCGGCCGTATTGTGCCATTGGGCCAAGGTCTGTGTTGAGCTCATCGATGGACTCGAATTTGGTGTCTTTCGGTGCGTTCTCGTGTGCGTTGGACCCTAGCTGTACTATCCGAACCTTGTCGCCCTTCTCGGCAGTGGATTTGAGCAAGGGTAGCAAGTGAGAAGTCAGGACGACGTGGCCGAAGTGGTTAGAAGCCATGTGTAGATCGATACCGTTCTTGGCCAGTTGGTATGTCATGATACCGCGAGCAGCGTTGTTGATCAAGATGTCGATCCTGTCTGTCTTCTGAGCAATCTCCAACACAGTTTTGCCCGTCTGTTCCCAGTCGGCGAGATCGCACTTTAGCCATTCGACTCTGCTGGCTTTGTCCTCTCCCATCTCTTCCTTGATCGCCTTCAGCGCATCCTCAATGATGTCTTCGCTCCACGATATGATGAATAGCTTCTTGATATTGTTCGACAGAAGCGTGTGCGTGCATCCATAGCCGATACCTTCAGAACCACCAGTTACAACGGCCACCTTGCCAGTGAGATCTGGCACTTCCTCAAGGGAGAACTGCTGGTCTGCGGGTGCGAGGTCATGGGCGCCTGAGACGACTTTACCGAAATTCTCGGCAATGGTGTTTTTTACTGCCTGCATAGTTGAGGAAGTTTCGACTGGGCCCTTAAAGCGGTCGGTATTGTTTGGCGGGGTCGACGAATAAGGTCGAGAGGTAGTAGGAATAATCCGAGTAATGAATGCACGTGGTAGGGTTGCTGTGATTATGGAAGATGATTTGCAGCAACGCAGGGAAACAGCATTCCTAAATAACTTTGTAGACTGCATGGTTACAACATAGGTCATAGGACAGCAGCAACAACCCCCTTAGGTCAAGAGATCTAAGACCATGGCGTGCAGTGACGTGCCGCTTCCCGGGAGGCACGGTAACCAATACCATTTTGTCCTGATGTCAGCACTTAATTGTTTTGGCGCGTTCCTGAACGTTGTGGAGTTCGGCTCGGGAGCGGATCGATGATGATCTGGTAATGACGCATTGATGGAGTAAATAGAGTTGTGACGTATTGGGGCTAGTTGGACGGCCGGTATCGATACAGTACTCGGGACGCGATTTTAGCCCGACGCGATCCTGACATCTGAGCATAGTAGAGCGTTGTTTTCGCTCTCCACCACGAAATTATGGTAGAGTCATCGGTCGAGCGCAGGGATAACAGGCAAGTACGTTTTCATTTGCACGTAGTGAGTGTGTCTGTGTAAATACCACAGTTGCACCTTCTCAACGAAGCCAGTCGCCCCGTGATTGGGAGCAGTTCAAAAAGCTGAAGGGGTCAATATGTTACACCAGATGATCAGAGCTTCAACACAATCTCTCCATCAATTTTGATGACCTACATCTACCTGAATCACACACAGAGCGGGCCCGGCAAAGATAATAACATGCGACAGATTGTCAATTCGCCCCATATTCATTCCGACCGGGCTGCCATGATAGCATCCGAAAGCGATTCGCCAACAGCCTCGCACCAGCAAAGCGCCCCAGATGTCCCTACATCAGAAGAACCGTCAGCTAAATTCACGCCCCTCGCATCCGAAGAGGCAGCTGCTCGCAAAGCCCGTATGAATGCCGATCTCATCGACGCCTTCAAAACCCCTTGTCCGCCTGGTACAACTCCATACGTAACAGGCATCGGTCTATACACCCACGTCGAGGGTCCGCCCCGGGCTCCTCTATATCATGGCGAGAAGCCGCAACCGCAGCAAGAGTTCCTTCCTGTGCGGATACCAAAGCATAGCCGAAGCCGCATCTCACAGCTGGACGAAGTAGTTGGAAAACTATGGGAGCAACTTGAAAAGGCTGTTGAAGAAGAGGAAGAGATTGTCGGTAAGACTGAGCTTGGGCTTAAGGAGCTCAAGAAACGATACGGAGGGCTCGATCCTCCAAAGAACTCGCGGCCACCAGTACAGTACATTCAGCAGCGGCATGACGGGTTACAGGAAGACGTAGCGGCTCAAGGCGGTACAACGGCAGGTGCGGGAAATATGAATCCACCGCCATATGGGCGCATCCAATCGATAGCAGGAGAAGTGGCCAGCCTTGCAGTGAGAAATGAGGATGTGAGCACGGGAGGTGCTGAGGTAGAGCGAGGCAGGCCCCAGACCATCCACTCCACTACAACCTTTTACGGTCCAGATCCGCGCAGACAAAACCGTTAGTGACGAAGAAGGACACATACAGTCCCATGACAAAGTGCGACATAACAAGCTCGACACATCGCATCTCGGTTTAACATTTCCCCTGTGCGTCTTCCGCATCTGGTGTGGGACTGAGCACATGACACGCGTATTGGAGTTCCAAAGTGCAAGTATGACCTATTATTGCAGTTGTTTATCTATACATCGGACACGCGAGCTTTTCCATCCAGAAGTACCAATAAAGATGAGCACAAGAGGTACCAATTTCGCATATACTCACTCGGATATTTACGAAGGACTGATACAATAAGATTCGTTACCGCAACTCTTTTCAGCGTAATGCCAGCGTAGCATTCCAGAGAAGAAAGATAGAAGGAGTAGTCCGGCTGAGAGCATTCATGTAGGTGAGCACGTCATGATGCACGACTCAAACAGTCTCTCCAGCGATGGCAATCTCAGAATCTGAATGTGAAGTATGTGATAATGTTCCATAGCTTATAACAAGCCAAGATTGCTTCCCAGCTTGAAACCGAGATCGTAGAAATGAACAATCACGCATCTCGTACTTCACGATAATAACGCAGAGCAAAACGAGTAACGTGACGGCTAGTGCTAAAATAACAGCGAAGAAATGCTCAATGGATATTGGTTCCAGATCGCGAAGATGAGGCTCCATATAGTGCTCACTTGTATAGAGATTCTGATGATAAATGGATCGAAAGGGAAATGTGAAACGATCAACAGACCGAATGGGACACTGATCTGTGCTTGTGACATTGTGGTGACGCTGTGTCAGCGAGCAGTAATATAGATATGTGGACACAGTGCGTTTACTCGTTTCAGCGTCACATTGCCCATCTCTGCTTCTAGTTCCGATGCTATCACAGCCGCCATAACCCGATCTTCCAAGCTTGTCACCCTATTGAGTCGGTGCAGCAGCTGAGAAGATGCAGATTGTGTTGCTGTCTCAGATCGTCACTGCTAAGAGCTGAAGTCATGTGAGATCTCCGTCTCTACTAGAGTAACCTATGCTATCTGGTGAAAGCAAGCTCAAAGATAGTAGTAAATTGTTAGAAGCCTTATTGATTCAGCGAAATTACCTTATATCGGTTTGATCGCTCCAACTCGGAGTATATACTGACCTCAACTCATTTTCACAATGCTGTTTCTTCGGAGCTGCGAGCAGCTTTACCGACTGATGATAGCAATGTTAGAAATGACAAGCTGGTTATTACAGAACATCGGTGCACTTATTCTCGCATCTATAGTATGGCTCGAGCTAAAAACCGGGCTTGTTCTTGGATCTTTCGGATTATTCGATAGACATCCGCATATTGTCTGCGCCAGTCTCTTCATTCTGGGCCTTCTTCTCTCATGTTGGCTTGTACGCAGGTTCCAGTGGCGGCAACGCGTACCGCAGCACATCGACCTCTTCAGCTCGTCACCATACAAACATCGGCGCACACGAACTCCCGAGTTCCCACCAGGAATGCAGTTCAACCTAGTTCAGGAAAGATGGAGGAAAAGGGGTATGGAAGAGCCATTTCTAAAGCGCCGGGCATTTGGGGCAAGTAGGCCGATAGAAGTACCACCAGTGCGGAGACCGCTTCTCAGCATTCCGACAGTTGCTTCAGGGCTGCCGCAGTCAGATATGAGTCCGATAAATACATCATTTAGGAAGGTTGGATGGAGCTAGAATACTGGGTTTGGTTTGCCTCAAACAACTCTTTCTCGGGGTATTCCAATGAGTTTTCATAGACATAGCTCGATACGAGCGACCTCTTTTCTAGATGATTGGAAAAAACAATCCCAAAATCCGGGAAGAAAGCAAGCACTATTAGCGCTACCTCTTGCAACATCATCAACGTAGCCTTTTCTGCCCCTGTGCACCTTGGCGACGAATAAGTAGCAAGTGCCAAGTCCCAGAGAGTTCTTTGTGTGTGTGCATGGTTGTCTACGACGACAATACGTTTTGCTTCGTTCAACAAAAGAGAAGACGTCAGAACAGGTATTCGTACCTGCCTAAAACGGTTAAGTGCATGTAAACCCTAAGGGCGCATTTCCGATCCATACTTCAGCTTCTGATCATCTCGAAGGTTCTTTTCCTACTTCGACTTTGGTCATTGCAAGTGACTCAATCTCGTTGCATTTCTATTATATGAGCATATCATCTGCTGCATGTGCCGCAAAGTGTTGAGATATCCAGCGTTCGCAATTGTTTTCCGCGGCACAACATCATATCGAGCACCAACAACTCGGCACACCTACAAACAATTCACCATCATTAGCACCTCGCATATCTCGAGACCTCTCAGCATAATGGCAGACCCTCTTTCCCGAAGGACAGACCCGCTCTATCAAAAAGATGGCCAAAGATACAACCATACCTCACCCATAACCTCAATCCATCCACTATCATCTCTGTCTCCAGAAACCCAATCGCTCTTTAAGCCACCACCAGAAACAGAACCCTACGTCCTAACGACGCCTTCAACCATATTTCACGCTCAGGGCGGCGGCCAACCCTCGGATACTGGAACCATTTCCGCAGGATCCACAACATTCCACGTGCATCAAGTGCGAAAGGTAGATCCTACGATATTGCATATGGGTGTCTTCTCTTCTCCTTCAGAAAAGCAGTTTGAGGGAAAAGTCGACGCTGAACAAAACATTGATGTTGAAAAACGTCGTCTGCATTCCCGTATCCACACGGCAGGCCACGTAATCGGTCTCGCAGCTGCCCACCTCAGGGCTGCCGGTTCAATAGCTCCGGACGTGGTTGATGGAAAAGCATCCCATTACCCTGGTGCAGCCTTTGTAGAGTTCTTGGGTCTCATTCCAAGCGACAAAAAGGCTGAGATACAGGCTCGAGTCGACGAGATGGTGGCTGCAGACATGGACGTCAAGATTCACTTTTGGGACGAAGAAAAGGCGAAGAAAGAGTGTACAGGGGTCATGGAGACTCTGAAAGGGGATGAAGAGGATGGGGTCAGGGTCGTGGAGATAGGAAGCGAAGGAAGTTATCCTTGTGGGGGTACGCACGTGCAGAAGCTGAAAGAGTGTGGGAAAATCGTGGTGAGGAATATCAAGAGACAGAAGGGTGTCACCAAGGTGAGCTATGAGGTGCAAGAAGCTTGATTAGATGCAGTGATTTGATCATGCACACTATGTGTGTGCTCCACGAAAATGAATTCAGCTTTGTTCCTTATTGAAAACTCCACCACTTTTTCTACCTGGTATCATATCCTAAATCCTAGAAAGCCGGCTCGGCTGCTTTTCCACGCCCAACCCCACATGCAGACAGATGCATTTGTCTTCTCCGATGCCCCTAAACAACTCCTCGAAGCACATACAGCTCTAGGCCAAGTAACCAGCAAGAACCTGTTTGGAAGTGTCGTCCAAACGCTCTTGCATGATCGTAGCGACGCGGCCATTGTGACGGCTGTTGGCATCCTTCAAATAATTTCCCACCCACTCCTTCACGTTAGTGATCTCCGGAAAGGGGTCTCGCGGCGCCTTTTTGCAGGTGTTTAGCTGGGTGAAACCAACGCCGAAACCGAGCTCGTCGACATCGGCATCGGGAATGATGTCGTCTGCAGACGTGGGTACAGGCGGGTTGACGAGAAGCTCAACCAGGCGCTGTGTCGTAAGGGCCCAACCCTTGGGGTAACGGTCGACAAAAGCTTGCGAATCGCCCAGTGTCTTTGTAAAAGACACAACAGCGGTCTTGCGATCGGTCGGGCGAGCGAGCTTCTGGGTGTCTGGAAGAATGACAGTCAAGTAGATAGGCTTGAAAATACTGTTATAACATTAGCAAGCGTTTCAATAGCTTCCGAAACATGAAAATGACTTACTCTTTCTGGATCTGATCGGAAACTTCGATGAAGAAGTCTGTGCCAAATCCCTTGTCCAGTCGTGCCGAGACGAAGTGATAGAATGCGATGAAACGCTGCTGGAAGTTCTCAGTCTTCATGTTTGACAGCCTTGTTAGCATCAGCTGGAGAATTGTAGAGAAGTAGGGTTGCAGCGCGTTCGCTGGAATGTGTGCGACAACGGCTTCAATAAGCTCAAAGGAGTACGTCTCGTGCGCCTTGCTGGTAACAAGCTTCTGGAAAATACCCAGGATGGGCTCCAGTTGCTTGGTTGCAACGATGTTTTCTGCGTCGCGAGCGACCATTGCACTCAGTAGACGAGCTAGCGCTGGTACGTTACCACGTTGCTCCCAGACAGCACCCTGAATGATGACAACGAACAGGCCCCTGTAGTATTCGCTCAGCCCACTTGAAGGGTTTGCTTCTAGCAGCGCAGAGAAGAGCTGGAAGATGTAAGGAGAAAACTCCTCGACATTGGCTTGCAGGCAAGCAGCGAACGGCTCGTAGAGCTTTTCTTCGAAGAACTGAGGATGTTTCGGCGCGCAAAATCGAACGAGTGCTCCTATGCCCTCGAACATGTAGTATTGGAAGCGAGGATTGCTGGGGTTGTGCCTTATGACCTTGACGATGTTGATAAAACTCTGTAGGATGGTCTCGCAAATCGGTAGAACGCCGTCACGGATGAAGATGAGTACTCGCATGACGCACTTCATCAAGAACTCGTTCTCTTGGATCTTCTCCGGCGCGGAGCTCTTTGTGATGAGCTTGAACAGGTGTGTCAATAGGTCTTTCGATGAACCAACAACGTCTGCCTTGGGAATGATGGGCTGTCGATTGCTGTCTGTCATGTACAGAGCACGCTCCACAGCAATAGCAGCGTATGTGTGAATGACGTAATTGTCGTTGCCCAACTGATTCACAAGCAGAGGGAATGCAGCCCGCCAGAGGTCTGGCGACAACTGGCTGCGGAAGACATAGAGAAACTTGATAGCGTCAACCTTCAATATGGGTGATACGTTTTGTGCCTGGAGGTCAGCTGCAATGTGTGTCTGGAAGAACTCGAGAATATTGACATTCTCGTTGACGCTCATAACACCTTGGCCAGCGGTAGCAGTTCCCTTGGCGGCAATGGCGGTGAAAAGGTAGACTGCGGTATCTTTTGACTTCCAGTTGTTCTCGCTGTCCTGAGCGTAGTTTTGGAGGTAGGCATCGATATACGTTTGGGAGGTAGTTGTGACCAAGGTCTCGAAGCGAGTCATGAGTTGACGCAAGAAGTTGGTGGCAGCACGACGGCGAGTGTCGTTGTCGGATCCTTCCAAGTCCCTCCTGATGAACTCAATTGGCTCGTCTTCGAAAAGCTCGACGTCGGACTCGCGCAGAGTGAGATTGGGCAAGATGACCTTCTCGATAATCTGAACCAAGACGGACTGATTGTTGAAGGCCTCAGCGTGTTGCGTAGACGCGACTGCAGTGAGGAACTGTAACGCCTTGCTGACGAGGATATCGTACTTTGTCTCGAGGCCAACCGACATGAGGAAACTCCATGTGCTCTCGATGAATTGTCCAAGCTGCGAGCCAAATACGTCCTCGTACTTTTGGATATAAAGCATGAGCGCCTCGAAGATACCCGCGCGTACGTATTCCTGCGGCCCTGACTCGGTGTCATCGTCGGTGTGTAATGCGGGGTTATCGAAGACGAGGTACTTGTGGAGGAGTCCTGAGATGATGGCGATGTGGTCTTCGAAGACGGGAGGCAAGTCCTGGCAAGAAAGATCGTAGAACAGCTTGATAAGCAAGTCTAAGGTTGTGAAGGCGTTCTTGAGCACCTGTGGGTTGCCTTGGGAGTTTGTGATGAGGGTGTCGGTGTTCTCGAGCAGTTGGAGGAAGGGAGTGCCGAACTTGGACAGGACGTGGTTGATCTCGGTGAAGAGGTCGTCGGATCGGAACAGCGGACGCCAGCGCTTGAAGATGGAGTGCGCGACTTGTAATACACCGTTGTTGACCACTGTGTTGTCGGGAGTGAGTCGTGAAATCAGGTCGTCGACCAGGGTATCCCATCGCTGCCAGAAGTCGCTGTCGGCAATGGCGCTAATGGCTTCACCCAATTGCGCTTGTAGGTTTGCGGGTACGGATACCATGAGGCCTATGAGTTCCCGCTTGATTGCCACAACCTCGCTCTCGGGCAGTTTGTAGTTGCCATCCTCGTCGACCCAATTCCGCTTTATGAAGTTTTTGAAGTATAGCGCGGCGGAGAGACGTGTGGTTTGGGGATTTGCGTCGGAGGCGACGATCTGGAGGAGGGTGAGGGAGAAGCCGGGCTTGGTCTGCTCTTGGGTGATTGCTTCTTCGGCTTTGAAAAGTTAGCACGTGGTGCTGAATAGTGTTGAGAGGCGGAGGGGCAAGTTGGCAAAATGCGCATGTGTCGGCATGTGCAAGACGAACTGCTTTGGCGTCGGATATGCATGGAAATGTATGCATATCGTCTTGCACGGCAAGTGCAGGCTACACGACGTGCAGCACTGCGGTAAACAATGGTACTCACCCTGCTTGTTCTGCCGAGGGTCCAAACTGGCCTGGAGCAGCTGGGAGAGGGTGGCGATGTCGGCGGCCATGGTGATGGGGTGGAAGCAGCAGAGGATCTGGACGGGTGGCTTGGAGTGAGAAAGAGAGCAAATGTTTGGCAGATGGTTGCTGTTTGGGGTGTCCCACTTGAGGGCGCTAAGGCCTAGGAAGAGCTCTGGCGTGGACAGGGATTAGGTACATAACCCCAGATGATTTTCCGAGAGAGCATCCATGACACGACAAGATGCTGTCCTGCTCTCTCCCCACCGAGCACGCCACTACTTCGTCTTCCCCCCAGGCGTAACCCGTCGCCGCCTCGTCCCGTGCAGCCGCGTTCCCTCCCCAGTCCTAAATGGGCACCACAGACAGCCCCGCCTCTCTGCCGACCAGCACCCATGATAGACTCGATGCGCCTGCGCCACTCTCACAGCTCTCTTCTCTAGCCTTTGCAGCGGCAGTCCTGGAGCCTACCTACTAGACATCCACCCGGCGACGCTGATCCGCGACACCCAGACGCATGTCTCCGCCGCCCGACCATGTCCCCCACACGCCCGACCGCCGCTCCTCCACCCAGGCGCTCTTCACAGCCTTCCGCTCTTTGACGGGCGGCCGTCTGAAGAGCCCGACGCCGCCGCCCTCTGTCTCGTCTGCCACCAGCACGCCTGCGCGCACTCCCTCGCTGGGCACCATACGTCCCGGCTCCATCCCTAGCCCGCACTCAGCCGACGGTACCCTTCAGCGCATCAGCCAGGTCACAGGCCAGCAGCGGACGGGCAAGCCTGTTACCGGTGGACCACCAGAACTCGACGACCTGATCGAGCAGCTACATCGGAACCGCCCATTCACCGAGCGCGCCGTGGCCGTGGACAAGATATGTGACATCCTCGAGGCCTATCCCGTGCAGAACATACTGGGGCTGTGGTCTGTCGCAAGCGACTTGCTCCTTCCCGAGCAGCCCGACGACGTCGCAGAGGCGGGGTACAAGCTCCTGAAGAGCTGTGCGTCCCTGTCTGACCTGGCCAGCATCGAGCGCACTCTCTTCTTCGACGCCGCCTGTCTGCGTAAGAACGACCGCTTTTTCGACAGGAGACTTGAAGTCATTACCACCCTTACCAATCATGGGCGCGACATCGATTCGTGCGAGTCGGGCATGGTCTCCTTCATCCTGACCTCCTTGGACAGCTGCTTCCAGGCTAGTTGTGATGCCTTCCGCGGCATGAGGAGCAAAGCAAATGGGAAAAGAAGTGCCGCCAACCCTCCCCAAGAAGCCGCAAACATGTTTCGAGCCTTCCAGTATGCCACCGACATTTGCAAGTTCAACGCCAAGGTCTTTACCGACGACGACTTGGATCTTCTCATACGACGGACCGTCGCCATCTGCAGGGCTACAACTCATCGACCTGATGTCGAGTGCGGCGTCAAGCTTTTCGACACCATCGTCACCTATGTTCATATCCCGAGGCGCTCGCTTCGCATGTGTCTCGAGGTTTTGTGTGAAATCCACAAGAGAATCACCGAACTCCAGGATCAAGCCTGGAATACGTTGAGCAATCTGTTCAAGTCCCATGTCGGTCAAGCTGCTATATCCGAACTGTTGCATATGCTTCTGGACGGCCCAAGTCGAGAGACCTTGGAAAACGACGGGCTCAAGAGAAAGCTAGAGAGCATGTACAGGGGTACGACTCTGGTTTTGCGCCTTCTCCTCCTAGAAGACGGCCGAAATGAGCTGCCTAAAGTGCCCCTGTCCTTGCTCTTCCCAGCTTTGAACGCTTCCATCAAGATACCAGGCACCGACCAAGAGCAGATAGTCGTCAGTCTGATAGATGCGGTTCTAGCTCAACAAGGCATGAGGGACCTGTTACTTGCGGAAAGTGACTTGGGAGACATGCTACAAGTTATACGTGTATGTGCAGAACGTGACGACGAGCGTATCCAAACCAAGACGACTAGGTCGGCAGATCATGGGAGCGACACAAAGAAGGATGTCATTGAAAGACAGATGTCGCCTCATGGAGACAGCTCATCCAATGCTAGCAGAGCAGAGCATAGCAACGACGCTTCTGCACCCCACCCGGAGCTCTTTCGGCGTGACTCAGATGACGGCATATATCAAGTGTTGGTCAAACTAGATCACATGAGCGACGCACTCGACTTCATCCAACGCGAGGCTGTGATGGAGCTCTTCTTGCTAATCTCACACCGTATCAGTGATGCGACTGCGGAGAGGGTCATACAATACTTTGCCACCGGACGCTACCTCAACCCTTCGAACGCCGGGTGGCTTGATCTTTGCCACCGTCTGGTCTCTGGTATCTTCGACGATGCTACAAGACCGCGCTCACTTCGATTGCTCGTAATCCAGTCGCTACGGGAAACGCACGATGCTGTCGAGTTATTGTGTTCGAGCCAAATAGTATTGGAGTCCGAAGAACTTCTTCTCAGCCGGGTCCAAAAAGAAGAGGACATAGAAGTCTTGCAAGAACTGGTGGACTTCGCGATGAACGTCGCTGATCAAGCATCAACGGCCCGGTTCTCACACATTGTTCTCATCTTACAGCGACGTCTGGACCGCCCACAAGCTTCCATGACGTCCTCTCTACCGTCATGGCAGTCTCACCCCTTTTTTCTCAAAGAAGATGGTTGTTCCCCTTGCAACATCATCGCAACTGCTTACGTACGGCTCTTCACCCGAAGCGTGACACATTCGGCGCAAAAGACACGCATTCTTTATGAACTACTACGGCAAATTGCTGGAAGGGACGCTTATGCGCACGATGCACGTCTTACCGCTCTCAAACTACTATTTCGTTTGCGCGCTGATGCCCGCCACGCTCTGATAGTCAGCTCTGACCCTGAAGGCCAGAGGATTGCCGCTGAACTTTGCCGCACCGAGGAAACAGCAGTTGCACCGGAGAAGATGGATGAAGGCTCAGCGGGTGACCATAGTAGATCAGAAGATACTCTCTCGTGGCGCGAGCAGCGCAAGACTTCTGGTTCAAGTCCTCGGTCTTCCCTCAATCGACATACAGGCCGCACAACTGCTCCAGCCGGTCGTGTTTCGAAACCGATACCTCCCTTGTGGATGTATCCTGGTCCCAAAGGATTACCTGAGGAACCTCCATCTGACTCAAGCCGGGTCGTGTTCTCTCACATTGACGCGGCGAAATATCCCCTGGATGATGACATCTTAGACATGGAAATTACACTGTGGCTCGAGTTGATCATCTCACTTCTACAGAGACCACCTGATTGGGAGATCTATAGTTACGTACTCGTCCATCTTGGACCTCAACTCTCGAACCAAGCGCTGGTTCGCAGTTGTGTTGCTCAGCTCAAGATGCTGCGGAATGTTCTTTGTGAACAGGTGCGGAATGCGAGCTTCCACGAACCTCCGCCGCACACGCTTCTGAAAAAGGCTGATGTTGCAGTGTGCCTGTTTCACATACTGACCATCATCATCAGCTATCACGAGTATTTCGAAAAGAGCGAAGAAGACGATCTTGTTAAAGCATTCCTGCAGGGCATTGTACAATGGGATAGAACCTCAAAATGGTGTATTCACGCACTGTCGGTCTGCTGTTTCGAAATCCCGCTCTCGGTTAGCAAGTCACTTGACGGCATTATTCAGAAAATGTCGCAAATCATCACCAAGCCGGCCACTGCGATACACATCTTGGAGTTCCTCACTTCTTTAGCGCGTCTTCCGGAGCTCTTTAAGAACTTCCGTGAAGATGAGTTCAAGTTGGTTTTCGGTGTGTGCTTCCGATACCTACAACACATACGCGACCAGCGTGACAGGACAGTCAATGGGCATTCGTTGCAAAGTGGGCATCGGACCCTGCGGCATAGTGGTGCATCACGAGACTTTGCGGCATCGTCAGATTCCATTACAAACAAGCCAAGAAGTGTTGAGGACGACTTACCTCAGTATCTTTACTCGCTCGCGTATCACGTCATTACATTCTGGTTCATGGCATTGAAGATGGAGGACCGTCCGAAGCAGATACCGTGGATCACAAAGAACTTATACTATACCGATAGCTCTGGGAGGCAAGTCATGGAAGAGCAAGGACAAGTCATTCTAGATATCATGAATATGGTAGCATATACAGATCGCGATGAGACGACGCGGGAGGAGAGCTCCTTCAAACCTGGCGATGGCGAAGTCTGGAAGAAGACCTGGATCGTTGGTAACGCTCTTATAACAATAGAGACTGCGGCAAGGACAGGTGCCTCCGTCGTCACAACCCGTCGGCCAGTACGTCATCCGGGTTGCTAAAGGGTAATACATCTGCTAACGACTGACAGTGCGGTACTCGCTTCATCAAGGTGCGGCCCCTAATTACCTCACCGCCGCGACATCAGGTACCGATCACTATCGGCCTTGCCTCTGAAGCATTCTACTCCAACACCTATGTTGGAATTCTACCAGACGACATCTTCCAATCCTTCTACGCGCCGCTCGACCTGAGCAATCCGCCAATTCCTTTGCCCGACGACGAGCCGACACGCCGTGCTATTACTACGTTCGACCGAATTGCAACGGTTGACAACTACAAAGTGGGTGTCATCTATATTGGCGAAGGCCAAACGAACGAAAGAGACATTTTCATGAACGACATGGGGTCCCCAGCGTATACCGCGTTCCTTAGTGACCTAGGTACCTTGTGCCGTCTGAAGGGTGCAAAATTTAACACTGGTGGTCTGGACACTCGCGAGGATATTGATGGCGAGTTTACCTATTGCTGGCGCGACCGCTGCATGGAGCTCGTCTTCCACATTCCTACAATGATGCCTACCAACCGCGATGACGACATGACATACCCAAACAAAAAACGACATATTGGTAACGACTTTGTCAACATCATCTTCAACGACTCAGGGTTACCTTACGACTTTAACACGTTCCCGTCCGCCTTCAATTACGTACACATCGTGATTTCCCCAGAGTCTAGGGCTAGTTTCGTTGACCGTCGACTGGACGCAGATCCCGACGGCAGGAATCGCTACTACAAGATCCAGACCATTTCAAAGTCAGGCTTCCCCGATATATCTCCTGCTGTCGAGACCAAGATTCTGTGTGGCAAGTACCTTGCTGACTACTGCCGCCTTATGGCCATCAACGCGGTCGTCTTCTCCAGTGTATGGTACATTCGTGAAGGAGGCGAGTCTATATCATCCTGGCGTAACCGACTTCGCGAGATCAAGCGCCTCCGGGAGCGCTATGGCGCAAATGATGCTCTGCCAAGCCACCCACCACCTTCGTCACCGGCAGGAAGTCAGGGTTTGTCGAGTCCGCCATCTCGCGAACAAAACCTAGTTTCGCCGTTCCAGCGCATGAGTATCGCGACTCATATTACCGATGGTACCAGTCGCAGTTCCATCAGCAGCTCCTCGCACGATGTTTGATATTATGTGCCAAAAAGTCGATTGTTTCTGGTGTTCCAACAGGTCTTACAAACATATACCCAGAGGCTTGATTACCTCGCAAAAGTTCTTTGAATTCGCGTTTGTTTGATTGATATGACGACAAGGAGATTGAGTATGAGCATTGCGTGGCGTTGCTGAACGGCTTTGGCCTAGGGTAAAAGTTGTTGCTTGCTTCTACTATATTGTATAGGACGAAAGACTATGGGTGCCATGGCAATGCGTCTCTAGGAAAACGATGAGATGTGTTCTTGTACTTTACTTTAAACTATACCATCTTCACTTGGAAACCTCGTAACTTTATGCATAGTCTGTTCGTGCAAGATGTCACGCTATGAGTATTGCCGATTGCGATGCTTTATGTGGAATGAGAGTGGTATTGATGGGCTGCTCCAGGATGTTGTTAGTCGAACAAATGACATCAGACTTCACACCGCTTACAGCATCCCGCATGCCCAGCTGAGCTTGGTGAAGCTTCCCCCACAACTCAATAGTTCCCGCCGAAATGGAACGCAGCGGGTCCGAACGACCTTCAAACGACAGCTTCCATTCGTGATGGCGATCAATTAATAGCTTTGGAAATTGCCACACGATTGCACTTGCATGACTCTATTCAATTAGCAGTCACAAGATATCTCCATCACCCTCTCGCAACTTGGTCGACGAGTCATTCCAACACCAGCCCACAAAGCCACCCACCATCGAGCTCTGCAACACGGAGCCATGGCACAGGTTCAACGGCCTTTGATTATTCAGTCGCAGATGATACGACTGTGCTGTCCGCGTACGGCCAGAAAGGCACGCAGCGCATTGTTTGCCAGAGGGAGTTGCTATCGGAAGCTGCATACCAAGACGGTTACTGACAACGACATCTCGCACTTGGCAAGCTTGCCGTTGCATCCTTTGACGCTTGCCGATCTAGTCAAGTGAGTACTGTCAGATGTGATCCAGAGTCCATCTACCAAAGACCCTGGCTAACGTTGTCGCGTGCGCAACAGACACGGAAGACCTCCGCTCACAACCCAACAACTCCTCACATCCGCCAACTTTACCCTCTCGATCCTGCCCGCCCGCCTCGCGCACCGAATACAATCGCTCCGTAACCTCCCGTTTATCGTTGTATCTAATCCTCATGTCTCCAAGATACACTCGAATTACATGCATAGCTTATCGACGCTTTTACCATGGGCCGAGCAGGAGATAACGACGCTCGAGGAGGAAGTCAAGTTTACAGAGGTCATGGCAGACCTGGTACAAACACATGCCAATACCATTAGTATACTGGCAAGAGGGTTTTTAGAGGCTAGGAAGTACATCAGTCCCAAGGACGTGACGCGTTTCCTGGACGAGCATCTACGAGCGCGCATAGGCACGAGATTGATTGCAGAGCAACACCTTTCGCTGCATTTCTCCAGTCAACCGCATTGCGATGTGATGCACGACGTAGACGAGAACCCAGGATATATTGGTGTTATCGATACTAGGCTCAGGCCTGCGAGGATTGTAGATCATTGCGCAAACGTGGTGGGCGAAATCTGCGAGCTGAAATACGGCGTCCGACCAACCATTGTCATCAATGGCGAACCCGACTACGAATTCGCGCATATACCTGTCCACCTCGAATACATCATCACTGAACTGCTCAAGAACGCGTTCCGCGCGACGGTAGAGAGTGGCATGGAGCGCGAACCCATCGAAGTGACCATTGCCCCACTTCCGGAACTCGTACCTGAGGATAGGAGAAGCGAGAACGTAGCAGATGTTCGCAAGAAGAAGAAGATTGAAAATGAGGACCAGGGAAACGTAGACCAAGTCTCGCAGCGCTTCACAGGCAACAACTCGCCTACATCGCCTCCACCCGACTCGAACATCCTCCCCCTCAAGCACAGCACGCCGGGAGTAACAATAAGAATCCGCGACCGAGGCGGTGGCATCTCTCCCGACAACCTCTCGCATATCTGGGACTACAGCTTCACTACCTTCAACGACGCGCAAGCAACCTCGACCCTCTCAGGTGGTAATAACTCAGCCAACGGCATGGATGCGCTGAACGCTTTTTCAGGAGCAGGCGGTGATGGAGTGAACAGTCTGGCTGGGCTGGGCTATGGACTGCCGCTGGGGAGGGCCTACGCGGAATACTTTGGTGGGGGTATTGCGGTACAAAGCCTCTGGGGATGGGGTACCGATGTGTACCTTAGTTTGAGGGGTGTGGGGAGGGTAGACACTGTGCAGGAGGCCAAGGAGAGTGCAAGGAGGAAGCAGAAATGAAGATACCAGAGGGAGAAGACAAGTTATCGGCACGGCTGTCAATTATTGCTATATACCCATGAAATCATGTGCTCATGCATCATGCCCCCACATTGTCACCTACGGTATTACATTTGGATCTTTGTGGTACCCATCAGCGGTGGCTGTGTAGACGACCTATTGCGTACGGACCTCGGCGTCCTTCTCGACGGTGACGTGCTCGTTGGACTCAAGGGTTGAGACGGCGTCGTCGGGAATCTCAGCACTGTGACATGTCAGCCGTGTTGCGGGGAGATGTGGGCATGCCAATACGTACGTGAAGCCCTTGATGAGGGTGAACTCATTGACGATCTTGCCGCCCTGGTCGGTGACGTGCTTCTTTGCTGCCTCGAGCTCCTCCTTGGGAGCGTCCTTCTTGAGGGTGATCTTGGATTATTAGTACGATAACAGCAGTAGCGTGACTTGGTAGGACCCACGTTGAACTGAGCCATGCTGGAGACTTGTGTGAGGGGGTGTTTGTTTAGTTGAGGGGTAGTTTAGTGAGTTATAGTGGTGTTGTGTAGATGTAAGAAGGTCAAAGCGTAGGGGTGTCTTATATACCTCAGCTATCGTAGACCGAGGACCCTGTCAACAATCCCGGGAGCAGTCTAGAGCCTTGGATAGGCGGCGTCTGAGATGACGTGCGGCCGTCCATGCCCAACATGTGAGGCATGTGCCCTGTGCCCCACTACAGTACGTAGAAGGCGCGTCTGCTTATCGATAAACATATCCCTGCAGCTGCGACCTTAGCGTTTGGCCTAGCGTCGAAAAAGTTGGGATCGCGAAGTTGCTTGCCGCCGGACCTTGACTTTGCGCGCGACGAGCCCCGACCCTCGACACCACTCTGACGACTTCTGCTGAGGTCTGATAAGGAGACACCAACACCAAGTCAATATGGCGGACGCACAGAGCAACCGGCCGCATCGCCCAAAGAAAGAGAAGAAACCGCATACCGGAGACAAGAACCCCAAAGCTTTCGCATTCTCTGCGCCTGGCAAATTGAAGAGGCAGGCCGCGCGCTCCACAGAAGTAGGCCGGATTCCAAGTTTTGCGCAACCCTTAGCTGACATGTACAGGTCAAAGAGAAGCGCCTCCACGTCCCACTCGTTGACCGTCTTCCCGAAGAAGCTCCTCCAATCATTGTCGGTGTCGTCGGTCCTCCCGGTGTCGGCAAAACCACTCTTATCAAGAGTTTAATCAGACGATACACCAAGCAGACCCTCTCTACGCCCACTGGTCCCCTCACTGTCGTTACCTCGAAGCGCAGACGTCTTACCTTCCTAGAATGTCCCGCCGACTCGCTCGCCAGCATGATCGACATCGCCAAAGTGGTGGATATAGTCTTGTTGATGATTGATGGCAACTACGGCTTCGAGATGGAGACCATGGAGTTCTTGAACGTCCTAAGCGCAAGTGGTATGCCAGGAAACGTCTTCGGGATCCTGACACATCTGGATCTGTTCAGGAAACAAGAGACGCTCAAGCTGCAGAAGAAGAGACTCAAGCACAGGTTTTGGAGCGAGTTGTACCAGGGTGCCAAGCTCTTCTACCTCAGTGGTGTGGTCAACGGGCGATACCCGGACAGAGAGATAATGAATCTTTCGAGGTTTCTGAGTGTCATGAAGAATCCGAGACCGCTGGTATGGAGGAACTCGCATCCGTACTGTTTGGCGGATAGGTTTTTGGACATCACGCCTCCAACCGACATCGAACAGAACCCGAAATGTGATCGCACGGTAGCATTGTACGGTTATCTGCGCGGGACAAACTTTCCCGCTGGAGGATCGAGAGTGCACATACCTGGTGTTGGAGACCTCACGGTTACCTCCACGGAAGCGCTACCCGATCCATGCCCAACGCCCTTTGCTGAGAAAGCTGTCGAAAAAGCCTCCGGAAAGAAGAAGCGCACAAGATTAGGCGAGAAGCAGAAGATTCTGTATGCTCCAATGTCGGATGTCGGCGGTGTGCTTGTCGACAAAGACGCCGTCTACATTGATGTCAAGACTGCGACATTCGACCCTGAGGCTGACTACTCAGAAAAGGGACTGGGTGAGCAAATGATGATCGGACTGCAGGGTGGGCGGAAGCTCCTTGGCGAAGACGATGGAAACTTTAGGCTCTTCAAGGATGGCCAAGTCGTGGATAGGAAGGCTCTCGAGGATGATACCGCGGATACGGGCCGACGGTCTCAACGGAAAGCTAGAGCAGCAGACGCTGAAGAGGTCAACGACGAGGACCTTGAGGGAATTGATAGCGACGACGAAGAACTACAGCAAGACCATAGCGATGCGGACGACGACGAAGACGACACTGGGTTCCTTGACACTAACGGACCACCAAACGGCAAGCTGAAGGTCTCGCGTAAAGAGAAGGATGCAGATACAGTTGAGGATGTGGCGTTTGCAGACAGTGACTCTGATCTAGGTTCGATATCTGGTGATGAACCTGATCTGGAAGACCTTGAGGGTGACCTTGATTCGCAAGACCCCGATGAGGATGACGTTGAAGACGGCGCACGATGGAAGGCCAATCTTCAGGAGAATGCTGCGAAATTACACGGGCGAAAACGGCCGTATCGCGTCACAGATTTGGCGAAGATGATGTACAATATGGATCTAGCGCCAGAAGAGGTCATCAAGAAATGGAGAGGCGATGAAGAGGAGGAAGATATCGACGAAGAAGGCGACGAAGATGACGGCTTCTTCAGCAAGAGAACAGCCGACGACGCTGCCAATGCCGAGGACCGTTACATCCCCAAGTTCAACTACCAAGAATTGGAAGAGAAGTGGGAAGATGAGGAAAACGTCGAGGCTCTCATGAGCCGCTTTGCTACCGGTCATATGAACGGCAAGGGCGGTGACGATGATGAAGAAAACGACGATTTTGAAGGTTTTGACGAAGATGATGAAGGTGACGGCGAGTTTGAAGATTTGGAAACCGGCGAGAAGCACGGTGGCGAGACTGAGGAAACTGGCGCCGAAGCTGAAGCAAACTCAATTGAAGCAGAGCGCGAGAAGAACGCACGGCGGAAAGAAGAGCTAAAGCTTCGATTTGAAGAAGAAGACCGCGAAGGCTTCATGAACGATAAAGCTGATGCACGGAAAGAAGGTGATAAAGAAGAAGAGTTTGGTGAAGACGACTGGTACGACGCACAAAAGGCTATGATCCAGAAGCAGCTCGACATCAACCGCGCCGAATTCGACCAGCTGGATGAGCTATCTCGCGTTCGCGTTGAGGGTCACAAGGCGGGTACTTACGCACGTATTGTGCTCGAAAAAGTACCTTACGAGTTCTCTGCGCATTTCAACCCGCGATTCCCTGTTCTTATCGGTGGTCTGACCCCAACTGAAGAGCGTTTCGGTTTCGTTCAGATCCGTATCAAACGCCACAGGTGGCACAAGAAGATCCTCAAGACTAACGATCCCCTCATCTTCTCCTTGGGCTGGCGGCGGTTCCAGACCACCCCAATCTATAGTATTTCTGATTCACGGACAAGGAATCGCATGTTGAAGTACACCCCCGAACACATGCATTGTTTCGGTACCTTCTATGGCCCACTGGTTGCCCCGAACACGGGATTCGTTTGTATCCAGTCTCTCTCGAACAAGACGCCCGGTTTCAGAATCGCAGCAACAGGTGTCGTACTCAACGTAGACGAATCCACCGAGATAGTGAAGAAACTCAAACTCACCGGCCATCCCTACAAGATCTTCAAGAACACCGCTTTTATCAAAGACATGTTCAAATCCAGCCTCGAAATTGCAAAATTCGAAGGCGCCAGCATACGCACAGTTTCCGGTGTGCGAGGACAAATCAAGCGCGCACTAAGCAAGCCAGAAGGAAATTTCCGTGCTACCTTTGAAGATAAGATCCTTATGAGTGACATCGTCTTCCTAAGAGCTTGGTACCCCATCAAGCCCCGCCGCTTCTACAACACCGTTACCAACCTGCTTAACCCCGCCACTCCTGACCAAGAAGGCGAAAGCACCTCCTGGCAAGGTATGCGTCTCACAGGTGTGGTACGCTACGAGAATGGCATCGCTACACCCTCTGAGAAGAACTCTGCCTACCGCCCAGTCGTTCGCGAGACCCGTGTCTTCAACCCACTCCGCGTGCCTCGCAAACTCGCCGCAGATCTTCCCTTCAAATCGCAGATCGCTACGACCAAGCCTCAGAAAAAGCAGACATATATGCAGAAGCGTGCTGTCGTCCTCGGTGGTGAGGAGAAGAAGGCTCGAAGACTTATGGACCAGGTCATTGCTATTCGCAATGACAAGGTGGAGAAGAGGCGTAAGAAGCAGGAAGAGAGGAAAGATCCGTACAAGAAGAAGGTGGCTGAGAATGCTGAGAAGAGAGCGGAGCGCGAGAAGAGGGAGAAGCAGGAGTACTGGGCCAGGGAGGGCAAGAAGAGGAGTCACCAGGGTGAGGACGGTGGTGGCGGAGGCAAGAGGAGGAAGTAGAATGAACCGCTAAGCTAGAGGCAGTTCATTTCAGTAGATGTTGATGGGGGTAGTAAAGTAGCATTTCGTGGCGTTCAAATGTGGTACTGTCGTTGATAAATCGTTATTTATTGTTCATGTCCCTTCTTCTTCCACGTATCCAAAAAAGTATGTCTTGCTCATCGTCTGTTATGATCAACTGCACGTGCGCAAAGGAGACGGGATGCATATGGGTGAAACTTGGTCTTCTTATTGTTGCATCCGCCATTACACAATATAATTCCTGAGGCTATGTTGCCCGACCAGGTTGTCACTCGCCTACACGCGCGCAATGATTACATTGCTTATGCTGCGCATCTTCCCTTCCCATCTTGTTCTAATCCAGTGCTGCTCCAAACAGCCATATGCGCCAACCGTATGCAACGCAATCATGAAATAGAAGAGGAGAGGATTATATATGCCCATTGTCGAAAATGCTGATGCCCTGAGATGTGAAACGCCAGTAACATGCAGATGAAGGAAAGAACAGAAATGGGGTATTGAACGCCGAAAGTGTACACGTGTTGTGTACGATGGAAGAAAACGGAAAAATTGTATTATCGCTGCTGTCATGGTCGTTTCTTTGTTTCGCTATCCGGTTTTCTGCCCTCTATGCTATCACTCGCTCTTCTAGGAGACCATGCCGATGGATCAAAGTGAATGGCGACTAGCCAGGCACAGAGTATGTTTGCTAGGTGATGCAGAACATAGGCGTATGTAACGCCGTAAACAGCAGCATATGAGCCGATGGAGAAGAGCAAGATGTTTGTGAAGAACGAGACACGGAACTCCGCTCGAGGAATCATGCGGCCGGTGCTCAGGGTTTCAACGAGCAGGATAAACGGCATGATAGAGAGTATGTTGTGATGCGAGGAGAAAGGCGTCATCCAGTGGACTGCCAGGTTGCGTACCCAAACCACCAGTACTGGGAGGTTAATGGGTAGTATCCAAAACATCAGGATGAAGATCGAGTG